TGGATAAATTTCCGGCTTTATCTTAGTATTTATCAGAAAACAGAACTTTCAGTGTATCTCTTCAATAAATGGTGTCAGAACAGCCTTCTCAATCTTTTTTCATCGTTCAAACTTTATTTCCGATATCTCTTGTGGTTATAAAATTGGAAATCATGCAATGATTTTTATCTCTAGTTGCATTAGAAAAAATGAGATCTTCGAGAATACCTTACAAAAATGGTGTCAGAACCACCTTTTCAATCATTTTTTTTTACCGATCGGAACCTTGACCCATTTTTTTTGGTATCTCATGTGATAAAAAAAAATGAAAAATCATACAGGGTACAAAAGATCAAAGTACACTAGCCTAAGAGAGCTTTCTCATCTCAGAAACACTGAAGCGGAACTGTTGACCATCAAATCGCCGCGTCCGCAATTTGCCGAACGGTACAGCTCCTCGCAAAACTCGACATGGCGTCATTGTCTGAAAGGCTGAACTTTGACGTCTCTGGGTTTCGTTTTTCTCATTGCTTTTAGGGCGACACCGGGTGTCGCCGCGCCGAATTTTTGCCGTCCAAAATAACGGATCGTCCGTCTGGGCGGCTGGACATCGGCGGTTTTGGTTTTTGGGCGCGTCGCGTCTTCCGATGACCACTTTCAGGCCCTGCACTTTCCGAAGCCGACCCTTCAATTGTACGATAAGAAAATGCCCTTTTTGTAGACGAGACGTAGGCTACTACAAGTGGAACAACAAAAAATGGACTTTTTTCTTTGCAAAAATTTTTGAAGAAGTGAAAATCATCTACATCCTTATTTCATATCATACAAATTGTATTTCATATCATACAGAGGGATCGAAAATGAAGGAATGGTCCACTTTTTGTTGATTTTTAACAGTATTCGCTGAGGTTCTGAACAATTATTTTTTTTCAAGCTTGCCGGAAATGAAGTAATTCTGCAATTCAGACTTCGATTGTAGTAAAAACTTTCGATTATTTTTTCCGAACTTATTGTGCAGTTCAAAAACGTATTTTAAAATCATTGGAACAAAATTTGACGACAAAGATCAGAAATTGTTCTTTCTCTCAGCAGTAAAAAAAAAGGAACACTTCGTTTTTTTTCTGACTTCTGCTCAGTCTTGAGCAAACAACAGCTACATGGGCACAGACTACAAAATTTTTTTTTGTAAAACTGAAAAATGTTGAGATATGACGATTGAACATGGCCAAACGTTGTTCAGAGCTGTTTCGACGTATTTTTTTCGATGCGTCCGACCAAATACGGTCCACGCGTAACGGCATTCTGCAGCATGGTGGGGATTAAGTCGTCTAAACTTAAGAAAAAGTTAGGACTCTTTTCTCGACCTCCAGAATGACGGCGTCTGGCTAAATCAACTATGACTTGTCTATCTTCTCAGAAACCAATTCCAAAGATTCATAATCTCGAAAGTGAGACCTTATTAATCTTTTTACCTTGATACATAATATATAACAAAAAAGAAAAAAATCTAATCCCCTTTATTGCCTACCTTATAATCTATTCGTTCCAACTCCTTTTGGAAATTTTTTTTTCTATTGAAAGGATTCCGAATAACTAATAGGGTTTTGCAAGTCTATGTTTTTGAAAACCAGTATCGTCGACAAGATCAAAAAATAATCTGACATCAAGGTCGCCGAGAGAGTTTTTTAGATGAGGGGCGAAAAAGCAATGATGTGAAACTCACATGGCTTTTTAACATATCGTTTGATTTTTCACACTTATTGAAAAATATGATTTATGAGAAGGGACTGAAAACGCCATATTTCTTCAAAATTACTGTTTCAAACAGTCCGTTATTTAAAGTCACGTCATTCAATTTTTCACGATGATCTTATCAAATAGGCGCGTCATTTTCGATGCGTTTCCTTCCTCTATTGGTAGTTCCGCTTTGCGAAAAAAAAGGTCGACTGTTGTTGAGAGCAGAAAAAAATAGGTGGAAACAAAGAAAATTTCAAGAAAATTCAAGTTTGTTTAGGATTGTTAAGTTTTTTCAACCTCTTGACCCGAATTCTCATGAACTTTCATTTTCGGGTTTAGATGAAAAAAATTTTTTTAATGCTGAAATTCTGAAATTAAAAAAATTTTTTTCTTTCACCTTCTGAAGCTGTTGGAAGAGTTTAATCCGGGCTTTTTGACAGTTCTATAATATACATGGAAAATTAGAAAAAAAATATCCTTCCCTCGACTTTCATAATACTCACTTTTTGGCTATGAGCTTTGATTTTACTTTTCACTTGACCGAAATTCACTTGAACTTCCATTTCTGGTTCTCAGAAATCGTCATAAGTTCAATGATAGCGTTTTTAAAACGCACGATCTCCGTCGCGCCCGATCATGGCCGGTTAGTTGCGGATCAAAAAGTCGAAGATTGAAATAATCATTTCCAAGAAGTCTAAAGGTTCGAAACTTTCAAAAAGAAACAAAACTTCCTGATAAAAAGCAACGAGTTGAAATATTACAATTACTTAAAAAAAGTTGATGATTTTTTTCAACTACAATAAAGTTGCAAGACTAGAAAATAACCATATTAACTTTTTATATACATATAAACGAGGTTGAATCTTTCATTAGATGTTTCGAAATCGTTATAAACTTGGACCAAAGCTGTACAATGATTTTTTTTTTACCGGGTTGCCAGGTTTCATGAGATTTACATTTGAAATAACAAACGACTGCAAACCTCAGCAAAAAAAGCCTGAAAAAATTGAAAAATCAATTTTTGCACAATTGGAGCTCTCCTCCCAGAAGATGTCGAAAAATTAAAATCCAAAATGTTGTTTAAGCAAAAATTCTCTTTTTCGAAACAGATTCCATGTTCCAACAGGATCTCTTCTGTTTTTTTTCTGAACAATGTCCAGTATAGTGCAACAGGAAAGTCATCCAGGCATGATTTTCCTGCCTATTTACCTCCTCTCATCACTTTCCGTAGCAACTAAGATAACAAACACTCGAACATGGTACACAAATCCTTGGAGTCCGTGACGAAATTTGCGAGGCCGCGTAATTGTTTCGCAATTAGTGTTTTTGCTGCAAACGGGAGTTTATTTTCTCAAAATGTTGACTTGATTGAGTGAGAAAATTTGCAGAAAGGGTTTTTCCTACTTTTCGATAATTTTTAGATTCCCGTTATAAGGGAAATTGAAATTATCAAAGGCGCTCAAAACTATGGCTTGTAAACTCAAATTTTCAGCTTTTTCCCGTAATTCACTCCCAGAAAGACGAACATATCAGTTCTTCGGATTGCTGGTTGGAATGTGTTTTGGGTTTTTTTTTTCTTTGTGTTGGCTTACCGTCTGAGTCAACGCGTTGATGAGTCATCGCCTAAATGATTTCGAAACTGGATCCCAAGGGAAAAGTGCCATGCTGTTCGAAAAGGTTCGATGAGGGATCGGAAATGAAAAAAAGTACAAGCCCACAAAAAAATATAGTAACTATTTTTTTCGAAACGACCTTTTTAGGTCAAAATGACAACAATGACTGGCGCACTAGATACTTTTTTGGATTCAGCAATAAAACTAGGATTTTTGAAACATTAATATTTACAACCTAAAGAAAATTTTGGAAGTTCATTTTCTGCCGTGCGATGTGAAAGAAACGAATTTTAGACTTTTCAAACGACATTTTCAGCTCGAAATAGCAACTGGGATATTTTAAGAGACATGTTAAAGAAGCACATCTCGAATTACCTTTTTTTAATGAACCTTGACTCAATCATGAATGGACCTGAGAGCCCTCTGTCAATTCATGAGAACTGCAAAAGCTGAGGAAGCTGCGCAGTGTCGCGTGCGTTGTCGCGCTGTTTTTTTAAGCCTGTAAAAAAACGCTCTAGGTACGCTCCAAAAAGGTCGAAAATGCAATTTTTCGAAAAGGCGTTTTTCAAACTGTAAATAAATTAAAACAGTAGAGAAACTAAAAAAATAAAAACAAATTAAGGATCTCAGAAACGTATTTGACCAAACAAAAAAATTTCCTTCAAAAAAATTGATTTAACAAAGTTATTTCGCAAAAAAATGAAAACTGAAAAATCAGGATTTTTAAATTCAAGAAGAAATTATGCATAAGATAGAGCTCTGGATTTTCAGAAAAAATGGAAAAAGGGAAAATTTTGCATTATACGAAACTTGGCCTAGTCATTATCGGTATTGAAAGGGATATAACATCGTTGTTTATTTGAATTCATTGGTGAGGCTTACATTTTTGGATTGAGTGGAAAATTTCAAATAAGAATTCGCTTAACAAACTTTGAAAAAGACAAAGTTAAGGAGATTTTACATTTCCAGCAAGATTTTTTTAAACCATATTACCTGAAAAAAACTATCTTTCCATATTTTTGGATTTTTGAGTCACATTTGTTCTTTTTATCCATATCTTTTTGATAGGGAAACTGCGAATCAAAAAATGTATTGAAACGTGTGAGAGAGAGAGAAAATTACGGTTTTCCGATTTTTTTTAAAAATGAGAACAGGGTCAGAGTAGTCCAATTTATAGTACGAAAACTTTCAGAAAATCTTGACTTTTACAATTTTCAAAACTCGGGAAAAGGTGGATTCAAAATCTTACCAGGGAATTTTCTGATTGAAACTTCTCTTCTGATCGTCTTTTGCGTGTCTACAAAACTCAAATTTTTTTACAGGGGACTCAGAAAAAACACATTCCGAAGGTTTTTATAAGGAAAGAAAATTTTATCAAAGTAAAAGGCTTTTTAAGTCGACCTTTTTCACATTGGAAAACTTCTTTCAGCGTTAGTAAATACTCAACCAGGAACTTTTTCCACTCTCAAGACCTCAAATGAAACTTAGAATCGGCTCGTTCTTTATAATAAGTTTTTTGTGAAACGCACATTTTGCATTGACCATTGATAAAATCAAACCTGAGCCCAAAATGATAGTTTATTTCGTCAAAACAACACAAGGAATGTACATGATGGAGAAATGTGATTGGTTTCCGTTTTGAACAACGACGCTTCTGGAGGTCTGGATGTGTCATACAGGACGAGTATGATTTGCTCGACGGAGGGCCAGGTCCCCGATCGGGTAGTGCAGCCAGTTGATCACTCCAACGACGTCTTCGTTGGTGATGTCGTCTGGGACCTGAAAATGGAAAAATCTTTTGATTTTCTAGGAACAAATTGCTAAAAAAGCTTACTTTAAGTTAAATATACGAAAACTTGTGGCTTTTAAGAAGGTCTTCACCAAAAGATTTTCAACTTTTTCTGCCCTTTCGAAGCGATTTTCAGTCTCCAATAGTTCCTTTTCTGTTCACAATTGCATCAAAAAATGCAAAAATGTCACTAAATTATTTCTCATTCGAAAAAAATGGTCTTAAACGGAGGATTTCATCTGATCAGATATTCCAGAAAAAAACAAGCTAAATTCTTGTTTTTTTCGAATAAGGATTTTTGTAATCATCTTAGTTTAGTCTGAGCCACACGCCTTTCCCTTTTTTTCTGGAAAATTCTAAAAATCCTTGTTTTTCCAGAATAGCGTTACGATTTTCAGCAAAAGGCGTCTTTGATTGATGGACGATGAAAAATTTTTTATTTTTTTTCTGGCTTCGGGAAATTCTCAATCGATGGGAAAAAGTGCATTCCAAACTTTTTTTCAATGTTTTTTTCTGAGTGATTGATAATGAAACTATGACAGTTGTTATTTTTCATTCGTTCCATTTTTGTTATTTTTTTCACACCCTGAAGCTCTCTTTCCAAACATGGACGTTATTTTTCAACATTCTTTTTTTCTTTATCTTCAAGATTGATCGAAACTCACATCGCTCGAGCTGGTCAGTGATAGGAAAGTGCAAAGAAGAACGACCGTGATCACGATGACGGCGACCGCAATCGTGCAGAATAAGGACAGGGCGAGCATCGACGACCGAGCCATTCGACACACGCTTCGGCCGATCACGCACTGAAATCAGGAAATTTTTCCATTGAAAAATACAGAAAAATGGTTTTTTCAAATGCGTCTCATTAGAAAAAACCTAAAAAAAGCATTTTCTCAAGAGTTAACTCTATAAAAAAATCTCATTTTTACCCTATAAATAGTTATAATTTCATATTACTCGTTCGGTTGATATGAATCCTTGTTTCAAACACTAACCGAAAGAATCTGAGTTTTTTAAGCTTCTGAAAGTTTGAAAAAATGAGAGCTTGAGCTTCAAAAATCGTGAATAATCTGAGCTCACATCGATAAAAACTCGAAAAAAATTACAAGGCCGCACGGAGCGCAGAAGCGTCTGAATGAAACAGATCTTGATAACGGATTATCTTTTTCGATGTCTGTTGATGCATTGTTATAACTTCGAGTCTTACTTTTTTTTTGCTTTTAATTAAGGTTCCTGTCTGAATCTCTTGAATAAGGTTTAACAAGATTTGTATGGTTTCTTTTTCAGAATTTTCTGACTTCAAAATTGAATTGAGAAATTGCAATGAAGAAAAAAAGAAGGTTTTTAGTATCCTTACAACCTCCTGAAAGGCAGATAACGCCGTTTTTTTCAAGGATTAGACCTTAGGTGCTTCTTTAAAAAGTTTCAGCAAGTTCCTAACCGTACATTCGAACTTTTTAAGGAGAAAAGGAGCTTTGGAAAGCCCTCTCTTTGCTCGAAAATGCTCTCGAAAACTAAAGATCTCACTTTTCCTGATCACAGCGGTGCATCGATTTTTACCGAATTCTCACAATTTTTCAAGAGCTTACTGGTCTTTTTCAATTTTCAGAATACAGCCGTGTCCTAGCCAGAAGGAAGTCTCACTTTGGAAGTCATCTCTTGCCAAATTTCAGTTTTCTGAAAACCTCCTACCTCGTAGACCTTCTCGCCATTGGTGTAGCAGTCCTGGTCGTCGTCAGAAAACTGCCGAGCGGCTTCCTCGGCTTGCAGCAAGTTTCTCGTCTCCTGCTCCTGGTAGAACTGAGCGACGTTGAGCCGCAGCTCCTGGACCGCCTGCTTGGCTTTGTTGGCGGCGTTGGAAGCAGTTTCCATTTCAACCCGCTGCTGAAACATTGAACTAATCTTAGGTTAAGGTAAGAAAGAAAATGGCGGTTCGGTTGATTCGAAACGAATTTTATAGGAGCGTGAACAAAAATTGGGGATTGTCACGACATCAGGGCGTTTTTCTTTTTTTTTCTGTTAGTTTTACAAACCACGCCCAAATGCCGTGCCTGAAGCTTATGAGCCGAAACAGCAAAAATCCAGGAGAACAAAATAAAGAAAAAATAGACAAATGTCTTTTGTTAATTATACTATTTTTTTCGAAGAGAGTACGCTCAAAATCCCTGTAAATCGGCAAAAGTTGAAATGAATTTTTTTAATTTTTAACAAACAAGATTCCGCTTCATGCAGGTGAAAGCATCAAGGTTTTTTTCTCAAAACATATAAAAAGTCTTGAAATAAATATCGTGAAAATTGAAATTTCAATGAATTTAGCCCGAATCAGAACATCATTACTTCACACTTATCCGCTTAGAGCACAAACGACAGTTTGAAATGAAAACTTTTTTGACTTTATACGACAGAATATGGTTTTCAATTGTATTTCGAAAAACCGGCAACCAAACTGAAACAGGAAAATAAGGTTGCTTTCTAGATTTCGAAAAAAATACTGTCAGAAAGATCGAAGCCACAAAGGTGTTCAAATTTATAACTAACGCTTCAAATCATGAAAAATTCAGAATAGCTCGAAAGAAGAGACAAAAGGTGTTCATAGGCAGGAAAAACTTTTTTCTCCACACATTTTTCTGAACTCGGGGGAAGAGTCCAAACGGGCAATTATGGCGCAATTTCGCAGTAAACGCTCCATAAGTATATCTGTTTATTGAATGCATATGCAACATTATGAGTTTCTTCTTTAGAAAAAATGGAATCGCTTTTTTTATCTTCTGAAGGAAGAATCGGGAAATCCCAGAAACAAGATGAAGATGAAATGCTCAAAAAAGAGAAAAAAATTATAGATGTGAGAATTGAAAATTCTAGAAAAAAAGAACAACTCGAAAAACAATCATTTTCATCGAATTATTTTTTTTCTCCGCATTTTTTCAACCTGGTTGTTAATGGATTTTATTGACTTATCTGCTTCAAACTGCTTTTCAATTCCAGAAATATTATGGGAAGCAGATGTTCATTGGAACGAAATTTAGGGAGCGCGATATTAGTTTGCAAATTTCAAATCCAGATGAGCTGTAGTGAATTTTGCCACGGACTTGACGGGAAAAAATTCTTAAAATTATTTCGGATAATCCAGGATGTTTTTCGATGCATCTAACATCAAAGTTACAAGAATAAGACCAAAATTCACATTAAATCTTAGCAAAACACGTCAGGTTGCGATAAAGTGACAAAAATGCTGATTTTAAACTATTGCGCACGACGTAAAACGACTCAAGTCGCTCAAAAGTCTAGCTTCTTGAGATTTTTGATGGACTTTCCTTCCGAATCAAGCTGATCGTTCAAGTTAACTGGAAAAGGATGCCAAATGGAGCGGACCAATGGAAATTATGACGTCACAGTCATAGCGTCCGACCTGAAGCTACTTGCGCTTCGAACTGTATCAAACAAAAATTTAAACCACTCAGGTTTACAAAAATTGATACAACTTAGAAAAGAAACAAGATGGCTAAAAAAAGACGTCAAACTTGCGTCTGACTCGAACCGACTTGCGCCTTGCACAGTTTGTATAAACATTTTCAGCCACTCCCATAGTATTCCTGTATTCCATGGAAAAACATTCGAAGTTCAATGAGATCAAAAATATATTGTGAAAAGGTTTCGATGAAGCTGAAACGGTGGCGGGAAACGGAAGGACGGCTCCTCCAGGGAGAAGCACTCGAATATGACGGCAACACGGCAAAAGCAAGTGATGGATAAGTTTGGCCTTCCGTCTCCTTCGCACCATCAGTCTAGGCTCGTTTTAAATATCCCAAGGTTTTTTGATCACTTGGAGGAGCAGATAAACTCGGAAGGATATAGTAAACAACGCTGACTTTTTTTTTTCAATTGTCGGTGGTTTTTGGAAGTAATCCTCGAGAAATTGGGGTGATTGGAGCTACTTGATCAGTGTCCAGAGTGAATATAGGTACTCGACATTTTTCAGCACTTTGAAGGTCTCCTAAAAAGCGGATAAGCTCGAAAATCGGCTGAAAAATCTGGAAAAAAACGATGATTTTGCTTTTTTTTGTATAAGCCTCAAAAAAAGTGAGTGATTAAAGTTTCATTTGTTGTCTTATTTGAACTTCATTAAAAAAATTTCAAACACCCAATGAAAATCGAACGCTCAAATTATACCACAAAAAGTGGATCAGTCCTAAAAAATTGAAAAAAAGGGGTATGCAAAAAATTTTTTCTCCTCTATCCGACATGATTTCTTTTGAAAGAAAGTTTTCTGAGATCTACAAAAATCTACTTTCCACTTCAAGCATCAAAATTTTACAAACCGAAAAAATGATGATGAAATCAGTCAACCTTACGAATCGTCTTTTTTTGAAGTCTGATGACTGAAAAACTTCAATCTTTTCGCTTTCACGAGTGTTTATTTATTGAGAAACACTGTTTTCAAAAAGTCTGGTTAAGATTTTATAAACTTTTGAGCAAAATTTAAAGTTTTGTAGTCAATAAAACGTCTGCTTTTTAAGGTCCAGTAATTAAGAAAAGCTCTTAAAAAAAGAAACTTCCTTTCACTGAACTGCTTTTTCGAACAATTTTTGCTTGAAAAAAATATTAGACTCAGAAATGAACATGCTGGATGGCAGCTTGACAAATCAGAAAAAAAACCGTTTTTTAAGCCAGACGAGTTCAAAGCCGACACTTTTTAGCAAAAAAATGTTCTGTTCAAAAGCTAGGCTTTTGAAGAAACTAATCGAGATAATGGGAAAGAAAAATGCTTTTCAATAGCCGAAAGTGTTAATCTGAGCGAAAAGAGCAGAGGATGGAAAAAAAAAGAAAAGCCGACAGAAGTACAAACAGCAGCGGCGACGATTTTTGGATTGGGGGAAAAGATTTATTTTTAAGCAGGAAGAGGAACATATTTTAGGAAGATATCTATCGAGAAGCAAAAACTTTCTTTGGAAAACTATGGAAAAAATTCCCATAAATAGCGAAAACACTAAAAAGTTTTGTAGGGACAAGCGTAAAACAAGCAAGTACCAACACAAATATTTATGACCCAGAAGGGAAGCAGAAGCTCAAAAGAGAAAAAAAAAGCTTGTTGACCTCGTTGGACAAAAGTAAGCCGGAGAAACTCTCGAAAAGAGTAGAATGTCGTGTGGTTTTGGAATTTGGAGGCAGCTTCTAATTATAATGCGGAAAACAGAAAAATTTTCAACATGACCAAAAAATGACCACAAAAAATGACTGTAATTATAAATAATGAAAAGATGGAGAGCCAGGCTGTACCAGGCTGGTTTTTCTTAAAAACAAATCATTTTTTTGACAGAATATAATGTCTGAAACAGAAAAGTCATGTTTCGTGGATGATTTTTTTTTAACTCAAAGCTTCAAAATTGCTTAAGAACCAAAAATGGGCGCCTATGAATCGAATAAAAATGATTTTCCGATCTTAAACCGATCTTGAAACACTCAAATGTACATAAGTTCTACTTCCTCGAACAAACCTTTAAATCAACTTTATATCTAGTCCAGACAAAATTGGCCTCTAACAAAGCGATGATTTTTTTCTGCTGGTCCTGCACTCAAAACGGAGCCAATTTGAGGACCCCTATGTCACATGATTTAGCCAGTTTGAGTAAAAAAAGACAACCCACGCGGCCAATTTTAATCGTACTTTAGTCCGATAATTGGCAGAACTTGAGAAAATTTCCTGAAAAGTGTTTTACACAAATATAATCTTAGAGCTAGCAAAGAAACGTAGAAAAAAGTTAACGAAAATGAATTTTGAATTTCGCTCTCATTCTCTTGAATTCCGAAATTCAAGAAAGGCGTGAAAAATTCATCCGTCGACACCTTGCTCAAGGACTTTGGGACAAAAACTCCCACTTCCGATTTTTTTGCCTTTTTTTGAGATAGAAAATGAAAGAAAAAAATATCTAAACAACTCTTTTTAAACCTTTAGTTCTCCCCAAAAAATATGAATTTGAATCTGATGACCGTAAAGCTTTCGAAAAAACAATTTATCATCAACTTACTGAGAAAACGAGTGAGTTTGACCAAAAAACAATGAGAAATGAAGCAGGACGCATCAAATTACTTTATTATTGATCATATTACGTCCGCACAGTTAATTAGCGTTCTTACGAAGACGTCAAAAAACACTATCCAAAGGGAAAAGTCGCTCATATTTCAAGGCATAAAAAAACTTGGGGATTGGCTTGAGGTTGAGTATTTTTCCAAAAATAGAAGAAAAATTTCCAGAAACAAGGAAATTTTTAAAAGGAAATCAGCCATCATGACTTCAACTCTGTATTGAACCAACCTTCTTGAAAAGTTCTAAAAAAACTATTTTTGCCAAAATTCAATTTAGTACGGTTATCAAAAATCTCGTTCAGTGTTTTTAAGGATAAAAGTTGAATTTAGGTTCATTTTATGTTGAAAAATCTAAGGATATAGTCTAAAAAAGAGCCCAGTTGAACACAGATTTTATTAAATTAACAAGGGTGCAAACAGAATTTCGAAAAAATACGATTTGAGACCTTTTTTTTTTGCTCTGACCACTTTTTTAATACTTTCTGAAACGTTGAACACTTCTAAAAGTTCAAAACAAGAAGGCCGACTCAAAAAGCGACACTTGACTCGAGCCGGAAATAGTTGTTTTTTCTCTTTAAAAAACTCTTTTTCCGCTCCTGAGGTCCCCAAAGAATAACGCTTAGACGTGATATGTTTTACGGCAAGCTCTGGGTGGTTTCGAGTTGCAAAAAGAAGACGAGAGGAAAAAATTGAAGCAGACGACAAATTGGTCGTTATGTTACTGCCGACGTGAAGAGGAGATACTCGAGCTGTTGAGAGGAATAAACGAACGAAAAAAAATTGGAATGAATCGAGAAGATTGGAATTTGTGGCAGGGCCTCGAGAGCAGCAAAAGGCTGCATGTCAAGTGGTGTCCATCATGGGTCGTGATTACAAATTTTTTTTTTGCGAAGTCTCGTGATTTTCCCCTTTCTCGGCTCTTGAAGCTTTTGGAGATGATTTGAGCGTAGAACACTTTTGAAAAAACTCCGCCTTTGCATTCAAATCAAACTCCAGTCTAGTCGAAGAACAAGATAATGACATGATTGAAAAAATTTTGGTAACTTCTTGAGAAAATTTGGGAATCGAAGTCTTGGGATTCTCTTTTTTCTCTGCTTATTGGAGCTTCGGAAGATAATTTAAGAGTCGATAACTTCTGAAGAAAGATCTTACTTTCAGCCTATAATCTCAGGAATCAAACTCCAGTCTAGTCGAAGTTCAGGATAATCAAATGATTCTTATTTTCTTCATTGCACAAAAAAAACCATCTTAACCTCATTTTAAAATGTTTTAAATTCTACAAACTTTGATAGTTTATCATGAATCATTAACTCTAAAATGTTTCCGAGGATGATTGATTCTTCGAAAAATCACGCTTCAATTTTCGAGGTTTCCTCAGACTCATCCGCATCCCCAGAAGCGCGCGCAGCAAAATACTTCACTTTGTAGCTGTTTTTTTCATATTTGTTATTATTGCTGCCACGGAAAGCATCCATAACGGCAGAAAAGCTTTTCCGGCTATTTTTCGAACTCGTCTCAGAACAAAAGAAATTTATCTACGTGGCTTGGAAGTTGGGTATATTATGGAAATCCGCTCAAGACTTCATACCTCCTAATCTTGTAAAAATATAAGAATCAAAAAAATAATCAAGGAAGATTTCAAATTTTTTTCCTTGCGTTTATTTTCGAAAAAGCAAAAGGTTTTATTTGAACCAGTTTTTAATAAAATGGCATGAAATTACACCCTACACGTTTTCTATGACTTTTTTCTCTCAGAAAATCCACAGTTTTTCATCTTCAACGCATAAAATTTTAGGTTGACGAAACGGAACAATTGCAGGTATAATTTGTACCTATCGCGTGCAAGGAACGTTTCAAATAAAACTGGACTACCCATAAATTCATGGGAGAAATAATGGACTCGTTTAGAGCTTTTTTTACAGTGGTCCATAACAAAAAGAAAAAGTTTTTTTATTTTTTTGATGGTTTGTTATCAGGGAAGCACGTAGAAGTGACGATCCGATTCTCAACAGAAAAAAAAGGGAAGCTTGGCTTTTTTTCTTTAGATTATATACTTCATGAACAAACTTTAACACGCAAGGTCATAAAACATAATTTTTTTCTTCTAATAGTACCATGGACCCTCGGACTTTGAACTTGGTCTCTTGCGTGCAGACAAATTTCAAAAAATAAAAAGAAAAGGCATTAAATTTATGAGATACTACAGTAGCCCAAATTTTACGGTTAGTAGACATGGAAGCTTGTAAAATTCATGCAGTCAAGGTTAAATGACGAGAAATCACATAATGTGCCCTGAACGAACCATGGCACGCAAAGTCAAACAATTTTTTCAAGTAAGCATAAAGCTTTCGCAAAGTCAAAACTTGTCAGATCTCGTGCCGAGGCGTACTTTTATAGCTTCAAAGCCAGACAAACAACAAGTCCTTTGCTACAGTAAACTCATTTAGTGCTTTTAGTCATCATGATATCAACTTTTGAACGAATCACACTCTCTCAGGGAAATTAAAAACAACTTTTCTTGGAGAAGTCTAATTGGTAAACTTAAAACAAATGTCAGTTACTGGTGAAAATGATTAAAACTGCGTCAAAGTTCGAGCCTACTCAGTGTAATTATTAGGCAGAAAATACGTGTCAGATTTGAAAATTTTCTGCTGCAAATTACTTCCGCCTCCGGGATTATATAATTTTCGTTCTGAAGAGAGAAAAAAAAACTACGGCGTTTGAAGTGTTTGCATTCGTATATTTCAAACTTGTGTGTGGAAAAAATTGATTTGAATAATTCAAATTTCTGTCAGTAGAGGGGAAAAAAAGAAGTCATCTCTTATATTTGGATAGTTGCTTTCAAAAAGTATAAATCCACTAGAAACTCGCTGATGTTAGAAATGAGTTATTGAGAAAGAAATAAATGATAATTTGTCGGGAGGAAGTTTTTCTTAGGATTATAAAACTTGAAATAAAAATGAGAATTTTTTTCCATTTTTCCGTCCCGTTCGCAGGCTTAAAATAAAAATGTGACAAAAAAATAAAAAAAAGCTCTGACGTCTCCGTTCTAAAAACTAGCCGTGGATGTAGTATAATTCCACAACGAAGCAAAAAAAAAACTGGAATTCCTGAACAACCAAATAACGACTGGAATGAAATAACGAAGAAAAACCACTCATTTAGAAATAGCCAGGAGGCTTTTATTCCGCTTCTCTTACCTAAAACAGTTTGCTTTGTTGGAATGAACAATCGCATTTTCCATCCGACTGCTCCTGAACCGGTTAACCGGAAAAGCTCTTGCCAAAAATGGCCTGAGTAGAGAAGACAAAAAAACCTTCCAGTGAGCAAATTGTTCGTTGTTTTTCAGAAGTCTTTCTGGCTCCCACGGGCTGTCCAATCCAAGGGAAAACCAAGGAGAAAAAAAAACGGCTTAGGCAATTTTGAATCGTGGTGCATTCATTAAAACTTTTCGAGACAAGGGAAGATTTGGGTGGGTGGACAAGAAAAAAAAAGCGAAGCGAAGAGATGAAAAATTAGGTCCGAACTTTTGATCCTCTTGAACTCGAAATTAAGTTGAAGGAGGTTTCGAAACGGGAAAGTGTGATAATAGGCTTTGCCGGTGGGTTTTCGAAAACTCGTTTCATAATTGTTACCTTTTGAAAAACCTTTCGCTCTAGAAAATGCGAGTTTTTTCTTTCAAAATGTCAATTGAAATTCTTCAAGTGTCTAGAACTTTTTTCCAGTTTTTAACTAACTTTTTAAAAAAACTTTTTCTGAAGTTTTCGGCTTGATAAACTGCTCACTGGCAATTTTCAAATCCTGCATTTTTTTAACAAAGTTACGATTAGACGTTTAAAAAAATCCAATTCAAATGCACCAAAGTTCAAAAATATTTATTAAATGGAAGAAAAATTAGAATCGGAAGCACTTTGGTGCAGAAAAAAAATGTTGCAAAAGACATGAAAAGGCATTTTTTCGAAGAGAAGGAAGCAATCAAGGCCCCGCAAATGATGTGTTGTCCAGCCCGAATGTACAATATATATGATACAATTTTGCGAGCACAAGGGTTCATTTGGATGAGGTTCTTGGCGGCAAAAAAAAAACGAATAAAAAGCAAGAAAAACGACGTCATTTGTTGAATTTGGGGGAAGGCCGGCAGGCTCTGTGGGTCGGGACCCCGTTCAGATATCTCAGACGCTTCAGCATCAACGCGGCAGCTTCCCTGAACGAAAAAAACCTCTCAAATCAAATTTTGAACGGAAGCGAAGAGTCGAGGAAATAGAGGGAAACTTTCGGTCAGTTCAAAAGTTTGGAAAGGATTTTGGGTCAAAAAAAAAAGATTAAAAATCATAATTTTCTAACAGCATGATGATTTTAATTTTTGGCTTTCGCAAAATTGAATTTCAGCTCGAGTATCTCCGAACTTTGGAAGTCTTTCATCTGTTCGAAGATGAAGAAAACTTTACGCTCCAGTCACTTCGAAAAGATTTTCCAGCTCAAAGAATTCGAGAATATTAAAATTTGGTCTTTCGGGTTCAAAAGCGGAGTTAAACTTTAATATAAAGCAATTTAATCGTTTTGAAGTTTAACTTTGACCACATGAACTTTAGCTGTGGCTTGAGCATTTTTCAATTTTTTTCTTTTGAAATTTTTTTAAAACCTCAAACACATTTTTTTGAAAAAAAGATAGAAGCCAAATTTCTCAGATATGAAAGATCAAAAGGTTCAAACCTGTACAACCCTTGCGTAGATTCATCTCTTGGCCAGCATTCATTGCCCTCCAAGGACAAATCTTCAAGATTCGGACAAGAAACTGATAAATTTTCAATCAGTCTTCCAAAAGATTTTATCTGAAAAAATCAATGGAGTTATTGCAATCATTGAAATTTCGCGGAACTCTGTAGATTGTAGGAAATACAATGAAGAGTGATAAGAAAACCTGGTTCTTCCTGATAGTCAGCTTTTTCAAACTCCGAAATGGCGGCAATTTGAATGAAAATTCTGTCAAGTTGTTCTCATTGGCTCTGAGGCTGACAATTGAACCTCTTATCGCAAGAAGAGGCAGAGGAAAGCATCTGCAAAAAAATATTATTTTTTTGCAAGCAATGATAATGACTGGGCATTATTTTCGAAACGGCTTATCTTATCAAGTTTTTTTGTTGTTGAGAGACAATAAAACTAAAATAGAAATTTTTTGAACATTGAATGTATCTTTTTCATTCAATAAAGTGAAAGGAAGTGCAAGCGACATTTTTTAATTAACGGATTCTTTGACCTTGGATGTTGAGAAAAAATGGAAAAGGAAGTGACGAACGTGAAGCCTCGATGGGAGATGCTAACAGCTTCACCGGCGACAGCTTTTCGAGGCGTTGATTCATTAGCAGTTATCGATTGAGAGTTGATTTGACGGGATCTTGGTGAGTAAACTGAAGCGTTCTGAAACTCGTCATTTTTAACCAGACTGAAAAAACTCTAGTGGTCACTTAAGAGGCCTTTCAACGACTACTTGGTGTATAAAGTAGCTACTAAAACCATCTCTATAAATGCCACTATTTTCTGGCTTAAAGGCCACTGCAGTAGTTTTTTTTTTGATCTCTTACTTCTCATACTTCACAAGAGGCCACTAAATACAAGTCATTTAAGTAGTGCTAGTTCGATTACTATAGGGGCCACTGAAACTTCAAAACTCGGTCAATACAAATTTATTATGGCGGCAGTAGAGGATTTATAAATTTTCGTGAAATCATAACTCTGCTAAAGAAACCATTTTTAAGGTAAAATGAAACCAGGGTGTCTTGAAGAACCTCTTGAGAGAGATTTATCGAGAAGTTCTTGACCGAACAACTTTTACGCTACTTTTTAAAAAAAATTTTGTTATCTGATAATTTCGAATTTCACGTGAATAACATATGCAATAGGGAAAGTATATTTTGAAAACTTTTTCGGGGTTCAAGAATAAGAATAGACAAATCTCAAGCTAAAAGTCTTTTCCAGTTACTTTTCTGATCCTTCAATACTTCTGCCACTTCAAAATAAGTATTCTACTTTTTTGAGCGAATTATGTAAATGAAACGAACTCATAGGGAGCGTTTAAAAAATTTTCTACTATACATATTTTCTCTCAACTTACCACCATTTTCGAAAGAGTAGAGCCTGTGAGCCAATCAACTGAAAAAATGAGCCGTTGTCAATCAAGACCTCGGCCCTGGGGGTGATAACGGCCATCGGCGCCTGAAAACAACCTGGTACGGCCTGTCTGATTCGACAGAGTTCAGTGAAAGTTCAGAATCTGCTTAGCAGTGGCTCTTATCAGCAAAAGATGGAAACTTCGAGATGACCATCTTATCAGAGGCGTTCGAGAGAGTTCAACCTTGGCGCGGGAATCAAAGGGACGGTTTTGAATAGTATAGTGAGATATTTTTTTCTTAATTTTTTTCTTTTAGTGATAATTTTTTTCCAAAATAACTATTTCGCAATTTTGTCTCAACGTCTTCAAATACGACAGGAACATTTTTGAAAATGGGAGGTAAAAAAATCCTACAGAAGAAAAATCAAAAAAATCAAAAAAATTAGTTCAAAGCTAATTTCAAAAAAAGTTTTCACGGTCAACCTATAATTTTGGACCATTTTCCAAGTTTTAAGCCCTGATAATTTTGTTTCACGCTGCATCAGGAAAATTCAAAATGTCTTCACAACTAAAACGAAGTTTTTTTCGAAAGACCAGAAAGGAAAAAAATGTTTCTCTGTTAAGGCCATCACATCAATAAGAAAACGGTTACTGGTGGTCGATGTTTCATTTTTAGGCGGTAATTGGGAGACACTCTTTCACCATCGTGACTTCAGAAGTGGTGGCGGAAGTCGGAATTCGGTCTGCTTTCTTTTTTTTTCTTTGAAAATTAAGTCTAAGTTTTTAATAAACTGTTTATCTTAATTCTAGAACTCCTTTTTTTATTGTGTTTAGAGAAGGTTTTAAACTTTTTTGAACATTCCTTTCTTCAATTTTCTAACAAAAAAGGTATTTACATGTCAAATGGCCGCGTAAAGTTTGCTACGTGAAGCGCCAGACCCATTACGGTTTGCGCGCGAAGGCATAAACAGCATTTATTCATGTCTCCAGGTTTCAATTCGTACCTGGCTGCCACGTTTCGAATCCATAGACGCTTTGAAGTTCTTTGAATATAAAAATGGCTTTTATAACCTTTATCATTACTGTCTCCTTCAAACTTCACAACTTTTCCGTCAATCAACCAAAAAAAGCTCAGTTTATCTTTCAACTTCTCTCATTGTTTAAAATTTCTACTTTTTTCCCAAAAATTATGAAAAATAAAAGGCTCAAGTTACGCTTTTTTTCTCGGTCAGGTTTCCCCACTGTGCCGGTTGTTTATATCTGTTGCGAGGCAGCCCAAAATAAAAGGTAAATCACATCTCGCAGCGAAAGTTGAGGACACAAACTGGACCCCTTTTTGCCTGTTTTGCCATTTCAATTGGCCCTGTCCACAACTTGTCCGACTTTGCTGGTTTATTATATTTTCATCGAAGTTTAAAGGTCAACTTTTTAAAATAATCGGTAAATCTTTCTTTTGAACCACTATTTTTCCCATTCATGCCATTTTTATAGATTGAATTTTCTGCATGCTGAAGTCAAATGAAGTATAATCAGGTTGTCGTCAAAAATATATTCATTTTAAAAGCCACATTTTAGGAAAATGAGTGAATCTATACCATAAATTATGTATTGAATTGCCACAGAAAACTTCAAAACCTCAGAAAAAAAAAATCCAAAGCGAGATCTTCATTTGGATTTCTCCCAAACCCAAGCAGAAAACTTGGAAAATTGCCCTGATATGATACGTTAATGGGAAGAAGACGAATTTCGGAAAACTGGCTTGACACATCATCAATTTTACGAACGCGCTATGTTATCACAGCCTTGTCGCTTCTCATATTCATTTTCTCACTTCAATTTCAATTTTTTTCTTTCCAAACAAACTTTAGTTCATATACTACTATCAAAGGTCTTATCAATTACCTCTTAGCTAAAGACGAATGGAGATCAACCAGGATGTTTGATACTCGGAAGTGTTTAAAAAAGTTGTTGTTAACTGTTTCCTGTTGAGCATGGAACATGAAAAAAGGTGGACATGACAGCTGTTTGGACCAACATTCTTTGGCCCAAAAAACATCTCATTTATCTAGTTTCTTGACGCAAACCCCGAGTTTTCTGTCTATCCCAGCTAATTTGAAAGTGCCTCTTTGCTCGTAAAGTTTTATTTTCTTGTCAAAATGTGACAATTGAAAAATAATAGGCTTTTGATATCATCAGGGACAATCTTTTGACAATTAAATTCTAGAGGGCCTTAGCTTCTGGCTTGATGAAAACATTTTTCCCTCTACCGGCTTTATTTTTAGTTGTTTCACGGCGCCAATTATCATTTTTTTTGCTCGGCAAACCTCGAGAACGTTGATTTTTTTGTTTCAGAGACCTTAGGTTCCATTTTTTTACCATTTTCAAAAATAAAAATTTTCCACTTCTATTTCAACTTTTTTGATAATACTTAGATATGCTGAATATTTCTTTAATCATAGTGAGATCTTTATTTTTTTAATTAAATCTGAAAAATCTTCTGTTTTTTTCTCTTATCATGCGTCATCGAACTTCCGTTCTTGAACACCAAAATGGTCATCCATCAAAAGTGTTGAAGACTGTTTGGGGTATTTTTCGGCCGTTTGATACCAATGCCAAAGCATTCCATTGGCATTCGGTATCGTCAGACGGTTGAACAAAAAAAGAGAAGAAAGAACAAGTTTGCCTTGCGCCAAACTAAGAATGACCTTCAATTATCGGAGAGGTAAACGGCCGAGATTGCAGTACTGCCACATGAAGCGATGAGGCTGATTCTGGTACTTTTGGCGCTTGCCGCACTTGGATGGACGGCAGACGACTGTGTCCAGGACGCCGAGATTCTCAGTCAGTTGCAGAAAGCGGCGGGAAACCTTCTGGAGCAGCCACGGCCAAGTTTGTTATTTGCTCAGCTTCTGATATCTATCATGATGTTTCAGGGTTTTTCTTGAATTTTATGATTTTTTTGGGTTCATTTTCATAAAATTCTACAAAAATCATAATTATCAGTCCCGGACATCATCAGCTACTTCTGAAATCAATTGTCGTTTCGTTGCATTGAGTTTAGATTTGATAATGTTCCTTAGATTTTTCCATATTTCTTATTCAAACTTTGCTAAATTTTTCAAACTCTGAATTGAACACACTATCTTTTTAACCTTTTTTTTTCAAAAAACAATAAGTTTAATCAAAAAAATCCCTGCGAAATCAAAAGCAAAACAAAACTTAAAGCAACATAAGTTAACCAGGGAACGTTTTTACCCCCCGGTTGATCTTCTGCTGAAACTTTGCTGGAGTGTATTTTGGGACCTCCTGATTGCAGATCGAATAATCAATTTCTCGCAATAGATCTTGTTTCCGAGTTATGGAGCTTCAAAGTGTGCGATATACGCAAATTAGGCCAAAAAAGCGCTCTTTCGGGTTTTTGAAGTGTCCTATCTCGAAAACCAGATCTATTGCGAGAAATTTTTAAAAAACGTTCCCTGGTAAGAATTTTGGGTTTTGGCTACAACCTTTAATTTTTTTTTGTATGAACTTCGTAATGAGCAAACATTTCTCCTTTCCATCTTGAACTTCAATTCTTGTCCTAGCTTTTTTTCTATAAGATCATGAAATATCTGGGTTCCAGGCGGCCAAGAAATTGACGACGTACTGGAGATATCGATCGGCTTCAGTGCGAACTCTTTCAACATTGTCCCTCACACAAGTACGGTCGAAATCGATGGTATCGTAACTCGACAATGGAAGGTATGAAGCCTCTTCTCTTCAAAAAGAAATCCTTTTCAGCACCCTTCCCTTTATTTCTCCCACTTGAACCCATGCAGAAACGTCTTGAGCATCAGTAAGTGATAAAAGAGTTGTCAGTTTGTTAATTTGGCGTTTAGGTCATTGGAGAAAACAATTGTGGACCCCACAATTGTCCTTTGCAAATTCCGTTGCTATCACGGTGCATCACCACAGCGTCGTGATTCGACTGAAGGACGATGGAACTATTATTCACACTGAAAGGTTTTTATGCAAGTTTGAAACAGGGATGTGCGATGTTTTACATTCGCTGAAATTGTCGGGAAATTTTATAAAAAAGGCGTTTTTCGGGATCAAACAGTCTTGGAACATCTCAACTTTTTCGGAAAATCATTTGGGCCTTCAGTTGAAATTCGTCAATAAGGAATACGAACAACTTCCATTTATACAAGTTCGAAAGTGGCCAACATGTGCCTTTTTTAATCTATTGGCTTTTTTCAAACGCTGCTAACATTCTTTAGACTAGGTTTTTGACGTTTTTTAAGTTATTGAAAAAGCTTGAAGTAATTCATTTCAAAAATAAATACTATTACCAAGAAACACCAAAAAAAATTTATTTTTTGAGAAATGGCGTTCAAACACACTAGCGATCCCTATACAGCTCAAAACTCTTCGGAAACTAAAAAAAGAAAGAAAAATAAAAACTATCTTAATTTTGGACCTTATTTTTCGGTTTCAGGAGATCACATAGTCCCTCAGGCGGTTTTATCGATAGAGCGCATTTAGTCCTTAAAACACATTTATAAGAAACTTCAAATTTCCGCAAAACATTCAAATCTGTTCAAAGCTATTTTTCCATTTCAGGAACGTCCAAAAAGGTTTTTGTAGGAAAATCCAGTTCTTAATCAATTTTTTTCAAAGTCAAATAGTCTTATTGAATATAATGGCCAACTAATGTTTCAAAAAAAGTAAAAACGGAATTTCAATTTTCAGAGTGAAGCAATCGATTCCCTGCAAAACCCATGCAAATGAATACCCATTCGGCAACACAACTTGCACCTTAGTGTGGAGAAACGACGATTTGACAAGAAATAACGCCAAAGTGAAATGGATCGAGAACTCGGGAGATCTTCAAAATGCTCATGAAGTGAATCTCATGGTTTTATAAGTGAAAAGTGTAATTTACAGGCTGGAGACCTTCTTCTTCGTGGTGTAAACTTGACCCAAACTGAAGCTTATCTTCAAAATGGAGTGGTGGATGAGCTCAAATTGAATTATGAGTTCACTAGAGGACATCATAAAATATTGCTCTTGTTCTTTATTCCATCAATTATCTTCATGTTCATACCGTGAGTTAAGTTTTTCCGGAAAATAACAAAAATATTTTTTTCAAAAAAAGTTTTTGAAAAAAAGTAGCATCTGATTATTTTTTTTTTTCTTGTAATCAAGCCCTCCACTGTTGGTTTCAATTCTTCTGAAAAAGGTCGCATTTGGAATGGCTCGCTACTTTCTCATTGTTCATTGTTAATTTGATCGCCGATCAGCCCAACAAGTTTTGATGGGAATAGAAACTTTAAATTAGTTTTAAATTAAAATTGCCCTTTTTTTAGTTGGCTCTCCTTGTGTCTCGGACCAATGGCAATCACTCGATCCATTTTATTGATCGGATCTTTGATTCTCCTCATGATCCACTACAGCACCAACCTGGCTGGGCTTCCTCAAACCAATGGAGTTACAGCAATTGGTTTGCCCTCTTCTCGATTTTTCAAAAGTTCAGAATATTTCAGACATCTGGAAGCTTTTTTCCTTTTTCTACGTTGTCGGAATCATGTGCGAGCTGATTATTGTCACTTTGATGGCCAGTCTTGGACGGTCCAGGTAACTTTTTCTAATATTTGATGTCTCTAGCAAAAAAAAGCTGAAGGAGATGCAAACGAGGCAAGCGTAAGGGCGGCTATTCGATGGAACCGTTGTACGAGGAGATGAACGACCTTCGCGATCGCAAAACTAGGTTAGTCTATTGACCTGACATCTGAGGATGTAAATAGACAAAGTCATGATGAGAGTCAGAAAAAATGACTTATTCCTAACAGATTCAAAATCAGAGAAGGGAGCTTGAAAATAAGACTTCTGCTCCAGAAAACGGTTTGAATGATCTGAAAAAAAGCGGAATGATATTATTTTGAACTCACGATGATTCTCAAAAAGGAAAACATCCCAAATAACGCTCAAACTATTATTAATTAAGGCCGTGAGATCTATCTGAAAAAATTCTCAAATTTTTTTTTCATCATTTTTGTCAGAAATGGGACGTTTTTTTTTAGTCATATCTCTTTTATTGCTTCCTTGACATCTTGAAAGCTCGAAAATTAGTTTTGGCTAGGATGAAAGCTGAAAAAGAGCTTCTAACCTTGATAACTTATTGAGCTATTGGAATACTATTGATCCCTGTTGGCTTTAATAAATGATCCTAGTTATTTTTTGAAAACCGTGTAAGGAAAAAACTCCCTCTAATTTTTTATAGAGCACATGTGTTCCTAAAATATAACTAGAAGAAATATTACATTAAACTCATTCAAAAGGTCAACTTTTTGAACGTTCTTGTATTCGTTCAGTCCTGCTTATTTATGATTTTTCCTAGAACTATTGAAAAATGCTCAAGTTACAGAAGAACCTGTGGATGTTGCCGCATCTCAGCCCTCATCCTGGACTTTGCCGCCTTGTGGATTTCCGCCATCGTTTTCCTGCTCTTCTGCTTTGTATACTATTCTCAGAGCGCCAAACTCGTCAAATGGTCCAATGATTTCGATATCGACACTCTCCGCATCATCTGAATTTTCCAATCATCTTTTCTTTGAATTTTTTGATTGCTTTTAGATTGAATTAGAAATTGTATCACGTGGTATTCCTGTATGTGGCATAATGGAAAATCTTTCTATGTATCATGATGGAACGAATAAACATTTTTTCTCTCAGAATCATCAAATTTGCTTATTTCTGTACAATCCTCGACACACCCGATTTTTTTCGCTTATTTATTGTTGAAAACGGTCAATTTTTTGCCAGGTTGAGACAAGTCGAAAATTGAGTTAAATTGTCGAAAAGTCTTAACTTAATATTTTGTTTTGTAAAGCTACTTTCTCTTTCCAAAAATCGAAAAATTGCGCAATTCCACTAGAAAAAATGCATCCCATCTGGTGGTTTTTTTGTTTTCATAGTGAAAAACTCAATCACCATTGTCATTAAGCTTCAAAATGTCAACTTCATTAGTAAATATTTTCTATGAATCTACAAAAAACGGCCATTGCTTGGAAAAAAAAACTAAAAAAAAAATGAATATGACATTGTTGATAAGAAAAGTATCCAAAAAAAGGTAAAGGGCTGGAAAAAGTCCATTTTTACTGCAAAAAACTGAGACGATGGGATGTTTTGCGAGAGGTCATGGTCGAGCGGAGCGAGATGCGCGCCGCTGACCGGTCCCATCTTCCTTATTCTGCCGCCTTCTCTCTCGCCACGGCCACCGTCCGCTGAACCTTCTAGAACGTCTCCACATCTATTCAAAAGCGTTCCACTTTTCATGTTTCACATGCTTTTCATAGATTTCTGACTGCTGAAAATCTCCAAATACTCAGATTTCGATCTTTTTTCGAATTTCTGATACGTTTTATCAGTCTCTAGCTTGAAAAAAAGCTTAGTTCTGTTTTTGTTTGGCACAAAATTTTCTGAAAAACTTGAAATATGTATCTTATAGGTTTCAAAAAAAGCGTCATCATAACAATTTTGATTTACGGTTCTCAGAATGCTCCCTTTTTTAATTTTCACTAAACTCCATTCACCAATAGCTTAATGAAGTGATCACAAAGATTCTTAAGACTTGCCTTTTTAAAATTTTTTTTTGAATTTGACTCACCGGAGTTGCTGGGTTCTTTGATCTTACGAACAGATGAGATTATTTTTTGCGCTCTTCATTGTTATTTCCATCGTTTCGGAACATTCTTGATATAGAAAATTGGAAAAAATTCAGAATCTAAGGAATTATGGGCACTTGTTAGACTTTTAAAGACCAAGCCCACTAAAAATATGTCAGAAAATTAATTTATCAAAGAAGATATTTCTTCTTCCATATCCTTTGTAACTTGGAAAAGCTCAGTTGCATGAAAGCGTTGGCATCAAAAGGAAAGTTTAACTGAAGGCGAATATATTATCTATTTTGTTTTTTTTTTTGAATAATACTTTCTTCATTCAAATTTTCAAGCCTTAATGTTTTTCAGGTAATGAGGCGGGTGGTCGCCGCACTTCTCATTTTAGGCCTGACCCATGCAGTCGACAGGCAAAAATTCAAAACCTGTGATCAGTCCGGATTTTGCAAGTTTGTTTTTTTTTCTTTTTTCACAGCCTGCTTACGTAATTCTTATAATTTTATTGAACGAGGAAGCATTTTGAGAAAATGAGAAAAGATAGGTACACGTGTCACTACGCGCGGACAGGTTTTCGTAGCCGTTGCGGGCGAGAAAAGGGAAGAATTTGAGGAAATTTCGTAGCATGCATCTAAGATCATCGGCTTCTAGGAAATGCGGAACTTTTTCTGAAAGAAAACAAATTCAGGAGACACCGTGCCGTTAAAGAACCAACTGGCTACGAAGTGATCTCAGATTCCATCAAAGTTAATGAAACTGGGCTTGCCGCTAAAATCAAGAACAAGGTTGGTAACTCGTCATTTAACTGTATCTCAGGGGTAATCCACTGAAACGACGTCTGAACTTTTTTCTGCTTTTTAGAGAAACTTTATCGAGTTCATCGGTGAAAAAACTACACATTTCATTCACTCTGAATTTGAAGCGAGCTCCTTGCAGAAAATGCCTCAGAAGCAGTGATCTGTTTCAAAATGCTTATTTAGACCCACATTTTGCTGCACTTAATTTTTATTGCAAAAGGAAAGCGACAAAAATATTTTCCAACGCGCAAGTCGGATAGAGTCGGTTGCACTGGCGCTCGACTGTATTATCATTTTTTAATTTTTCGGTTATGGTTTTTCAAATCGTTGTATTACTCCCAGATTTCTCTTTCCCGATTTGCTAACTCTCTTTTTCAGGACCTGACCCTCAAGCTGAGCATTGTCACTCTTAAGGATTCAACTGTTCGGTAAGTATGTTTTCCAAGATGAAACAGTAAAGTCACCTTCACAATTTTCTAGGGTTCTCATCGAAGAAGACGAAAAAGCGCTGAGAAACCGCTACCAGCCATTGGACGCTTTAGTGAAACGCGAGCCAGAGCAGCAAAAGTGAGAATTTTTTCACACCTGAATTCTAATTATCTACTTTCCAGGATCAAAAAAACCAAAGAAGAAGCAAGCGCCACGAAAATCCTCACCACTGATGGAAATCGCGTCGTTTTGATCCACAAGCCATTCAGAGTCGATTTCTATGTCAAGGACAAGATTGTGAGATAAAATCTACTATTTTTCCTTTGACTTATCTTTTTAAAGGTATCCTCTATCAATTCTGCCGGGCTTCTTCACTTTGAAGCTTTCAAAAAGAAGGTTTTGCTGAGCGACCGTGAGAAAGGATTCTGGGAGGAGACGTTCAAAGAGATCAAGGACACGAAGCCTCACGGTTATTTGAAGTTCTTTTTGTGAAATCATGCTCGAATGATTCAGGGTCGTCATCAATCGGAGTTGATATCGCTTTCGTTGGAGCTAAATACCTGTTCGGGATTCCAGAGCATGCGGAAGGATACTCTTTGAGAGACACTAAGTTGGTCTTTTTATCTACAAAAATTAAAACCAAGAGTTTTTTGATTCAAAAATTAAAAAAAGTCATTTTTCGAGTCTGACATGGTTAATGACTTATTTAGTAAGCTTTTCTCCTCTTATTACTTGATTATATGTTTCAATTTTCAAGATAAGGAGAAAAAAAGCTTCGGAAACTTCATAACTTAAGGTCCTACGAGCCTTACCGCCTCTACAACCTTGACGTCTTCGAATATGAGACCAACTCTCCAATGGCTCTCTACGGATCCATCCCATATTTGGTAAGCTTTTTCTTGTCTTCCAATTTTGGATAATGAATTTTAAATATTTCAGGTTGGAGTTAACCAAAAAAACGATCGGTCGGCGCACTGTGGCTGAACGCCGCTGAAACTTGGGTCGAGATTGAGCAGACCACTGCGGATAAGGTTTGGAACATTTTGTTATAGTAGATTCCTGTTAACACTGAGAAATAAACTTCAATATGTCCCAGGATACAGTCAAAATCTGGCGAATGACTCGAAAAAGGGTTTTAGTGCATTTTACTATAGTTTTATGTGTTGAAGATTTAAAAAAATTTTGTTCGAAACAGAAGAATTTTTTATCAGGTTTTTTTTGTTGCGAAAAGCTCAATTTTTTGAATATTAAGCTTCTGCCTTGATACGATCACAATAGGGAATGAGAAAGTCAATTTTTTTGCAACAACCCCAGCTTTCAAGGGCAAACTATCCAAAGAAGTTCTGGACGCCGACACCAAGCCAAGAGACGTCCCGCAGCAAAACGCTCGCTTCATTTCTGAAGCCGGAGTCATCGACATCTTCATCATGCTTGGCCCTCAGCCAAATGATATTTTCCGTCAACTTTCTGAGCTCACCGGCAACGCCCCACTACCTCCAGTAAGCTAAAATTGAGACAAAAAGTATCGAAAAATACGTTTTTTTTTTTCCCAGGAGTTCGCCCTCGGATACCACCAATCTCGCTGGAATTACAAGGACCAGAAGGACGTTAAGGAGGTTTTTTTTCAGTTTCACGTGGAAAATTAAAGTTGCACTTGTAGGTGCACGAAGGATTCATCAAGAACGAGATTCCACTTGACGTCATCTGGCTCGATATTGACCATACCGATGGAAAGGCCTACTTCACTTGGGATAAGGCTGCTTTCCCAAATCCTTCTGGAATGATCGAAGAACTTGCTGAGAAGGTTTGAATTTCGAGAAAACGGAGACCTTCTTCGCCCTTTAAACTTGAAGCCATTTATGATTAAAAAAGTTCAGAACCGAAAGTTGGTCACAATCGTTGATCCTCACATCAAAAAGGAAGCCAAGTATCACATCTACAAGGAGGCTAAGGCAAAGGTGTAAAAATAATAAAACATTCCAAAAATGAATCATGAATTTTCAGAAACTTTTGGTCAAAAACGCAGATGGAACAAATTACGTTGGAAATTGCTGGCCAGGCGACTCGGTCTACATCGACTTCCTTGACCCCAAAGCTCGTGAATATTGGTCGCAGCAGTTTGCTTTTCGACAAGGTTTTTTTGCTTTTTCATCTCATTTTGATTCAAATCTGTCCTTTCCAGTACACTAACACCAGCAAGGACGTTTTTATTTGGAACGACATGAATGAACCTTCAGTTTTCGATGGTCCTGAGGTAGAATTTTATTTGATAACAAGTAGAAATTTGAATGTTTTCAGGTGACTATTCATAAAGACGCCAAGCATGTGGATGGATGGGAGCATCGAGAAGTGCACAATGTTTATGGGTTCCATCAGGCAAGCTTGGATTTTTTTAAAATAAGAATGGTCGATTTTTTTCCAAGTTTCATTTGAAAATTAGTTAGTTAATCTGCTTTTTAAGGTTGGAAAGTTTTCGAAGAAGTATTGATTTTTTCTGAAACTTCTCTGAAAACGAAAAAAAGTATAGCAAAAACCGTCTTTTTTTGGAGTTCTGAGAAAATGAGCTACAGAGTTTCAGTCTCAATTTCTGCAATATCCATGTTTTTGCAGCACGAAGCAACTTTCGCCGGCCTCAAGAAAAGAAGCAACGATGAAGTCCGACCTTTCGTGCTGTCAAGATCGTTCTTTGCCGGATCTCAAAGAACCGCCGCCGTCTGGACTGGAGATAATAAGGCCGACTGGGGACATTTGAGGGTACAACTTTCTTTTTTCTCGAATGATTTTTCACTTTTTTCATTCTCAGCATTCTATTCCCATGCTTTTATCTCTTGGTACCGCTGGCATGCCCTTCGTCGGAGCTGACGTCGGCGGATTCTTTGGAGATCCAGATGAGGAACTTCTAGTCAGATGGTTGGTTTGAAGCTTTGAAAAATGAGAATTTTATTCATTTACTCGATTAGGTACCAAGCCGGAGCTTTCCAGCCGTTCTTCAGAGGTCACTCCCATCAAGATTCCAAGCGCCGAGAGCCTTGGCTTTTCAGTCAGGTTTTTTAACTTCTCGGGGATTCCTGCAAGTTTTAAAGCTTTCAGAACACCACTGATGCCATTCGGGAAGCTATCAAGAAGCGTTATGCCTTTTTGCCTTATTGGTGAAGATTTTAAAGTCTTTTCATAAATTTTGAGTTTTCAGGTACACTTTGTTCTACGAGCACACAAAGACTGGAAAACCAGTGATGCGACCTTTCTGGCTTGAATTCATCGAAGACGAGGTGAGAATTTTTGAAAAATTCCAAAAACTGAGATTTCGTGATGAAATGTGAGATTTTGATAAGACAAAAAAATATTTCTTGCAGTAATGTACATTACTGTTTCGATTTTTCGATAATAAATATTTTTTATACTGTGATGTCGTTGGATCTTCAAAGCCAATCGTTTTCAAGCAAAAAAATCGAAGTTTGATTACTTCCCTGTTGCAGCTCTGGAAATATGATTTTTAGTTATCTTTCCAACAAAGCAAACGTTGAAAAATAAAATTCAAAATAATTCCTAATTTGAAAATGCTTTCAGTCCTCCTGGGATGAAGATCGTCAATGGATGGTCGGCCCAGCTCTACTGGTCAAGCCTGTCCAAGAACCCGGGGCGACCCAAATCTCCACTTATCTTCCTGGAAAGCGACAGGTTTTGCTCCTTCAAAGTTAAAATATTTTCTCAGTATTAAATTCTAGGTTTGGTTTGAATGGGACACTCATAAGGCACGTCCCTCGCCAGGAGCTGTTCAAAATCCAGCTGGCTTGCACTCGATTGGACTTTACCAGAGAGGAGGTGAATAAAAAGCTCGAATTTTCCACTTCTTTCTATTAGAAAACGTACTGTGAACATAACTAATTACCAGGAACTATGATCCCGGTCTTCGCCGACGTCAAGATGACTACAAAGGAGAACCACGAGCAACCGATTATCCTCTACATTGCCCTCAATAACAAAGGTAACTTCACTTTCCTGTTTCAAGCTATCTCTTCAATGTTTTCCAGGAGACTTCGCCAATGGAACGATTTACTTGGACGACGGGGAATCTTACGCCTACGAGAAAGGAGATTTCGCTTACTGGGGCATCACCTTCAAAAAGTTTCAGTTTTCCAATAAATCCACTCAATTTTTTTTCAGGGAGCATGATTATCTTCATACTATCACCAATAAGAACTTGGACAAGAGAGGGACCTTTGACAGTGACGTTTACATCGAGAAGATCGTTATCCGTGGAGCGAAGTTTTATCCAAGAACGGCTCATATTTACCTCGATGGTGTGTTTTGAAAAAATCTGACGGCTTTTGGACCGGCTCAAAGAGCTGCCATTTGAATTACGGATTCAAAGTTTTATTTCGGCACACTTTGAGAATAATTTCCTTGCAAAGGCTATGCGTTGAGCCATTCTTCTTGCAATAATATTCTTTCTAAAAAAATTATTGGTATTGCAGACATGCATCATTTTTTTTTTACTGGACATCCCAACTGGACATCCCAACTTTAGAGGAAAAACGTTTTCAGATTTCACTCCTGATCCTTTGGACTTCGAGTACGACCGCGACAACTTCTTGATGGAAATCGAAGCTCCCAACGGCTACATTACCCGAGAGTTCCGCATCGACCTTCACTCATAAAAGTCGAAAATATCACAAGATTAAATATAACATTTTAGTCATTTTCTCAGAGTTTACGGTTGTATTTTTTAGTAAAGGTATTAATAAAGGTTTTTTGAAAAGTTGGCTAGTAGTTCATTCTTCTAAAATCATACAAAAATTTATCAAGAAAAAAAAATTGCGTAAAAACAATTCAAAATTCCCTCACCCAAAAGTTGCAAATGTGAAGGGACAAAAAAAAAGTATAAATCAGAAGTTTTGGAAGATTAACAAAAAACAATTATTAGGAAGTATTTCAATGAGAAATTGAAACATAGAGAGATATCATGAAAGATCAATGAAAAAAATGCCAAATTTCAATATTTTTCAAACATTTCTTACTGGATACAACGCTTCTTCAGAAGTCCCGAAATCATTCTCGTTAATGATCTTTTGCGATGAATTAGAACTTTCTTCATGAACCTGAACATAAAATCATGAACTTCGATCGCAACCCAAAAAACTCACAAACAAATATTGTCTTACACTGCTGTTATGAGCCAACAGAAAAAATGTATCATAGAGGTGTTTAGATAGCTTGATCCAACATTTTCTTCTTTTCGAATCTGAACCAGATTATCCTCAAAAGTTTATTTCTTTGAACTCACGTACTCAGTCTTTCCAGAGTTTGCTTCGCGAAAATACGCGAAAGCGGACGGTTCCTTCCTTCCTGTCATTTAACATCCATTCTCTGGCTTCGCTTCTCGGTCTCTGAAAATTGTGAAATTTAAAAAAAATATTCAGCATTCTAGTAAAATTTCAAAAAATGGATGAAGTTGGAAGAACCGATTAGTAGCCAATTTCTTCCCACTTTTGTTGAAATTCAGAATTCATTTTTTTGAAACAGAACTACACCAAAATTGATCACATTTTTGAATAAGTTAAGATAAAACTGTAGAAAATGAAAAACTCACGAGCGTCGGAGCGTTTGGCCGGAGAATTGGGAGAGCTCCATCCGAAACATTGCAATGTCTTTTGTCGGAGCTGAACCAGATTATAATTAAAGTTCAACTTTTTTTTTCGAAAACCTTGATCTCTCAGGCGCCTAGAGCTTTCTTCGGAAAATTACGTGACAGGAGATCCTTTCTGTCATTTAACATCCATTCTCTGGTCTTGCCTGAAAAGAAGAAATGAAGTGAATTTTTCAAAACTTCACAAGTTCAGCTTAAAATCAGGACCTAGAGTTTACCAAATTTCATCTTCTTCGCGTACAACTTTCAGCCTTTTTTTCATTCTGAATTTAGGTTCAAAACGTTGGTTTTTCAGAAAAATTGAGTATTCACTGAAAAAATTTTCGCACGTTTCAAGAAAATCTTCCCTTTAATGATTTCGATGCTTGAAAAAAAGGCTTCGAAATATTCTTATTTTTAATTCCTATATTTAAAACTTTGATTATTTAAATGAAATTCAAAATTAAAAGACTTCATAAATAGAAGGAGGTGTCAATAAATTTGAAAATCTCCAAGTCATAATTTCCTGCTTTCGAAAACTTACTCCGTCGAACGTATCTTCTCCTAAATCCGCGTGATGGCTCTCTGTTTGGAGCGGAAGTTGTTGCGTTTCGTTGTTCGGCCACTGCAAAAGCAGAAACCGAGACTTTCTAGCCGGCCGAACATTCGTCCGGCGGACCCACTTTGACACAGCGGTTCTCCCCTTTCGTTGACTGAAAAAAACTTATTATATTCGTCTCAAATGAAATAAAATCAAGAAAATTTCGATGCTACACAGACATCTTTCTAATACTATCAGATCTACAGCCTACAAATAGAAAACATGAAGACTGCACATCGGCGAAAAACGTAGTGAAACTTTGAAAGTTAAAGCCGTTTTCAGCTTTGTTGAAACGGAGAGTTTTGATTAAGTATGAAATGAAATTAATTCGTTAGAAACGTTCCGAAAATAATTGGAATTATGTGTTTGTCGCTAAAAATAAAGATTTCGTTGCAAACTGAGTACTAGATTGCGCCTATAGTGTCCAATTTCCAGAGGATAAACGTAAGTTTTTAGCTCGTAATGAGATCGAAATCATTTCCAAACAACAACAAAAAAGATTTTTTGTGCTAAGGGATATACAGAGTAGTCAGAATTCGAGCACATGAAAAATTCGAAACGGCTTCAAATATTCAAAACCGCGCGCTCGCTTTCAAAAAAAACTTCTCCAAAATGAATGATTAGTTGCGAATTTCTTCCCACTTTTGTTTAAATTCAAAATTCTTTTTTCGAAACAGAACTACACGAAAATAGATCACATTTTGAATAAGGTAATATAAAACTGTAAAAAATGGGAAAAAAAACTCACGAGAGGCGAAGCGTCTCGCCGGAGAATTTGGGAATCTCTAATCAGAGATTCGATTGCAGTGGTGATCGTCACGTTCGGCAAGGTCGTCGTGTCTGTGTTGGACAACGACGAAGCAGCGCTCGTCGAAGGCTTCACGAGTCCTGCAAAGTGAGTATAAATGATTGGAATGGAGCCATTTCAATACCAACCTCCTCTTTTTGATGTACCCGTTCGGATGCTTACGGTGGCCATTGACATTGCTGAATGGCTTCTCTTCGACCTTCTCCATCTTGATGCTGTGATTTTGCTTCAACCCAATGAACGAAGGATTCGGCGAAACAGCCGTCATCGAGGGGCGTCGAGGGCGTCGTGGCGGCGTTTCCGTTGAGCATGGCTCCGTTTGGCGTCGTCGGTGCGGAGGACTGCGACTGAGCTGTCAGCGGACGTTTCCCGTTGCGTTTGCTGGGAGTGATGAGTTTGTCGTCATCGAGTCCGTAATGTTGTGAATGCTGCCAGCCGGGGAACGTCGTGACGAGCCGTCCGTTTCGCTCATCGAAGACGGGGTCCGGCAACTGGAAAAGATGAACATCAGTTTCAACATAATACAATAATCGGGTAAGCACAAAAACTGTTTGCATTGGTTTCTCCAAAAGCCAGAGAAACAATGATAAATTAAAAAAGTTTCTGAGTTCGCATGTAGCCGAAATGTCAAAAAAAGGTAATATTGAAAATAGAAGTTAAAAAACCTCGAAAAAGAATGGAGGTGTCAGTGAATTTCAAAATCTTCGAGTCAGAATTTCCTACTTTTGGAAACTTACTACGTCGAACGTACCGTCATTAAAATCTGCGTGACGGACCAGTGTTTGGAGCCAGAGCTCAAGCCGCGCCGGATCTGGGCCTCATTCAACGGCACAGCTTTGATACAGCGATCTTCCCCTCTCGTTTACTGAAAAAATTTACTAATGAAAACATGGAATCGACCATGACCTCAAAAACGTCTTTTGAAAAATTATGGAATGGATATCAAAAAATGCCCATATCATGAAAGATGGAAACGAGATTTTGTTGAGAAAAGGCCTCGAAAAGAATTTTTTTCCCCTTTTTCGGTGGGAAAAAAATGTTCAAGAAAACAGGAAATCGGAAAATATAGAACTGGTATTATTTGAAGCCAGTTCATTTGATATCAAATCATCGCATGTTAAAAGAAAAAAACTTTGATTGAAACATTTTCAAAAACGTTATCTTTATGTGGGTAATTTATACGCGAAAAAGCTTTTAATTCCAAGCCGTGCTTTCTTTTTCTAGGAAATTCTTCTCAAATTGATGTAGTTGGAAAAATCAAATAGTTGCGAATGACGTCCTAATTTGGTTGAAGAACCAGAATTTCATTTTTGAAACACAACAACACAAAATTGGTCACTTTAGGGTAAGATGAAAATGTAGAAAATGAAAAAGAAAACTCACGAGAGGCGAAGCGTCTCGCCTGAGATTTCAAAGCAACCCATCGGGGTCCCTCATGACCGATTTCGACCATTTTTCTTGTTCAATTCACGAGAATCCCCCGACCAACCTAAAAGGACAAAGTCATTGAATGAATATATTACATTAGATAACAAAGAGAAAAAACCTCTATTTTGCAAATCCTCGACGCAAGTGTCAGGACAGTTGATTCGACATCCCTTTTTCACATGAGTCTCTGAAAATAGTTGGATAGTTCAAAAAAATAGATCTTCTCCATAGTTTTCGAAAAGTATGTTTGAGAAATAAAGACTTTTCCAGTAGCCAGAAATCATATTTGATATTATTCAAAATATTCCATGAAGGTTAAACATATGACGGAATAAACCACAAACAGGAAAAAAATAAACATTTTTTTATTCAACAATTTCCATTGAAAATCATATCGTGGAACGAAGGAACAGGAAAAATTTCTCAGAATAATAATGGATAAATATTCGAAAAATTGTTGTTATAATTCAAATAAACCTCATTGATCTTCGCTCACAGAAATCGAAAAATATTAGCAAACTGAATATAAAATTTTTAGTCATTTTCTCAATGTTTTCAGTTGAATTTCTATTAAAGGTATTGATAAACATTTTGTGAGAAATTGCGTAGTAGTTCATTTTTTTCCAATATTGTACGAAAAATTTATCAAGAAAAATTGCATAAAACCGATTCAAAAGTTCATTACAGAAAAAAATTAAGAATGTGAGGAGTCAAAAAAATAAAAAAAGTGTAAGCCAGGATTTTTGAACAGATGATCAAATAAAACAATTATTAGAAAGTGATTCATGAAAAATTGAAAAAGAGGAAATCATGAAGGGTTAACGAAAAAAAAGATCTAGGCTCAGTTTCATATTTTTTAGACATTTGTTACAAGAAACATCGCTTTTCCAGAAGTTTTCGAAATCGTTGTTGTTTGTCTGAAGTCAGCTTTGCATGAGAATATTCTTTATGTATCTAAGCAAAAATGATGAACTTGGATTGAAACTCAAAAAACTCACAAATAATGTTCCTTTCATTGGTGTTATTTTCCGTCAACGTTTCCCTTCCGTATCGATTGCTTGATTCGACAACTACTTCTTCTATCTGAAAAAAAGAAACTTTATTTTGAGACTTGAACGCTTTCGGAAAACTCACCTTGTATTTACTTTGTCCGGATCTCGTATCAAAACGATATCGGACAGTCCCTTGTAGATCGGGGCTCGTAGTTCTCCAGGCCTTCTCCATTATTTTCATTCGGAAGTCAGGGAAGCTTATCGCTAAAAAAATGAAATAATTAGGATATTATAGAAAAATAAAAAACCTTTGTTCCTCTGATCTAGTCAGAGAGCGTGAACTCATTGGGGATGTCCGACAGCCCCAACGTGGTATTTTAGCCCGAACCTCCTTTCGGGCTGCTTGGAGCCCGAAGCTCTCCAGCTCTTCCTGATCTTCATTCGAAAATCGGGGGAGCTTATCAAACCAAGCTGAAAAACGAAATAATTAGGATATTATAAAAAAAAGAGAAAACCTTCTCTCTTCAAAACGTCTCGCCGGAGATTTTGGAGAGCTCTAACGACACAATCAGATCGTCTTTTCTCGGAGCTGAACCAGATCATCTTCAAGATACTTTTTTTTTCGAAAAACCTCGCTCACTCAAGTTCTTCTTTTTTTCACCGCTTGAACTTTTGTAAAATTTTCGAGATAGTTAAAAAAAATGAAAAAATGTTCGTCTTAGTGTGAATACAGAAAAGTCAGAACTTAAGGACATGAAAATATTCGAAAAGGATTCAAGTATTCAAAACCGCGCTCTCGCTTTCAAGACAAAAGAATTCTCAGAAATGGATGAAGTTGGAAGAAAAGATTAGTTGCGAATTTCATCCTACTTTGGTTGGAATTCAGAACTTCGCATTTCGAAACAAAACTACACCAAACTCACGAGAGTTGGAGCGTTTCGCCGGAGAATTGGGGGAGCTCCGGCCGGAACTTGACCTCGTCCGGCGGCCCCGCTTTGACCCAGCGATTTTCCTTTTCCGTTGACTAAAAAAAAATTATAATAGTCGTCTCAAATTTTGGAAAAATCACTTGGTTGCGAATGACTTCCTAATTTGGTTGAAGAACCAGAATTTTATTTTTGAAACACAACTACACAAAAATTGGTCACTTTATGAAGAGGGTAAGATGAAAATGTGAAAACGGGGAAAAAAAACTCACAAGAGGCGAAGGGTCTCGCCTGAGACTCCAAAGCAACCAACCGGGGTCCCTCATGACCGATTTCCTCCTCTTTTCATGTTCGATCCACGAGAATCCCCCAACCAACCTAAAAATTGAAATGAAACGGAGAAAATTCTTTTGAAACGTACCGAAGGTCGTGTTATCCGATGTGCCCCCCAGGAGCACTTTCTTGCAAAAGTTTCTTCAAAATCCCAGAAGCTCAAAACCTGAATGAGATTGTAATAATTATACGAATATTGTTCCCAGTTTTTACGTTTTCAGACTCCGTGGGTCTTTCTTCGCGACATGTGGTGGAATAGCCGGTCATTGAGCATCCACTCTCTGGCTTTGCCTGAAAAGAAGAAGATGAGTGAAATTTATGAAAATTCACAAGTTTAGCTTGGTATTCTCAAATTCACCAAACTTATTGTTCTTTGCGTACAAATTTCAAGCTTTTATTTTTGATTTAAGTTTAGCGTCAAAGCGGTTATTTTCTCGAATAAAATTTAACTGAAAAAAGTTCAGCACGTTTCAAGAAAATCTTCCGTCTAATGGTTTCGGTGCTAGAAAAAAGCCTTCGAACTCTTTTTATTTTCAGGTTTTGATCATTGTAATGAAATTCGAAGTTAAAAAACTCCATAAAAGGAAGAAGGTTCCCGTAAATTTGAAAAAAGAAAACCGCTGAGCAGAAGCGACCGGAGTTGCGACTGCAGCGATTATCGGAAGCCTCGCCCGGCGGCTCGACTGCGATACAGTGGTTTTCCAGGCTGATCGGCTGAAAGAAGTTATTATAATGAAAAGTGAAAAACTTGCAAATCGACGGTACCTTTTTCGCAATCGCCCATATTGAAACTTTTTCGAGCTTGGCCTTGAAAACGTATTCTGAAACATCGTTCAATGAATATGGAAAGGTGCCGAGACCACGGCAGGTGGAAAAGATCGTTTTTAGAGAAAAGGCCTCAACAAAAACCTCCTAAGTCTTTTCGATGTGAAAAAGTGTGGAAATTAAAAGATATGAAACTGATGTCATTCAGAGCTCAAATCTGGATAGCTCTTAAAGAAATCAAGCCTTTCCTTGCGATCACCGAATTTGAAAGAAAAAAATTCGATTGAAACCCACTAACCCGGAGAGAAAACTTCGGTATCTCTATCTTTGGCTGCTTCGCTTATCGAGAGATACAAAAATATAAGTTTACATAAACTCATATCCTTGAATAAAAACTTTCTTTCTGGAAGTCTTTGCGAAATTCTAGAAAATCAACTTTTTCTCCTTCCAAGACTCTCAATGAAAATCTTGAGGCATTAGAGAAAAGTTGAGACTCCGCGACGTCTTTGCGAATAACCCTTCAAGTTGTTGGGTATTTCTTTTCCGTTGGAAGATCAACACTGTGAGCCCCAAAAAAAGACTTCTAATTCTCTTGAATAAACAGTCTGATGATAGGAATCCCGGAAAAACGAGGAAAACCGAGAAAACGATGAGAATTGGAAAAATTCGCTCGAAAATTGTGTTCGTTTTTGAGCTTTCGCTGAAACGGAGAGTTCTGCTAAAGTATTATCCAGGGCTTTTTTTGTCAGGAAAGCACCAAAAATGTTTGGAAATGTGTGTTTATCGCTGAGAAACGAGAAAGTTTAGCAAATTGTACACTGAAATACTAGCAAATGGCCCTGTTCCCAGAGGACAAATCTTTTTTTTTTGGTTTTTTTTTTATCTGTTTACAAAATTATTTAACCCACCTGTACCCTCTTTTTTTCAATCCGAAAAATCAGACAAAGTCATCAAATGAATATATTACTTTCGATAACAAAGAGAAAAAACCTCTATTTTTGGCAAAATCTCGACGCAAGTGTCAAGACAGCAGAATCGACAGCCCTTTCCACATTTCGCAAAGCCTCTGAAAATTGAATAGTTCGAAAAAAAATCAATTTTTTCTTTAGTTTCCGGAAGTTGTAACTGCGAGATAAAGACTTTCCCAGCAGAGAGAAATCATATTTGATTCTATTCGAAATATTCCATGAGGGATAAACATATTACGGAATAAACCACAACCAAGAAAAAATAAAATTTTTATTCAACAAAATCCATTGAAAGATATTGATAAATACTGTGTGAGAAATTGGGTAGTAGTTTATTTTTCCAAGACTGTACAAAAAATTATTACAAAACAAATTACAAAAATTATCAAAAAAAATTGCAGAAAACCGATTCAAAATTTCATTACACAAAAATTAAGAATGTGAGGAGACAAAAATAAAAAGTTTAAACCAGGATTTTTAAACAGATGATAAAAAAAAACAATAATTAGAAAGTGTTTCATGAAAAATTGAAAAGAAAAAGGAAATCATGAAAGTTCAACGAAAAAAAATTGATCCGTGCTTAATTTGAACTTTTTTCAAATATATTTCACTGGATACAACGCTTTTCCAGAAGTTCTCGAAATCGTTGTTGTTTTTTTGATCGTTCATTTTGCATGAAGATATTTTCTATTTATCTAAACAAAAATGATGAAATTCGATTGAAACTCAAAAAACTCACAAAAAAAATTTCTTCCACTGGTGTTTTTTCTTGTCGACGTTTCCCTTCCGTATCGACTGCTTAATCCGAAAATTTCTTTTTCTATCTGCAAGAAGAAACTTTATTTTGAAACTTGAACGCTTTCGGAAAACTCACCATGTATTCACTATGTCCGGATCTCGAATCAAAACGATATCGGGCAATCACTTGTAGATCGTGGCTCGTAGTTCTCCAGGCCTTCTCCATTATTTTCATTCGGAAGTCAGGGGAGCTGATAAAAACGCTGAGAAAAACGAAATAATTAGGATATTAAAGAAAAATAAAAAACCTTTGTTCCTCTGATCTAGTCAGAGAGCGTGAACTCATTGGGGATGTCCGACAGCCCCAACGTGGTATTTTAGCCCGAACCTCCTTTCGGGCTGCTTGAAAAAAAACCTCTATTTTTGGCAAAATCTCGACGCAAGTGTCAAGACAGCAGAATCGACAGCCCTTTCCACATTTCGCAAAGCCTCTGAAAATTGAATAGTTCGAAAAAAAATCAATTTTTTCTTTAGTTTCCGGAAGTTGTATCTGCGAGATAAAGACTTTTCCCAGTAGACAGAAATCATATTTGATATTATTCGAAATATTTCATGAAGGTTAAACATATGACGGAATAAACAACAAACAGGAAAAAAATAAACATTCTTATTCAACAATTTCCATTGAAAATCATATCGTGGAACGAAGGAACAGGAAAAAAATTTCTCAGAATAATAATGGATAATTATTCAAAAATTGTTGTGATAATTCAAATAAACCGCATCGATCTTCACTCATAGAAATCGAAAATATTAGCAAACTGAATATAATTTTTTTAGTCATTTTTCTCAATGTTTTCAGTTGAATTTCTATTAAAAGGTATTGATAAACGTTTTGTGAGAAATTGGGTAGTAGTTTATTTTTTTCCAAGATTGTAGCAAAAAAAGTTATTAGAAAAACAAAATTGCATAAAAATATCAAAAATTGCAGAAATTCCATTACAAAAAAAATTTCAAAATGTGAGGAGACAAAAAAACTAAAAAAAGTGCAACCCAGGAGCTTTGGAAAGATGAATGAAAAACAATTATAAAAAAGTGTTTTATGAAAAATTTAAAAAAAAGACATCATGAAAGTTTAACAAAAAAAGATCTATGCTCAATTTCAATATTTTTTCAAACATTTGTTACTGGAAACGTCGCTTTCTCCAGAAGTTCTCGAAATCGTTCTTGTTTGTCTGATAGTCAGCTTTTGCATGAAGATATTCTTTCTATGTAGCTAAACAAAAAAATGATGAAACTTCGATTGGAAACTCGAAAAACTCACGAAAAAATATTCCTTTCATTGGTGTTATTTCCCGTCGACGTTTCCCTTCCGTATCGACTGCTTGTTCAACATTTTCATATTGACTGCTTAATCCGACAATTTCCTCTTCAATCTGAAAGAAAAAACTTTATTTTGAAATTTGAACGCTTTCGGAAAACTCACCTTGTATTTACTTTGTCCGGATCTCGTATCAAAACGATATCGGACAGTCCCTTGTAGATCGGGGCTCGTAGTTCTCCAGGCCTTCTCCATTATTTTCATTCGGAAGTCAGGGAAGCTTATCGCTAAGAAAATGAAATAATTAGGATATTGTAGAAAAATAAAAACCTTTGTTCCTCTGATCCAATCAGAGAGCGTAAACTCGTTCGGGATGTCGGACAGTCCCAACATGGTGTTTCAGCTCGGAGCTCCTTTCGGGGTGCTCGGAGCCCGAAGCTTTCCAGGTCTTCTTGATCTTCATTCGGAAATCAGGGGAGCTCATCAGAGAATGCTGAAAAATCGAATGATTAGGATATTATAAAAAAAGAGAAAACCGTCTTTTTTTGAAGCGACGGTTTTGGGGAGCTCTATCTATCGACAAGATCAGATTGTCTTTTGTCGGAGCTAAACCAGATTATAATCACTGTTCAATTTGTTTTTTTGAAAACCTTGATTTATCAGGCGCCTAGACCTTTCTTCGGAAAATTACGTGATCCTTTCTGTCATTTAACATCCATTCTCTGCTCTTGCCTAAAAAGTAGAAATGAAGTGAATTTTTCGAAATTTACCAAGTTCAGCTTGGAATCAGAGCCTCAAGTAATCCGAAATTGATCTTCTCGCGTACAACTTTCAACCTTTTTTTTTCATCTAAATTCAGGTTCAAAACGTAATTTTGCTGGGAATAAAGTATTCACTAAAAAAAGTTCAGCAAAAAAACTTCCCTCTAATTATTTCGATGCTTGAAAAAAAGGCTTCGAACTCATCTTATTTTTTTAGATTTTGGTCGTTTAAATGAAATTCAAAGTAAAAAAAGACTTCATAAAAAGAAGGAGGTGTCAATAAGTTTGAAAATTTCCAAGTCATAATTTCCTGCTTTCGAAATCTTACCAATCGTGTCATCCGCGTGATGAAGATTTTCCAACCGGCCGAATCTTGGCCTCGTCCGGCGGCCCCGCTTTGATACAGCGATTTCCCCTTCCGTTCACTGAAAAAATTCATTAGCTTCGTCTTAAATGAAATAAAATGAGGAACATCTCGAAGCTACACGGACATCTTTATAATACTATCAGATCAACAGCCTACTAATAGAAAACATAGAGACTGCAAAACGGCAAAAAACGTATTTATCGCTAAAAATGAAGAATTTGTTGCAAATTGAGCCCTAATTTGCGCGTATAGTGCCTAATTTACCAAGGATAAACGTGAGTTTTTTGCTCGTAATAAGATCGAAATCATTCCCAAATAACCAAAAAAGGACGTTTTGTACATCTTATAACAGAGTAGTCAGAATTCAAGTACATGAAAATATTCGAAAAGGCTTCAAATATTCGAAACCGCGCTCTTGCTTTCGAAAAAAAACTTCTCAGAAATGGATGAAGTTGGAAGAAAAGATTAGTTGCGAATTTCTCCCCACTTTTATTGAAAATCAGAATTTTTTTTGGAAACAGAACTTCAACAACATTAGTCACACTTTGAATAAGTTGAGATAATAAAAAAAAAATACTCACGAGAGTCGGATATTGGAGATCTCTGAACAAGAGATTCGATTTTAGTCGTGATCGCCACGTTCGGCGAGGTCGTCGTGTCTGCTTAGAACAACGACGAAGCAGCGCTCGTCGAAGGCTTCACGAGTCCTGCAAAGTGAGTATAAATGATTGGAATGGAGCCATTTCAATACCAACCTCCTCTTTTTTGATGTATCCGTTCGGATGCTTATGATGGTCATTGACATTCCTGAATGGCTCCTCTTTGACGAGAAGATTTGCCCTTCTCTGGATGTTGTGCTTTTGCTTCAAGCCATTCAACGAAGGATTCGGCGAGAGAGGCGTCGAGGGCGTCGTGGCGGCGTGTCCGTTGAGCATGGCTCCATTTGGCGTCGTCGGTGCGGAGGACTGCGACTGAGCTGTCAGCGGACGTTTCCCGTTGCGTTTGCTGGGAGTGATGAGTTTGTCGTCATCGAGTCCATCATATTGTGAATGCTGCCAGCCGGGGAACGTCGTGACGAGCCGTCCGTTTCGCTCATCGAAGACGGGGTCCGGCAACTGAAAAAGAAGAACATCTGTTTCAACATAATGTAATAATTCAAGAAAACACAGAGATCGAAAACTGTTTGAATTGGTTTCTCCAAAAGCCAGAGAAACAATAAAAAAATAAAAATTTCTAAGTTTGCATTTGGAGTAGCCGAGATGTCAAAAAAAGTTATTATCAAAAAAATATAAATTAAAAACACTTCAAAAAAAGAAAGCAAGTGTCAGTAAATTTAAAAAAATCTCCGAGTCAGAATTTCCTACTTTCGGAAACTCACTACGTCGAACGTACCGTCATTAAAATCTGCGTGACGGACCAGTGTTTGGAGCCAGTGCTCAAGCCGCGTCGGATCTGGGCCTCATTCAACGGCGCAGCTTTGATACAGCGATCTCTCTCTCGTTTACTGAAAAAGTTTACTATTTAAAAATGGAATCGACCATGACCTCAAAAACGTCTTTTAAAAAATTATGGAATGGATATCAAAAAATGCCCATATCATGAAAGATGGAAACGAGATTTTGCTGAAGAAAAGGCCTCAAAAAGAGCATTCTAAGTACTCCATTTCCGGAACATCACTACGCAAAATTTGATCACACTTTGAATGAGTTAAGATAAAACTGTAGAAAATGAAAAAAAAAAACTCACAAGAGGCGAAGGGTCTCGCCTGAGACTCCAAAGCAACCAATCGGGGTCCCTCATGGCCGATTTCGACCTCTTTTCATATTCGATTCACGAGAATCCCGCGCAACCTAAAAGTTGCAATGAGACTGAGAAAATTATTTTGAAACGTACCGAAGGTCGTGTTATCCCCTCAGGGGCATTTTCTTGCAAAAGTTTCTTCAAAATCCCAGAAGCTCAAAACCTGAAGCAGATTGTAATAATTATACGAATATTGTTCCCAGTTCTTACGTTTTCTGACTCCGTGGGTCTTTCTCCGCGACATTTGGTGGAATAGCCGGTCATTGAGCATCCACTCTCTGGCTTTGCCTAAAAAGAAGAAGATGAGTGAAATTTATGAAAATTCACAAGTTTAGCTTGGTATCCTCCAATTCACCAAACTTATTGTTCTTTGCGTACAAATTTCAAGTTTTTATTTTTGATCTGAATTTAGCGTCGAAGCGGTAATTTTCCCGAAACAGTTTCACTGATGCCGTGTTCAATTTGATTCCGCAAAATGCAAAATACCCGTTAGAGAAAGGAAAAAATCACAAAATTTTGGAGAGTCAAAGATCATTTTGCATTTCGCGGAATCAAACTGAACACGGCATAAAAGAAGTTCAGCACGTTTCAAGACACGTTTCCCTCTACTGTAATGATTTCGGTGCTAAAAAAAGGCTTCGAACTCTTTTTATTTTTAGATTTTGATCATTGTAATGAAAATCAAAGCTAAAAAGCTCCATAAAAGGAAGGAGGTGTCCGTGAAATTGAAAAAAAACCTCTGAGCAGAAGTGACCGGGGTTGCGACTGCTTCGAATCTTGGAAGCCTCGCCCAGCGGCTCGACTGCGATACAGTGGTTTTCCCGGCTGATGGGCTGAAAGAAGTTTCTATAATAAAACTGGAAGACTTGCAAAACGACATTACCTTTTTCGCGATTGCCAAAAGAAAACGATAAAAATTGGAAAAATTCGCTCAAAAATAGTATGAGTTTTTGTAATTTCGCTGGCACGGAGAGTTTTGCTAGTTTCCAAGAAGTGTGTTTGAGAGATAAAGACTTTCCCAGTAGCCAGAAATCATATTTGATATTTTTCGAAATATTCCATGAAGGATACACAAATTACGGAATAAACCACAAACAAAAAAAAAAAATAAAAAATTTTATTCAACAAATTTCATTGAAAATCATATCGTGCAAAGAAGGAACAGGAAAAATTGCTCAGAATAATAATGAATAAATATCCGAAAACTGTTGTGATAATTCAAATGAACCACAGCGGTCTTCACTCATAGAAAATATTAGCAAATTGAATATAAAATTTCAGTCATTTTCTCAATGTTTTCAATTAAAGGTTTCAATGAAATTTTGTGAGAAATTGGGTATTAGTTCATTTTTTTCCAAAAATCTTTTTAAAATTTCATTTCTGTTTCGCGTTGACTGAGTATGTTCTTTATGTTAGTAAACAAAAAAAATAATGAACTTCGATTGGAACTCAAAAAAACTCACAATAAAAAAATATTCCTTTCATTGGAGTTCTTTTTCCGACGACGTTTCCCTTCTGTCGCCCGATGTCGATTGCTTGATCCGACAATTTCCTCTTCAATCTGAAAGAAGAAACTTTATTTTGAAACTTGAACGCTTTAGGAAAATTCACCAATTATTCACTTTTCCCGGAGTTATCAGGGCCCCTTGTAAATCGGGGCTCATAGTTCACCGGGCCTTCTCCATTATTTTTCATTCGGAAGTCAGGGAAGCTTATCGCTAAAAAAATGAAATAATTCGGGTATTATAGTAAAGTAAAAACCTTTTTTCCTCTGATTCAATCAGAGAGCGTGTACTCGTTTGGGATGTCTGCAGCCCCTTGTAGACTATTCAGCCCGAACCTCCTTTCGGGGCGCACGGAGCCCGCAACTCTTCAGCTCTCCATGATCTTCATTCAAAAATAATGGTGCTGATCAGAGAACGCTGGAAAATGAAATGGTTAGGATATTATTAAAAAAAGAGAAAACCTTCTCTCTTCAAAACGTCTCGCCGGAGGTTTTGGAGAGCTCTAACGACACAATTAGATCGTCTTTTCTCGGAGCTGAACCAGATTATCTTCAAAATTACTTTTTTTTTTCGAAAAACCTCGCTCACTCAGATTCTTCTTTTTTTTTCACCGTTTGAACTTTTGTAAAATCATTGAGGTTGTTAAAAAAAAATTGAAAAATTTTCATCTTAGTGTGAATATATAACATTTGATATCTTGTTCCTGATGTTTCTAGATATTTTGCTGATATTTGGACAGGAAAAAAAAATAGCATCAGAATATGGTCGCCAAATTTGGCGTCTGCAGATACGTTGCGATGTAAAAAACTCACGAGAGTCGTAGTGTCTCGCCGGAAATTTGGAGAGCTTCACCCAAGAAATTATACCGTCTTTTCTCGAATCTGAAATAAATTATCTTTAAAGTTCCGTTCTTTTTTTCAAAAACCTCTTTCACTCAGCTTTTGCAGATCTTTGCCACATTACGCGGCAGGGGATTTCCCCTCCCTCCCTGTCTTTTAGCATCCATTCTCTCGCTTTTCATCTCGGATTCTGAAAATCGGTAAACTTCAAAAGATACAATTTCGATAGAAACATAGGACGGCCGCGCCTTTTACAAATAATTACAAACTGCAATGCTCCGTCGCTTGTGGAAACCCGCATTCGTGATATATATTAAAAACTTTTCATATACTTCTCACCGTTTTTTTTTAGGTTATCCCTATTTGAGTAATTTGCGTCTAACAAGGGAAGTGCAAAAAGACACAGTTACTAAAAACGACAAAAAAGGACAGTTCCAACTATCCACTCCTTTCTATCTCCCCGAATTCATCAACAAACCTTTGTTAAAAAATTGCAGAATAAAGTTCTTCAAAAAAGATTTGAACCCTGACCATAACTTCCACATTGAAAAAACGCTAACCACGCCGCCGGTTGAGGGGCCAAAACTCCGCTGAAAGGTAAAAGGCGTGAAATTTTTTTTCTTGTTCTTGTTTCAGGGGACCTGGAATTACATCTCAGCAAAGTTTCATCAAATTCTCAAACTTTGTCTTTTTGCACTTCCCTTGTAAATCATCGTTTCTGATACACTTTGATATGAGTATTAAAAAAAAACATCAGAAAAACGTGGCGTCTGCACACACATCGCTAAAAACAACGCAGACATTTGTGTTCAACAGAAAATGGCAGACCACTGCACACGTCAAAAAATGTACGGCTGGCTTAAGCCATCAAAAAAAGGGTCCTGACACGATAATGCCCGAGATAGTGACTAGCTCGTGGAGAGCGCAGACAGGCCACGCCCTCTTAGCGTCCCAAGTTGACTGTGAATCAGCTATACTAACATTCGTCCGTTTAGAGAGCCTCTTGAACGGAAAAGCCAGACGCGTATTTTCCTTGCTATTCAACAGAAAAAACGGCTGGCAAGCCGGAAAAAGTCAGCGCGCATGCATGAGCCTAGAGAGCAGGGTGAAAAGCAAGACTAGCGCGTGGTCTAAGGAGCAGCGCGTTGGTCAGCCATTTTATGCTGAATAGAGCAAGGGACTGCGTGTCGTGTCTGTCATAAACGGATGCATGCGCCTTAATTCTCCGTTTTATGCCTAATAAAGCGAGGGAGCGCGTGTCTGCTCTCTCTCCATTTAACATGTTTTCTAAGAGAAAACGGTACATGTCTCGCCTCCCGCAATTTACCACACACAGGCGCCTGAGCAATTTTTCTCCTGACAGTCATAATAGGCCTTGCTGAATTGTTTCGAAGCCTTTATCATATCTCAAGCAAGTCATCGATAAAGATTGAGCAAAGTTCAAAGGACTCACGATTCCAGGATGGAGCAGCTAACAGTGTCCTTGAAGCAGTTCTTCAGAAAATAATCGCTTCGCATCCATTCTCTGGCCTTTTTCTCCTGTTCTACTGAAAACAGACAAATTCAAGAACTCTTTCTTCTCGTGATCATATGATGACGCCAGAACTAAGTGATTCAAAGAAAAACTCACCAGGTCAGCATCTCTTTCCTTGGTGCATCTTTTCGACGGGATGCGGATTCGCCTTCATATCCCGCTTCACATCAAGGTTTCGTAGCGAAATCGCTGGAAAACTCCCTAAAACGCTAGTCTTCAACCGTGTCATACAGATAGGTCAAAATCTAAGGACATAAAAATACTTGAAGCTAAAAAACAAGTAATATTAAATTGTAAAAATTGCACCAAAATTGAATGAAAACGCGTAATTGTCGATAAGAATTAGGAAATAACAGTAAACTGAAAATTTCTATGTTTCATCTCGTAATGAAGTCAAATTAATGGAAGTATTACTTTAGATATTACAAAGTGAAAAAAACCTATTTTCTTTCGCAAAATCTTGACGCAAGTGTCAAGTCAGTAGATTCGACAGCCCTTTTCACATCTCGAAGAACCTCTGAAAAAAGTTGAAAAGTTCAAAAAAATTCGTTCTTCTCGCTAGTTTCCGGCAAGTATGTTTAAGATGAAGACTTTTACAGTGGTCAAAAATCATATTTGATATTATTTGAAATATTCCATGAAGGTTAAACATATTACGGAATAAACCACAACCAGGAAAAAATGAAAAGTTTTATTCGACAAATTCAATTGTAAATCGTCTTGTGAAAAAAATGGATCAAGCTCGAGAGAACAACAAAGAAAAAAATTTAATTTTTTTAATTGTAGAAGGTGAAAGATGATGATAGTTCAAAATTCAAAAAAACTTGATGAAAGGCCAGAAATGAAAAAAAAAAAAACAAAAACCAGCTTTTTGACATCTTAAATTTATTCTCTCAAGCAAGATAAAAAAACTTTCATAATTTCCTTTCAATTTTTACTTTTTCAAATTGACGTTTCTGCGCGGAACTGTGGCGGTGGAGTGCTCAATCTGAAGTTTGAATTAAAGATATCAAAATTTAAGAAATAAAAAAAACTCACCACTTTCTAGGTGCTCTGTGGTTGACAAAGCAACCAACCAGAATCCTCTTATGACCCATTCGGACATCTTTCCATATTTGAATCCAAAGAATTTTCCGATCAACCTGAAAATTATCCTATAACTGAGAAAATCATTCGAAAACTTACTAAGGAATTGGGTTTTCAATGCTCCCTTTAGGGTTCCTTCTTGCAAAAGTTTCCTCAAAATCCCAGAAGCTCAAAACCTGAAGCAGATTGTTATAATTATACTAACATTGTTTCCAGTTCTTACGTTTTCAGACTCCGTGGGTCTTTCTTCGTGAACTTCGGTACGTCCCTCAGAAACCTTTCTTTGCAAAAGTTTCCTCAAAATCCCAGAAGCTCAAAACCTGAAGCAGATTGTTATAATTATACTAACATTGTTTCCAGTTCTTACGTTTTCAGACTCCGTGGGTCTTTCTTCGTGAACTTCGGTACGTCCCTCAGAAACCTTTCTTTGCAAAAGTTTCCTCAAAATCCCACAAGCTCAAAACCTGAACCAGATTATAATAATTATACTAACATTGTTTCCAGTTCTTACGTTTTCAGACTCCGTGGGTCTTTCTTCGTGAACTTCGGTACGTCCCTCAGAAACCCTTTCTTTGCAAAAAGTTTCCTCAAAAATCCCAGAAGCTCAAAAACCTGAAGCAGATTGTTATAATTATACTAACATTGTTTCCAGTTCTTACGTTTTCAGACTCCGTGGGTCTTTCTTCGTGAACTTCGGTACGTCCCTCAGAAACCTTTCTTTGCAAAAAGTTTCCTCAAAATCCCAGAAAGCTCAAAACCTGAAGCAGATTGTTATAATTATACTAACATTGTTTCCAGTTCTTACGTTTTCAGACTCCGTGGGTCTTTCTTCGTGAACTTCGGTACGTCCCTCAGAAACCTTTCTTTGCAAAAGTTTCCTCAAAATCCCACAAGCTCAAAACCTGAACCAGATTGTTATAATTATACTAACATTGTTTCCAGTTCTTACGTTTTCAGACTCCGTGGGTCTTTCTTCGTGAACTTCGGTACGTCCCTCAGAAACCTTTCTTTGCAAAAGTTTCCTCAAAATCCCAGAAGCTCAAAACCTGAAGCAGATTGTTATAATTATACTAACATTGTTTCCAGTTCTTACGTTTTCAGACTCCGTGGGTCTTTCTTCGTGAACTTCGGTACGTCCCTCAGAAACCTTTCTTTGCAAAAGTTTCCTCAAAATCCCAGAAGCTCAAAACCTGAATCAGATTGTTATAATTATACTAATATTGTTTCCAGTTCTTACGTTTTCAGACTCCGTGAGTCTTTCTTCGCGACATTTGGTTGGATAGCCGGTCGTTGAGCATCCATTCTCCTTGCCTGAAAAAAAGATGAGTGAATCTTATGAAATTTTAAAAGTTTAGTTTTAAATCAAGACCTGGAGTTCTCCAAGTTTTATTATCTCTGCGAACATACTTCAACCTTTTCTTGATCCAGTTTTAGGTTCAAAGCGATGATTTTCCCGCAAAATTTAGTATTCACTGAAAGAAGTTTAGCACGTATTGAGATGATCTGCCGTCTTATGGTTTCGATGCTAGGAGAATGAAAATTTCGAACGCTTTTTATTCTTAAATTTTAGATCGTCGTCATGGAATTCAAAATTAAAAAACCTCGAAAAAGGAAAGAGGTGCCCGTAAATTTGAAAAAAAAAACTCTAATTCAAAACTCCTACTTTCGAAAACTTACTTTGTTAAACGTGTCGTCATTAAAATCCGCGTGATTCATCTGAAGTCTAAATTAAAAATGTCAGAATTTCAGTATAAATAAAAACTCACGATAGTCGAAGGGTCTCGCCTGAGACTTCAAAGCAACCAACCAGGGCCCCTCGTCACCGATGTTGACATCTTTCCATATTTGAATCAAGAGAATTTCCCGATCAACCTGAAAATTATTTTAAAACTGAGAAAACTATTCGAAAACTTACTGAACGGTTCGGATTTTCGATGCTCCTTGGGTTCTTTCTCGCAAAGATTTCCTCAAAATCCCACAAGCTCAAAACCTGAACCAGATTATAATAATTATACGAATATTGTTCCCAGTTCTTACGTTTTTCAGACGCCGTTGGACTTTCTTCGCGAAATTTCGGTGCGCCTTCCAGAAACCTTTCTTTGCAAAAGTTTCCTCAAAATCCCAGAAGCTCAAAACCTGAAGCAGATTATAATAATTATACGATTATTTTTCTCAGTTCTTACGTTTTCAGACTCCGTTGGAGTTTCTTTGCCGAACTTCGGTGCGCCCCTTAGAAACCCATCTTGCAAAAGTTTCTTCAATAGCCCTAGAAGCTTGTTAAAATCGGAACAATGTTAAAAATCCTTACGTTTTAGGGTTGCAGTACCTGCTCTGCGACATCTCGTGGTAGAGCCTGTCGTTGATCGTCCATTCTCTGACCTTTCCTGAAAAGAAGGAGATTGATGAAAAATTTGACATTTCTTCTTCGCGTTATACTTCCGACTTTTAAAAACTTACTTCGTCAAACGTATCGTCGTTGATATCCGCGTTATGCAATTTCGAAGCAGGAGCCGTTGATATTTGTTATAGTAAATTTGTTCATCCTCACGGAGCTTTCGCAGAGGAGCCTCCTAAAAATGAAATTTTCATCTCAGTTGGATAAGACGGTCTCACTTGAATCGTCGCTCTTCATTTGGGCGAATCCACCGAGATTTTCCAGAGCTCCAGCCGCGATGCTTGGATACAGCGATCTTCCCCTCTGGTTGTCCTGAAAAATTATTATAATCGTCTTGTAATGAAATCGATCACATCTTAAAATTACTGAGAAAGCTTTCTAATACTATCCAATCTACAGTCTACTCATAGAAAACATGGAGTAACGACTGCAAAACGGCGAACAACGATGGAAACGATAAAAATCGAAGAGATTAGTCTGAAAATAAAGTGCGATTTTCAGCTTTCGCTGAAACGGAGAGTTTTGCTAAAGTATGAACTAGGACTGATTTGTGGGAAAAGCTTCGAAAATGATTGGAAGTGTGTATTTCTTGCTAAAAATCGAGAATTTGCAGCAAACTGAGCACTGAAATGCGAGTATATTTCAATTTATAGACTTTTTGAAAAAAATAATCTTTTTTCGAATTAGCATCTTTCGTATAATAAATTATTTCTTTTTTTGTTGTATTTTTGGAAAAAAATTTTTTTCGTTCCAAAACCTTGCCATCGTTATTAAAAAGTTTTTCAAACGCGGTGTTTTTTTCTCCTTATCAAACTGTTTTTTTGTTTGTTCTTACTAATTTTAATGTAGTCTTGAGATGTTTTTTTGGCAATTGGCAAAGATTCCGGCAGTTCGAAGCAGATTCGGCTTCATAAAATACGAATAAATCTCGTTTTGGTTTTCCGATGCTAATAAATCTGAAAAAAAAAGTCGAAGAAAGGAACAGGTGGGCAGTGAAAAAGGGAGGCTCGAGATTGCGGAAAAGCTCGTTTGCGATCATTTTTCTGGTTGGAATGCTTTCCGGTAGACATCTGTTCTTGGGTTCTTGACCCTCGATGCGCTTTTCGCATTTTTACTTCTAATTTCGCATTCAACTTCAATTTTCGCATTTTTTTATCTTCTAATGATTGAAAAAAATTGAGCAGATTCCAAATATTGCTAAAAAAAGAGTCTTTTTTTCAAACTTCTCGAAAATTACAAGGAACAAAAAAATTCAGGAAGTTTCAGAAAATGCCCTGTAAGTATGAAATTTTCCAAAATCCGGTTTTTCGCAAAAAAATTTTTTTGTCCATAAACCGATTTGAAACGATTCATTCTTGATTTGAAAAAAATAAAGAAAGTAAAAAAATCTATATTTATTTCGGATTATTCGTTATCTCTCAGATGCTAAAAAAAAGTGAAAATGTCTTATTTCATTCGTAAATCAGCAAGATAATGGTAGAAACTATTTTCAAAAGTAGGCAATCCAATATTTCGAGAAAGTTTACAAAGAAAAAGCAGGTTATACTAAGCGAATCTGATTCTTTTGATTATCAAGCTCTGAAAAAACAGAAAAGTCGGACTTCCCCGACCTGAGGCCGCACATCCACCTGACACAGTCTAATGGATTTAGTGATTTGTTGGCCTCCCGGAGCAGAGATTTTTGACTCTCCACTGCAGTAACGCGTGAATCATTGTCCACTTACGAGATTTATCACTGATGCGCCTCCCAGAATGAGTCACTCAAATCAGTGCATTTTCAGGTATAAATGCTCAGGACTGGGAGGAAGAAGCTCAAACTTTCCAGGCCTTTCTGAAGATATCTTTTGGACTTTTTCTATTATTTTGATTTTTCTCTTTGTATCCCACATTGTGTTGATATAAGTTCATAGAAGTAAGGACTTTTTCAAGCCGTTTTTTTTTATTTTTGAGTGTTTTGGTTTAAAAAAATTCATCGAATAAACGAACTTAATGTGTGTTGGATTTAATCATGAAAATGTCGGAGACGTCTTTTTAAAGGTTTTTTTTTCAGTTTGTAAGCTTCTTACTCAGTGATCAGCTGAAAAAGCTCTAATTCAGTTTTTCCCTACTTCGTAAAGCTCAATCTGCAGCTACTGAAATTTTTACGAAATCTTTAATCATTTTTTTATGAAAAAAATAATGCGAAATTTAAAATTAGAAACTTCTGGTCAAATTTCATCAAGGACTTAACAAAATGAAATTTTTTTAAAACTTATTCAAAAGTCCTTTAGCCTTTCATTGGATAGAAAGTTGTCTCAGTCACATTTTTTGCTGAAATGGTCTTCTTCGGGTCTTACCGTACCTTTGAGATTCTGGAAAAACCTACAATTTACAACAAATTGAGATGAGCAATAATAACGACCCTTTTATGGCCGCCTCGCCCATAAAAGGACGATCCGAAATGTTCATTTTTGTGCACATGAGTGGGTGAGATTTCCCCGCGCCGTCTGCAAATAATTATTCCAGACTCACAGGAACTGGACAGATTTTCCCGAAGATCAGCACATTATTCACGGTTTTCTGTTTGATTCTTACAAGTTCACTCAAATTTGGCATAAAAAAAGGTTAAAGAACGGTTTTTTTAAAGTTTTTTTCGTTTAACAGTTTAAATGATAAAATCTAAATTTCCTTTTTTTCCGGATCTGGTTTTTTTCAATTCGACTTGAAAGACTTGAAAGACAAAAAGATCATTTTTTTCAAAATGAAAAAAATTTTTCGGGAATCTATTTTTTTGGCCCATGGAAAAAAATGAAATATTTACCCTCAGAAACTTAAGAAATAAGTTTTGGATTCTTTTTCAAATTCTTCTTTTTGAAACCATAAAGGCAATGAAAAGATGAAGAGATTTTATTTTCTAGAAATCGAGATAATTTCAAAAAAAGTTTCTTTAAGGATGACAACGAAATTTCTCAATTTTCCCCCAGGAATTTCTGAATTTTTTTCTGTAACTTTCCATTCAACTTCAAAAAGTACATTTCCATTGTCGCTACCAATGGGGAAACCAAGTGACCCTCGTGAAATTCATTCCTGAGGAGGCAATAGGACTGAGTAGAAGGGGAGATCACTCTTTAATGGCGAATGGTCGAGGCGCATTCTTCCTTTTCTAGACGCTAGTGTCTCAATGTCGCATTCATGAATTATAGGGCCGGCTTGGGGCCAACTATTTTGGTTTTGGACTTTTCTTCCACTAGCTGTTGACTGGTTCCGCTTTGAAACATATGTTGATCAAGGTTGACTGATAATTTGATTTTTTTTTTTTTGTGAATTATCTAAGAAGGGCGGTTTTTTGACAATATTTAGGATTTTAATGAAATTATACAAAAAAGGTGCTTTGAGCTCTCTTGATTCCAGACTGATAGAATTTTTATGAGTTTTGAATTTTAGTAAAGCCATGGAGCCTTCAATATTGGTCCCAATTTATTTAGTGAAAAAAAGGTTTCTAGCTTTCTTGAAGTACTGAAATTTGACTGAAGAATAAAATTAAGGGAGTCTGCTTTAATTTCCGAGAACAAGGAACTTTCTATGAATTTTTCGATACTGTAGAAATACCTGGAATTAAAAAAGTCAAAAATCTCCGCACAGAAATTTCTCGTTAACTCCAGTCAAAGGCCGGTTCTGACCTTTATGAGATTCAAAGTTTGTTTTTGCAAAGTTCGTATGGCAAATGTTGATATCCATTTGTAGGAACTGGTTTTCGTCAAACTTAACGACGAGATTTCCAATTCTTCCATGTTCCAACTCTCCAACACTTTTTTTTTGATTTTTCAACTCCTTTTTAGAAAACTTGAACTTGTCCAAAATATTCATGAGTTATTCATTGGAAGGTTCAAAAATAATGGAAATACGCTTTTGGACAGGTTTGAATTATGCAGGGAATCTTGAGAAGTTTGTATAACCTGGATCTCATGCATAGTTTATTCAAGGCGTGGTCTAGTTGTTATTTAGTCATGTTCGTTGTGGCCCCACTCTCACTAAACAAAAAGTTTTCATGATGTTCGCGATCTCCGTGCGCCCGACATCATACTACTTACGCGCCATATCATTCTATAACATGAAAAATTTGGTTCACTAGTTAGTTTAAAAGAATTTTCTGTTTTTTCCTGACTAACGCGACGCTTAAAGCCTTGTCATCCGAATTTTTTTTTTTGAAAAAATCATATAAATCGGAGCTCCGTATCGAAAAACAGACATTTTACTTTTCGTGAGCCTAGGAAAAAGTTTTCCACTAGTCAACCTGCCCTACTTCCGATTTTGGGTATAGTTTCACCAAATGAATACTAATATCTTTCTCAAAAATGTGTTCAAATCACATTCCTCCACTCCAACTCTTTGAACCTCAAATCCTGACGTCAGAAGTGAGCCAATTCCCACCAGAGCGGATAAAAATCAGACAAAGGGGGAGATAAAGAAGGACGAAGATCCGAAGGTTGTGTCATGCTTCTGCTCTGGCCAGTGTCATCTGTCACCCCGAATTTCAGCGACGCCACTCCTTCTGCCACCAAAAACCTTCGCGCGCTTCCCCGGCTTGTTTGAATTTTTAAAGGGATGGCGTGCTGACAAATTGCATTGCACACTGGCTACTGTTCGGAATGGTGTTAACAATATTGATGTTTTCTCTGCATTTTTTTTCTCTGTTTTGTTTATTTTTGGAGGAAAATCATAGGCTTCGCAATAATCGCTTGTTTTGAAATAGTCAAATATTTATTTCGCAAGAGAAGAAGAAGAAAATTGGTTTCGTGGAAAGTTAAAGACCGAAATAGAAGTTGGTGGCTTCGGGATTGCTCAGACAGCCCGCAAACCGTTTCAGGTCCGGCGCGGACTTTCATAAATGAATAGTGTACCACGTTTCAAACGCCTTTCCAGAAAAAAAAGCTAGCTTACCTAAAGTGTCCTCTGAAAGTTTGAGAGCTTGTAATCTCGGAATCAACCTTCTTTGCTTGAAACTACGAATTCCAGCAACATCATTGAAATTTCAACCACTAGGAAAGATTCATCACTCCTACTCATTTTTTCGAATCAAGGAAAAAAATGCGTATGCTTTACTTTCCACAAGGGAATTAGCACGCCCATTTTTTGATTTCCACTCTGGAAACCTTTCTCCCATTGTTCACAAGCCGTTCCCACGTCTTCACCAAAAGTACTCAATCTCAAGATTCCGTTATTTACCTTTATCTTCTATGCTCGAGAAGATTTTCAGAGATATTTGTTTGGAATAATCGAAAAATCGCCTTTCTAGCATTTCCAAGTGGGATTTATAGGACAAGCCAAAACATTGAAGAACATTTTTTTTCAGAGAAATAATTGAATCAATCAATAACGTAAAGTTCATTTTTTTATCAATTGGTTTCGAAAATCGAATGGAAAAAAATCAACTGTAAAATGATCTTTTTAAGAATTCTGCCGATTCTCAAGGCGTCGCGTTCTCCAATTCATCATTTTCACGCACTCTACACAGTCTCAATTAATTATCTTTCTTCGTTCTCATCATGAAAGGTCTTCTTTTCTCTTGCTTGCCACTTTTTCCATCAATAATCTAGCAAAATCTTACTGCCGATTTTAGAGCTTCGGTTATTTTTTTGAAAAACTCCGTAATGGTAAATAAAATCGAACAAATTTTCGGATTTTATTGGTACTAAAATGAAGGAGACGCGTTCAGCAGGTGCGGAATCAAAAAAAGAAGGTGCTGGTGCTTTAATTGGCTGTTAAATTCGAGAGTTTTTTGAATTTTCGAAATCCAGACTATGATTTCCGTTCAGAGTTTTTCTGCTTAAACGCCAGCTCTGGTTTTTCTCAAAATTTAATATTTTTTTCACTTTTATATGACTTCACAATTAACATTCAAGCTCAATCGAATATTTCTCACAGCGGTTAAGGTTAGAGTAATTGAACTTGTTTCAAACATATCCTTTTTTATTCCGTTATTCGGTTAGGCTATCTGAACTTTCTTTTTTTTGAAGCTTGCTCTCAAAATTCCTTATTTTAAAAAGGCCTCGTTGCAAATGAATTGCCCGCTGAGCGTCTGCTTCAAAATGCGCCCGACTAGAAACTACTTTCGACGGTTGGGCATCTGATTTGATCGATCAAAGCAAGCATTTGAATAGTTAAGAACTAGTTAAGAATTCAGATTGCGACCAAAGATCTCAGAATGTTTTTCTCAAACAAAAAAATGGTGTCCAATCCGAACAAATTTGCCAATTTTATTAGCACTAAAATCTAAAGAACGCGTTCACGGAGCGCAACATCAAAAAAAGTAGGTTCTGGCCCTTTAATTGGCTATAAATTTCGGGTGCTTTTTTTGATACCAGCCCCTCGACGGGATTCAGTGTACTCGTAGAGATCCTGCTGATGTGTCGGCTCTGATTTTTATCAAAAAATTTGGTTTTCATTTTGTCAACAAAATTCCAGCCTTATATATTTTGATTGAATGAAGTAGTCTCTGCGAATTCGGCGAAAAAAACTTGAAAAATTTGTAGAAAGCAATAATTTATAAAAAACTGCTTCTCGAACTTTAGAACTTGCCCTTCCAGTTCATTCGAAATCCTCATGCAAACTGAAAAATTCTTAAGGAATCGTGAAAGTTTACGAGGGGCTCCCACTAATTAGTTAGCCTTTGTCCCTGCGGTCATTTCAATTTCTAATAATGGCGCTATCGGATGGGGGCCGGTGACCACATGTCGTGCATACTTCACCTTTCGCGCCGATCCTCTTCAATTTTTTCTCCGTTTACTTGGCTTTCAGTTGAAGTTTTTGGGTGGACAAAACTGTAGTTTTTCTGATGTTCCTTAGTACACTTTGACAAGGAATTTGACCAGAGAATGAGTCTTTAATTTGATTTTCATCGAAATAACCAAAAAAGGCTACTTTGAAAAAGTTATAAGCCTCTTTCTCATTTAAACTTGACCTTTTCAAAATCGACCATTATCTTTCTAGTTCAAACGTTTCAGTCTGTTTATAAAATGCACATAAACAAACCTTTCCTCATTTTTTTTTGAGATTTCTTTCGATTCACCGATATGCTTGAAAGGTCTTTTTGTAGTTCTTAATTGTGATCAGAACTTGGAAGCTACTGGAAAACTCTGTTTTTTAAACTCATCTTTAACTGGTTGAGAATAAAAATATTGAGATATTGACTTTGATTCCTCCTGTACGAAAATCACAAAATTCTTACTTTCGATTTTTTGTCTAAGGCGCTATGAAAAAAAAATTGAGAAATGCGTTATTTTCTCCGAATTTGTGTTTTTGAAACTTAAAACTTCACGCCTTGGCTCAAACTCAAAAAAAAAAAATGTATCCGTAACTTCGCGTAAAAAACCTCAAAGTGCAATTCTGCAGAGTTTCCTCAAAATTTCAATTGGTCACCAAAAACCATTTCCTAGTGGAAGTTTTTTTTGCCTTGACTACTTCAAGTTCTTGGAAAATCGTAGGATCTTTCATTAAAAAAATAATTTTTTTCGATTCTTTCGCTTAACTTTATTTTTTGCCTTTCCTTCCGCCTTCCAAAAATACTAACACAAAGCGTGTCGCTCCATAAGAACGTCTCCAATGAAAAAGGGCAATTTACAACAAACCGGAACCGTTTCTTGTGTTAAGTGATAGCGCGAACTTTGCTTCAAACCAAGAAATACTAGTTTTTTTTTCGCCCTTTCCGCTGGAATCAAAATAAGTGAAGCGGTTTTGTTGGATTCGATCCTTCGACATCTCGTTTATGCTTCCTCATGCGACCGTGAATAATGTGGCCCGAAGTAATTATTTCAAAAGTTTTTCGACCACGCCTTCTTTTTTCGATGTTTCACATCCTCCGAAATTCTGTTTGTTGCATTTTTCTTCTGAACTAATATTTTTCAAAAAGCAAAAAAATTATTAAAAAAATCCATTACTGTTTCAATAAATATTTTTCACGTTCAAGTCTAATCCAAAAATTATTATACAGCATACATAGTGAAAAAAAAGTTTGAAGAGGCCCATAAATAGATTTTGAGAATATCTTCAATATCTTTATCCTACACTAGAAAAATTTTTTTGGGGTTTTCCCAAGTTCGAGATCTTTGCGAAATCGGTTTTTTTTTACTTTTTGAATATTAATCTGACGCCTTCTTTCTCGATTTTTTTTTGTTCTGAACGCTCTCACCTGCTAACATGAATTCATGAAAATGATTCAAATTGTTGCGAAGTTTTCCGATTGACTGTTGTTAGTTCAAAAGCCTGTTGACTCATAAAAAAAGGAACTATAAAACGCCGATTTTTTTTTTTGAGAAAATCAAAGTCCTCAGCTCGATGCTCCTAAGTTTGCTGTTTCAACAACAGATAACCACAAAAGATTCATGAAAAGGAAAAAATCTTGTTTTGAACGGCTTCTATCGGCCTGTCAGTCCAAATTTTATAAAAAGTCAAGAAGTTATGCTTTTTTTTTGGGACTAACAAAAACTTCAATTTTTTTCCCTCGTCAAATTCGATGCTTCCAAGTTTTCTTCTCCAAAAAACAGCTGATAAAGGAACAAATATGCAAAAAATCCTTGTTTTGAATGGTTGTTGTCAGTTGAAAAGCGCCGACGGCCGGGCTCTTGGGGCCATCGCCGCTTTTTGCCTTGAGGCCCTAAAATTTTTCGGAACGCTTCGCGCTGGATTGAACCCATTGTGCGTGATTTGGGACACGTTCCCGTGTCCAAAAGCTGCTGGATTTATTTCTCCTGCCTGGTTCTCTGCTTGTTATTTTGTGTTCTGAAATTCAGTAATTTATAACCGAAGATTTATTATTTACGATAAGAAGTTCTAATTTTTTGCTCGGAACATCTTTGAGTTCTTAAAAACATCTGAAATCTTCCCAAACCTCAGATTGTTTCTTCAGCTTTTCGACAGGCAGGATCAAATTTTCGAAAAGAAATCGGCCACTTTTCAAGGTTTTTCGATTTCAAAAAAATTTTTTTATATGCAAGAGCCACACACCCACGTTTTCGATCCAAAATAAATTCTATAACTTGATTTGGATGGAAAAAAACTATTTTGCTGACTCATGAAACAGAAAAATTAATGCATTGAAGTGTCTTCTGGCCTATATAAGCACAGAATCAATCTCTTGACTTCCATTCCTGTCTGAAACGTCTCTTTTTGACAACGTTTTTTTCTATTTTTTTCCTTTCAGGTCGTATTGCTTTTTGTTTATAAAATTTGAAGTATTAATATTTTTTTGTACCTCACTGGAAAAAAATGTGCATTTATCTCTCAAATCCATCCAACTTTTCAAAATTTTTCTTTCTTTTTGCATGTTCCATTCCAAAAATTCAAAAAGAGATGAGCTTACTATACTTTCAGAACACACAGCAATCCCAAAAATGGACTGCACGGCGATTTGTTTATTCGCCACGGCGATAAAATTCCTTCCCCAGCCAGCGACCACAGTAAGTTTTTTTTATCATTTTTCTTTCAAAACTTAGTAAAAAGGTTTTTATTTCGGTTTTCCTTCAGTTTGTAACTGAAATGACGTTTCGAGTAGTATATTCATCAATAGCATTGCATTGCATTGCAATTCCCACAAGAGTCATTCTAAGAGAGCTTCGAACGTTTTGAATTGGGCAAATATCCACGCATTTGAATGTCTTCTGTGTTGTTTTGCGAAACAAAAGTCTATGACTTTGTGTAGATTTTCTCGATTCCAAAATTCATCCAAAAAAAGAATGAATTCCATTTTTGAGTTCAACAGGTTAATTTCGTCCATAACTTTTTCAGTAGAAACAGTCATACTGAACCTTGTGGAAAAAGGGGATTTTTTTGAAAATTTCAATCATATTCCTCCTTCTTAAATTTGTAAAAAGAAAAAAAAGAACCCGGGGAGAGTCGGTTGCAAGGAAAATGAATACTAGCATAAATTTTTGATAAAATCAAAAAAACTTGATGCGATGGAAAGGATGAATACTTTTTCCGTTTCGAGTTCTAATCAAATTTGATATTTTTTTACGATTCTCACAAAAACCGGTACCGGTCGCTCTCAAATCCGAAGAACCCAAAAAAAGACCACGGCCATTTTTTGCCATGCGAACGCACCATGAGGAGAACAATGGATTTTTTCTCAGTCTTGTTTATTTTTCTTTCAGAACTGCACTTACTGCGTGGAAATGCGGTCGACGTACGAAAACTGTTTCAATGACGTCATCGAATGCGCCTACAGAGATCCCAGCTCCCTCATCGTCTGCCTCACGATTTTCGAGAAGGATCAGTGAGTGAATGATTTTTTTTCAAATATAGAGCGTTTTTCGGGCTTGAATGTTTTTTTTCGAAAGAAGTTTGTGACTAACCCAATTGAACCCTACAAAAAGGCCATTCTCTATTAACAAATGAACCATGTAGAATTCCGTCCAAAAATCATTTTTACGCTGGAATTTTAATTTCTTTCAGAGTCTAGACTCCCAGAAACTATGGGGATATGATTGATTCTACTTTTATTCAAAATCAGAAGGTTTTTAGAATTTCTTCGAGAAAAAAGTAAAAAAGTGACCAAATTTCTCAATGAGCCAGACGAAATAGCCGTTCTCCATTGGTCAACGAACCGTGTAATAATTGGGTCCTAAAAAAACATTTTTTGTGCCGGAAGTCGCGTTTTCCAAGAGTAGGAACTTCAAAAAGCTTTCAATATCGAGAAAAACAGTTGTTCATCAACAAATAACAATAAAAGGCTCTGTTTTCAGCAGCGACCCGAGCATTGTTAAACGAACGCTCCGTTGCCTCAATTACGTCGACCACTACATTGCCGATGAGCAGATTAAAGAGGTTCGCTGTTTCACTGGGTTTTAGTAAGTAAAATTGATATAATTTTTTTGAAGCTAATTAAAGTTAATTTTTTTGAAGTTTTTCAAATTTGATTTCAAAAATTCAGCTTTTCGAGTATTTCCGACCAAAATATTATCTTAATCAAAGGAACTTTTTCTTGCAGATCGCCTCCTACGGATCCTGCTCTTTCGACAGAGTCTCCCAATGCGAGTGTGACATGTGCCGGTCTTCCACAACCACCACCGCCATGCCGACTTCAACCAGCAGTTCGGCTCCTTTCCACAGGAAGTTCGTTATTTTGGATATTTTTATAAATCATTTAAAGAGACTTGAATCAAGTTCCACTATTAGTAACTAGACAAAAAATCAAGTTTCACTATCGGTAGTTCGATCAAAAATGGGCCTTCTTTAAGGAAATATTTTCTAAATGAAAAAGCCTTACCTTTCTTGGAAGAGTATAAACTCACTTTCAAGACTCAGTCAGCAAAAAAACCTCTTCTTCCTTTCTTGCAAAGGAACTATTTATAATGAGAGAGTAAAAAAAAAACTAGAAAAATTCGCATATTTTTAACTTTCTGAAATGCAGCGCAACCGTGACACGAGCTATTCCAACAGCGTCAGCAATATGAAATATCAAGCTTATCGTGTTTATTACAGAAAACATCACCATCATCACCACGGACATCACAACCATGATCACTCTGGTCTGACACGCGTAAATGGCTCCAACAGCTCCCCGGACCTCGAGCTCCTCAACGCTGCTCGTACCGAACATTTCCCAAAAAGTGGCCAGTACGTCTCTTCCTCCTCGTTCAGCTCCATCCTGGGGCCTCTCGCCGTCTCAATGACACTCCTGCTCCTCAATTACAGAAGATTATTTGGAGTTTGAGGTCATATCACTCCATTTTCCCAAATAAAATGATTATGCCAAAAATCCTTGTTTTAACTGTTTGATTAGAATCTTCAGAGTGAAATCCTGAATAAAATGTTAATTCAGGTTATTTTAAAATCAAAGCAAGGATTTTCGACATAACTGCTTTTCCCCGTAATCTTATTTACAGAAAATGGTCTATAGAAATGATAAAATCACTCTGTCCCCCGCTATTATTTCTGCGCTCACTCTATCTCTTTCAAACAGAAAGGCCTAAAAAACTGTTTCCAGAGAATTTCAAGTATCAGGAATTTGAAGATAGTACACTAATCATCACTGCAAAAAAAACGCAGTACTGCTTTTTGTGTCTTAAAAAGTTTCAGCTTAGACGTCTAAAAAAAGGCATAGACTGCATCAGAAAAAAATTTTAAGAATTTAGAAGAATCTAGGTTTTTCTTTTTTTACTTTGAATCAAAAAAACATTGATGAGAGAAAGAGAGAGCGCAGACAACTGTATCATTTTTTGAGCCGCAGAAACGATACGTTACAAATCCAACTTTTCCATGATTCCAATACGATTCACTTGACCCACGTAACTCGTTTTTCATAACCTACATCATCAACTCTTCAAAACCTCCGTTGATTCAAAAAAATCTCTCCCTTCTTTGCATGTCATCAAATGAATTTAATAAACTTTCGGGTATACCCACTAAGCAAATGAGAAAAGATTTTTGACCACATCCCAGGTGTGCCGGTAACCCTTGATTTGTTTTTCCCATTTCTTATGACGTATTATTCCATGAATGAAATTATCATGTTCTTTACTCGACTTTGTATGATTTTTCCTTGATTTATGGTATGTATAATGGTTGGATCAATAAAGTTTTCGAAATCATCGTGAGTTATAACAGAAGCAGGAAGTTGGCAAATAAAAAGTGCTGAAATCTCAAAACAAAACGGAATCGTGTAAAAAAGGAATAATCGATAATTTTCTGTAGAAACAAATTAGGAGGCCCCTATGGGGACCACCCAAATTTTGCCCGTGATGAGCATTTTTTAGCTCTTTGGGAGGCGGCACTTGTAAATGCCTATAGGAACCAAACTGACGGCCCTAAAATGCCTATAGGAACCAAACTGACGGCCCTAAAATGCCTATAGGAACAAAGGTGGCGTCCTTAAGATCATTGAGCGCGTCCTTCTCGCCCTTCTCCTGTGAGCTCGTCGTCTTTAATTTATCTTTCTTTCTATTTTTTTTTTTGTTTTCTTGTAAATTATTGTCTTTTTTTCAGAAAAATGCTTACGTTTGTGCAACAAGAAAAGCTCATTGGATACGTCAAGAAGCAAATATGCATTTGGGATAAAACCGACGTGGGAGATCTCGAGCTGGCCTGGACGACTATAACCGCGCAAGGCTTCACCGGGCCTTGACGTGTTATTTAGATGTGTGTAGAACCGACATTGCTCTTGGATCTTTATTAGAGCAACTCAGCACCGCCAGTTGGTATGCGTGCTGAGCGCAAGAGTGACAATACAAGTAGGCGGCGTGCCATTGGCACGCCTACATGATAGTACATATGGCATTGAGGTCAGGTCAACTAGCGTCCTGTCACACGACCATCAGTCGGCAGTTCAACGAGAAATATAAAAGCAAGAAAAATTGGTTCGATTATTTCTCTATTTCCTTTGCAAATATTTTTGATGAAATATTCATAGAAATCACTCCAGCTTGCTTTTTTTCTTTCGATTGAATTTTTTTCGTTAAAGAAATCAAAGAAGACTGCTCAAAAAAATTTAAAAAAATCATTAGATTGAAGGAATTCGATTTTTCAAACTTGCAGATGTCTTTTCGGAAGAAATTGAGAAAATTTTTGGTTTTAACTTTGATTTCTAGATATTTTTTTCATATTGTATTCATGATATTTATATAATCTCCTACAAAAAAATAGTCAACGAAAGTCATCAATATTTTTTTCAGGGGACGATCTTGCAGACGAATGGGCCGCAATCAAAAAAAAATATTTCAAATGGCGATTTCACCCTGAAGCCCATCCCCGTCCACGGTTTTGGAAACAGCTGCGGTTCCTCGACAAAACGGCGCCGTGAGTTGATCTTCGGAAGAAATGAGTTAATCAATCATTTCAGAACAATCCTAAAAAGAGATCCGTCCTATGGGGATGATATGGACGATTTGGGTGGGTTTCGTTTTAATTAAGCGCTTTTATTAATAATAACTTTGTATGTCAGGAAAGTTATATTACATTGCCTATTTATTTTAAAATTTTAGTCCATAAATTAAGAGAGTTTAGCTTGAGATTCGATGCAAAAAAATATTAATTTCATCAATTACGAAAATCTTCAAATTTTTCGCCCAAAAATTTTTCAGTAGTCTATTAGTTATTTACCATGTATAAATGAAATATTCTGAGACATGGGTCAAAAATTTTTAATGAAGTTTCGTTCAAATTTTTTTGACTGGAATCTATCAAAAATTGCTGCCTTCAGAAACCGAATTGAAGTTCGTGTCGTTTGGCAGCTCGTATGGCAACTGGGACTAACCACGCCCACAAACAACAATTATCGGTGAGTGTTAAGCAACCATCATTTTTTTGTTAAAAAAACAATTTTTTTGCATTCTGAAAAACACTGTTTTTTTCAGGCCTCTCTGACCACGATTTCGACACCGGTCTCCAGAATCGATTATTGAAATATTTTTTTATTTGCCCTATTAGTTCTATTTTTCATAAATTTCTTTTTTTAATAGAACTGAGTTTTTTTGTCACACGTGAAAAAAAGAAAAAAAGTCGAAGAAAGCATACAGTGGTTGGTAAGAACAAATTAAACTAACCAGTAATTAAGAAAAAAAGTTTGGGGGTCGTTCTCTCAGCTCTCAACGCTATTGTAAAAATGGTTTTCTTGATTCACAGATACATATTTTATGTTGGAAAATAACATTGCGCTTTTGAAAATTTTACAGGAAAGGTCATTTTTATTTTTTTGTGATATTCCATAAAGTTGCTCAAATACTCTTCGGAGGTCTTTCCGTTTTTCCAGCTGTTTTTTTCATATAAATAATGAATAAGTTAAAAGTAATAAAATGATAGGGTAAGAGCCATTTAAAAAAAATACTTTTTGGTTGTTAGAGTAGAATATGTTTTTTTCGATGGGGAACCTTGCCTAATGAGTTTCGAAAAAAACGCTCAGAATTTTTTTAATCAAGTAGAACTTCAAAATCTATCAACGATTTGTAAAAAAATAGCAAATGAAAATTTGTGATGAACGCTCAAACTTTGAAAATTCATATCTTTAAAACTAAGAGTTTGCGCAGGTTTTTCCACTATTTCGGTTCTGACTTTCAAAAAATGGTATTTGAGCAAATTTGTGAAAAAATGCGACCGCAAATTAAAAGTACCTCCCTTGTCGAACGGAAAATCCTTAAAAGTTTCAAAAAAAATGGCGTAAATCGGCACTTTTATCAAGTTGATCATAACAATTCTCTCAATAATAAAAGAGGGGTTGTGATAATCAGATCAAACAACGGAAGCAGAGCAAAGAAGGATTTGTAACCCGAGACGCGGGAGACCGTTCGGGTCGAATGTGCGCGCAACTCGTGGGAAACTTCACACAACTCCTTTGGTGGTCACTCGCCGTACAAACATCCACCGCATTGTTTTGTTTTTGTGTTTTTTGGGGCGGTTTCTGTTTTTTTGAAGTTATCGGATGCCTTGTTTAGCTGAAATCATTGAGAATTTAGTGAATACAGAGTAGAATTCCAATTTCATTGAATTTTGATAAGTTCAAGAAATCTTGTAATGATCAAATTCTCCCTCATTCGACTTTTTTAAGTGATTTTTGCTCACTTGTCGGCGATGTTTTTCTAGAACACCGAGAATCCTTCTCAGCTCAAATCATGGAAAATTTTGAGGACAATAAATAGATAAAATGCGAACTTTGCAAATTTCAAATAACTTCTTGGTGATCATTTGGCGCCACATTTCTCACACTTGTGTCTCGTTTTGACTCTACTTCTTTTTTGGATATTTTGTGCTTTGAATAGATATGAGAACTCTTTTCATTCTAAATCATGAAAAATTGTGAGCATAATAAGTGGAAGTTTCGAAAAAAATTTTAAGTGATTTTTCGCCGCAGAGAGTCATTTTTCGTCCCGTATCAGGCGACTATCCCTTTTTGAAGTTTTTTCTGAATTTTCGAGAAGCCTTTTCTCCATCAAACTATGGGCGATCGTGAAGATATCAAGAAGAGGCAAAATCCGTCAAATTTTCTGGATTTAAGACAACCTTTTGATAACCATTTGACGCAAAAATTTTCATTCTCTCGTCTCTTATTTGGTGATAATTGCTATTTTCCGGCGATTCCTGTGTTTTTGAATAGATTTGAGGATCCTTTTCAGCTCACATCATTAAGAATTAATACTATAATGAGAAAAAAATAAAATCCCTCAAATTTACTGGATTTCAAATAACTCTTTTGGCGATCATTTGCCGCGAAATCTTTCACTTTTTGCTCTTTTTCGGTTTACCTTTTTCCTAGTTTCGTGAAGGTTTTTTTACAGAACGATTTTTTGAAGCTTGGATCATAAAGAACTACGAGAATAAAGGTGGAAAATTTAATCCTCGAAATATCTAACTTCAAAAAAAAATTCATTGAATTACATAAAATTCAAAAAAAATTATTCTGACCTTCATTCGTTGCAAAAGAAAAAAATATGCGTCATCGTATCCTGTAATCCCTATTTCATCACATTTAAGCGATTTTTGTGTTTTGACCAGACTGGAGGTTTCTATTTTTAGCATAACGGGTCAGAGAGGGGCGGCTCTCTTGCAAATCGCACAGTCGAATATCTCCCTTTTGATGACTAACGCTGCACAAAAATCAACGTTGTCATATCTTTCGATCAGTTCCACGGCACTTTCCGGCAATTTCTGTGTTTTCGAAAGTCTAGAGGTTTTGTTTTGTCTATTTGATGCGGAAAAAAGCCATTAAGTGGCATCCTTTCTGCAAATCGCATTTTCCAACATCTCTGTTTTGATGGATAGCGCTGCGCAAAAATTGACGTTACTGTTTCATTTCTTCTGTATATTTTTTGATAGGATTCAGAAAAACCCTTGAAATCTTTGATTTTCCATTGTTTTTTTCTTGTAGAAAATATCTGTCGCAAGAAGCTCTGGAATAATGATTTTTTTCATTTTAATTTTTTTCTAGTCATTTTTCCGTGGATACTTTCATAAAATCAATCTTTTCTGTGTTGATTATTAATTTCTTCTTCTTTAGAATTTTTTCAAAACCTTCTCATTAGCCGTTAAAATTCGAAAAAAGCTACTGTAATGAGTAGGATTTCCGCATTTTTCCCTGCTGTTTAAGTTTTTACATCTTCTGCAAAACTTATCAAGTAGTCGGGTGGAACCCATTTTGCTGGAAATCTATTCAAGAATGTCGAAAAGGTGGGACAATTACTTTGATCATCTTGGTCGCTAATTGGGATTTAGATAAAGACAAGATTGTTGACAGCGCATGTCGTACCATAATCCCTATCTTTTGTCGAGATTCTCCGTTGAATGATCATCATTTTTTTATTGTTGAGCTGAAATCTCGTTTTTTTACTTATATTTTTCAAATGAAGCGAATATGAGAAAAACTTTTTATCATTTTTTTCAGAGCTCCGAGTTTGATAGTTTTTTTCTTGATATTTCTCAGCCTTTACCAATTTAAAAGCGTAGTTTATAACGGAAGCTATTAGTTGGATCCTTAAAAAGAGCTGATAAGTGGATCGAGTACAAAAAAGTTATACAGTGAAGGAAATTTTTTTTTTCTCATTTTCTTATTTTTCGTCACCTTTCGCTAAATTTGGAATACAGAGATTTTTGAGTTTTCTGCTCATTTTCTTTTCATGATTGACTTCTAGAGATAATTGGAATAGTTCAACTTTGCCTTCATTTTCGAACTCAGTTGCATAAATTTGCAGGAAAATAAAGTCTCAATTTAGAACTTTTTTATTACAACATTTTCCTAATGCAGCTTGGGAAATCCGAAAAAAAAGGGATATTACTCACGCAAAATTCAAATTTCTCCTGTTTTCCACTCACCTTTTCTCGAGTCGACAAGAAACAAAACAAACGCGAGGCGGCGGCCATTGTCCGTCGGAGGGCAGAAAAACGAGGAAAAAAAGCCGTGTTCGCAGCGGTTTTCGTCACACTTACAAGAAGCGTCGGTTGGAGGCCGACGGCTCTGAGATGGGGACCGTTTTCGGCATCCTTGAGCCGTACCTCACACCCGATTCCATTAATTGGGGTCCATGTCGTGGCCTTGTTTCATCTCCTCGTCGTTTTACTATGCGTTAGCCGATTCCATTCATCTCAGCCGGCCTCCTTACGGTTCTTTTCTCAAAGTTTTTCGTCACTAATTGGGCTTTTTAAACAGTTTTCGCTAAATTTTTTCAACAAAAGTTTCAGGAAACCTTTGAATAAAGCAAAATAACTGAAAAAAAGGAGACGATACATCTCAGATCCTCTTTCCAATTCTTCTGAGATTTTCGATAGTAAACGATTTTTATTTTTATCATTTTCCTCAGGATTGTTTGATTGAGCTTCAGCCGATCCCATTTATTTTAAACCGTTCTTTCCACAGTTTTATTTTGTTACGTCACTGATTATGTTTTTTTATAACTTTTTCTCAAATTTTCACTATCAAATTTTTCAAAAAATCAATTTTTTGACAATCGATTAAGCTCGTGCTTCATGCAGATGAAATTGTGAAATCGGTTATTTTTTCAAAAGTTTAGAGCTAGTGAAAAACATCCTCTTCATTTTTTCACCTCGACCAGCATTTCCTTGAAATGACTTCAAAGAGCTTTTCTCATTTTCCGTTTTTCTTTCGGATCCAATCAATCGACGTATAGTTAGAGTCAGAGCCCCCATCTAACGATGCTCATAATTCTCTGGGAGTGTTGCGCCGTGATAGGTCAAGCGGCGCCTGAGAGTCCGTTTGACAAACGACGACTTCCCACGGCTGCCTCAGGTGTGAGGTCCGCCATAAATATGGGCCGCCGTGATTCACGACATGTTTCCGACGAGCAACAGCACTCTGATCTATCTGATTTGATTGGAAAAGATCTCGCTGATTGGATAGGATCTGTCGTTGTCCAGGAGGATGGACGGATCACAACGGAGGACGCCTCGGAGTAGGGCGAGGCAAAAACGAATTTATTGGAAGGGGACTTGTTCTTTGTCGTCGCTCCACACACGCGCCCTCCTCCAGGTAGTTTGATTACACGAGTCTTGATTGACTTCGACATACCGTAATCCAACACTTTCGCGCGCTGATTTCGGCTGATTGCGCACAGTTTTGCAAAACTTTTTTCTTCTGTCCTTATAAGAAAAATAAACTTTTTGTTTGGCCGTAGAGACTTCTAGGCATACTTGACGGATTCTGGAAATTTCAAATTTTTATGGAAATTTCCTGAAAAGTCCGCGATGTCTTTTTTTGAGCTAAGGGTGGTTTTTTTGGAATTTGATATATTATTTCTTAATAACGAGGTAATTTGTCAGACTGGAAACTTAGCAATTCAATTGTATTGTTCAAAAAGCGTTCCGGTCAGTTTTTTTAATTTTTCTGGAAAAGTGGAAAAAAATTATATTTAAAAAAAGCAAATCTTCGTTTTTGACGGTATTTTTGCATTCACTTCGACATTTTTTTCTGTTGATATATGAGTACATTGAGGACATTTGGACTTTGTATATTGACGAGAAAAAATAATGAGCTACTTTTTAAGGTTCTGTCGTATTTGGATGTTAGATGAATCTTGCCCTGCACTCAACTATTTCCAGAAAAATTACGAATTTTGAGAAGACGGCGATTCCTGTTTTAATTTCCAACTTTGCTTTGTTCTTATATATATTTCTGAATTGAATCCCAGCTTTTTCCACAGTAACTTCTCTCTTTTTTCCAGTATCATGAGCCAAAAATGAGTCACAAACGACGCAGAACCGCTACAAGTTTCCCAACGCGTCTCCTCTGTCATTTTCTCACCTTACAACTTGTTCTATTGTGTCGCTTTTTTTCATCCTAACCTCGTCTGGATTTTTGTCGTGATTACATGTTCGAGGCGAAAAAAGGAAAAACAAAGAAATGTATTTTTGAGGGTATGAGGATGTGATTATGCCCTACGCGCTCACATGTACACTTCACCTTCGCCGTCAAGTGCAGCTTTTAAGGTCGGTTCAAGTTTACAATTAAAATCTCCCACGAAAAAATTGTTCAGTTATCTTCTAAGAAATGTTAAAAGTTTATATACTGCTCAAACTACTACTAACCTCTCAATGTGAAAAAAGAGGCATGATATTTTTCGTGAAGAGTTCATGGATTAAGAGTAAGAACCGCTTTGAAAAGCTTACAGTTTGGAAGAGGGTTTTATTATCGGATCATCAAAACTCCTTAAAAAAATGTTTTGGACAGGAGAAAAAAGGCAAAGCCCATCAAAGGGAAAGCAGTATAAGTGAGAAAAACTAGAAAAATTTTTTTTGAAGTAAACCCTAACAGTCTTCTGAAAGGTTAGCTGATAACCATCGGATATCCCTGCTTTTTATCATAATCCCCATGAATCCAATCAATATTCATCCATTTCCAGCATCCTGACAGTCTTCTCCGTGATAAAAGCCGGCCACGTGACTCGAGAAGGCGAAGTACGGTGGCAACTCTTCAACGAGTGCAGTCAGGGCATGCTGCAGACCTACTTGGGGCGTGTGAACACTCGTGGATTCTCGGATCGCCATTGCTTGAGTTAGTTTTCCTTTCAAAAGCTTCCCGACAGAACGATGGACAAGGGCCGTTTTGTGTTCAACTTGGAACTTTTTTGAATCTTCAAGCGCTTTCAAAAGGTTTATTAGGCGACGTTTTTTAGCCCCCGGTTGAACTTTTGCTGAAACTTTGCTGAAGGGAACTTATGGACCCCCTGATTTCAGAACAGAAATAAAATTTCTCGCAATAGATCTCGTTTTCGAGTTAGGACACTTCAAAAGCACGTAATAGCGCTTTTTTGGCCTATTTCTCGTGTTTTGCACACTTTGAAGCTCCATAACTCGGAAAGAAGATCTACTGCAAGAAATTTTTTTTTTTGTTCTGCAATCAGGGGGTCCTGAAGTACACCTCAGCAAAGTTTCAGCAAAAGTTCAACCGGGGGTAAAAAAACGTTCCCTGGTTAGATGGATTTTTCTGAATGCGTGCGAAAAATGTCCAACTGAAAATGTAACTATTGAAAATTGCAAGTTCTCTGTTGCTGACCGGATTTATTAATATTGCGAACCTTGAATTCAAACCTCTGAAACAAAAATTTTGCACAGAAACCGAAAATCTTATCCAAGAACTTCAAAGAACGTTGGATAAAATTTGTAAACATTTCCAAATTTCGCTCTGAAACAGCCTTCAATCTTTCTCCATTTTTGATGGCTTGCACTTTTTTAAAAAAATATACTCCAAGTTTTGTTCGAAGCTGTACAATACTAAAGATAATGCATGATTGAACGTGTCGCGGCGCCTTGTCATCAGAAGAAAAACTAACTTTTAATTTCCACAATCCGCATTCTTCCCTCGTAGACAAAGAAAAACTCGACGTGACTCATGTCAACGCCGTCAAGATCATAACTTCGAAGAAAAACGAAACTGGTTGTTTGAAAGTTGAATATTCATCGTTTTCCAGCCGAATTTCACGTGGAAGCCGACTTTTACGGGGCGATTCGACTTCAACATGCTCAGTCCAGGAAATATTTGTGCTTCAACAAGAGGCAGCGGATCACTTTAAGAGTGAGATATTACTCATTTTTTTTTTCCTAAAATTAACAAAAATGGCTACTTCTATTTTATGAAAAAAATGCACCAATTTTCACATTACTCGACATGATGACTTTTTTACAGGAAGGGAAGAGATTTTTTTCAAACTCTCTATAAAAAATGCAAAATTTTGTTAGAGCTTCAATATCTTGTCTGAATACCAACTAAATTTTAACTCTCGCTCTTTTTCAAATAAATGCCTGTTCATGTAGTCGAGTAAAAAGAACCTTTTGCTTGGGTAACCTTGAAAACTCCCCTTTGATCTCGATTCTCTCAGAATCTATGTCGAGCCAACAATTATGAAATCAAAAATTTGGTTTCTTGAAAAAAAGACAGTTTTCTTTCCCGTACGCACTTTTTTCAACTTTTAATTACAGTTCAACGGGGACAGCGAGAGGTGCTATTTCTACGAGCGGATCAATCACAGCGGGTATTCGGAATTGGAGTCCGCTTGGCAGCCTCGCCTGTTCTTGGGTAAATTACTATGAACTTGAATGATTTCGATAAAATTCAAAACTGTTACGTGTTACGATGTAACTTTTTTTAATTTTTTTGGCTTTTTTTCTAGCATTTGTTTGAAGTTATTTCTGATAAACTTTTTCGAAAAGAAAGCAAAAAAACTTTAATTCAGGGAAAAAAGGGGCAAAAAAATAGATTTCTTCATCAGAAAATGAATTCTCAGCTTTTTGTGTTTTAAAAAAACTCATAGGTTCCGTGAAAAAAATTGAAAAAAATGTGTGACTACTGTATCATTTTTTTCCATTAAATGTCCATTTTTTTCTCCCTGGAATTGGAAAAATTTTTTTCTCGAAGCTTTTATATGATCACTGTTTCAACTTCTTTTCAGGTTTCAACGGCCGAGGCAGGTTCCAGAGCCCAGACACCTACCATGTGAAGCGCCGATGCTTCTACTGGCTCAAATTCGTTCGCTACGTTCCAGAAGAAGAACTCCACCATTGCGAGATTCGGAAACCGGTGGATCAGCATGTGCGGCTGGAACACACAAATATGGCCCACAATGCTCTTCGAAACTCGCTCCTTAATCAAATCCGAGCCACTCATGATGGCCCTTACAAGCATCAAGACCAAGAAAATCGCAATGGAACATATTCACTTTGAAGCCCTTTCTACATATTTTAATTTGAAACAATTTTCCCGTCCTCGTGTACATTTTTGCAATAAGTTCTTAATAATCTTTTTTCAAGCCTTTTTCTTTCATTGTTTCATTTTTATAGCTCGTCCAAAAGTTTATGTTTGTAAATTGTGCCTTACGAATTGAAAAATGTATTGATATTCTACTTGATTGCATAATTTATTTTTTTGATCCTGCCAGATAAACTCTTTAATGTAACCATTCCGGACAATCGCCGAGTTTATGCAGTATTCAAAGTTTCTGTTTTAACTTGCATTTTCGCCTTTAAAATCCTTAACGAGCTGACTGCTGTACCAGTGCCACAAAAAGTTATGAAATTTAGTGACACATTGAGGAACTGAGTTATTTGCAAAAAAAGCGACGCTTATTTTATGTGACCACCACAAGCACAAAAGCTGAACATATATCCACCTCGAGTTTGCAAATTCAAAAACCAGAGTAAGCTTCTTCGACTGAATTAAGCCATCTTTAAAAACCAAATTATTAAAGGCTTAAGTTTTTTGTGGAACAGATTCTGGATTACCGCAAGCTCTGAATATTAATAAATATAAATAAATCAAAACCATGGGGCTTCAAAAATCCAAGCGAACAGGGCGAGTTCAAATTTTTTATTCCCTTTTGAAAAGCAGAGTTTTGCGAAAAATCAGAAAAATGACTAAAACATCCGCGAGATGTTTTGACTGAACCATAGTAAGTTGTAAAACTTCATGACATGCGGTCGATTTCATTTATCTGCAAAAATTAAACACTGGCTTTAATGTCCCTTCAACTAGTTCGTAGGACAAAATTTGAAAAATACCTTTCTTGCGTAATTTTTTGTAAAAATTGACTTAACGCTTCCAAAACACCAGCAAGATGTTTCAACCAAACCACGAAAAGTTATAGAAGTGTATGAAATATTTTTAACCTGAGTTATTAGCCAAAAATTAGACTTTCGTTTTAATGCCCCTAAAACTGATATGAGAGGTTGAATTAGAAAAAAAAACTTTTCCCTGGGTTTCAAAAACGAAAGCAAGATGTTTTAACTGAACCCCGGACAGTTATAAAACTTTATGGAATATTTACGACCTGAGTTATTCGCGAAAAATTAGACTCCGGCTTTAATGTGTCTACCACGAGCTCGAGAGGCAAGAAAAATCAGACAAGCGCGTGTTGATGCGGAACGAAGAAGTATCAGAGGTGCACGTGTAAGTGTAAAGAAGCGAGCGCGAAAAATGAGCGTCGAGGAACAAACGGCGGCTTGCCATCGGACTATGAGCCTCTGCGGCCGCCATCGATTGTGATATGGCGCCGACGGAATTGTCGCCGAGGTTCCAGCTCGCCCTCCGAAGGACTGTATTCTACTCAATCGCCCTTCTGGTTTGGCTCGTCCTCGGCACCGTCCTCTTCCCTATTCTAACCACTTCCAGTCCGAGAGAGGTTCATTTATCGTCATTTTGGATCGAGAATATCCAAGACAGCTTTTAAAAAGTTCATGAACTATTATTTTCCCTTCCTGCTCTTGACATTCATGAACACTTTGAAATACTATTTGGGTCTTTTTTTGAAGTTTCAAAGCCAATATACAAGGTTGCGTGACTACTCTGTAATAAATCTTAGTGCAAAAAACAGATAGTTGTTAAATTCTTACAAGTTGTCTTGGAGACAAATTTCTTGTGCATTTTATTTTTTTTATTCAAGTTTTCAATTGGAAAAGAGAAATTGAAAGCTTGTGGGAAGATTTTTGGAAGGAAGGAACATTTTCTCAATTTTCTGAGCCGTTTTTGCCTTCACCTCTGAGCTTTTTTTGAAAAAAATTGGACTATGAAATTTATTTTGGCTTTATTCCCTTCACGAAGTACCAAACAAAAAAGAATATTGAGGTCGAGATGATAAGAGAATTTCAAAAAAAAAGCGTCTTTAGAGCTTTTTCAAGAACTTCAGCTAAAAATCGCGGTTTTGAAATTTCACTCCATCCTATTTACTCTCGGAATTTCCAAGTTTATCAGATCATATTTTTCAGGAAGACAATGTCGGAAGCTTATTCCGGCTTGACGCGAAAAGATCAGATCTCTTGAATGTTCTCTGGGCGGAGACCATCACAAACTCCGAAGATGACTGGTCAGAGCTCGCCGATCAGAAACTTGAGCTTTACGAAAAGGTTGAATTCATTCTATTTCTTTTTTTTGTTACTAGCTCTCGGCTTATTTTCGCGAGACTCTGAAAAATAAATCAAGTTTGAGCTTTCTCATTTTTCTCGAGGGGTGAAGAAAAACAAGCGGATGTTCTTTCCAGGCCTTGTTACAACACTACGGGATTGATCTCAACCGCGACGATCGAAATTTTGCCGCCGGACTTCAGAAAGCTTTTGCTCTTTCTTCCACGATAGGTATATTTTGAATTCTGAATTTTTTGCGCACTTAGGAATCGAATTTTTGGTTAACATTTTCAAAACTTTTTGGACGTCCCATAAAATTTTTGATCCGAATTTTTCGGAGAGCCTTAGGAACTTTTAGCGTAAGGGAGGAGCTGAAAAGAGGATTTAGAAATGTTAATTTTTCATTTTCGAATATCATAACTCTCTTTTTTCGATGAAGCGATGAAAAAACTTTTTCTGATTTTGTAGCTTTCTATTTTCGACAAGGGAGTTAATTTTATTTTGCGGTTGGGATTTTTTTTGAAATTTGGTCAGCACATTTCTTAACCCACCAGATTTTAAGCCGGAAAATCCTGACCTGCACAACTTTTTGGCTTTTCAGAAATGAGGGCTAAAGTCCGTGAAAAAAGGCCATTTTGGTACTGAATCCTCATAGTTTCAAACGACCTTCCTTGTCAGTTTTCTTTTTTTTCAGGTCCACTAGACGTCGATGACTTCACCACTACTGGAAAGCTGATTGCGGTTATTTACGCCCTCATTGGTTTTCAATTTCAATTATCTTCTTATTTCAACATGTCGAAATTGTTAAGGTACACCTTTATTCCTGACAGTAATCCATCAAATTGGTCGGATGATAACTTCCTTGTGGCAGGTTTTTTGAAAATTTTTTTTCGGTTTTCTTGGAATTTTTTAACTTTAGGGTGTGAATTTGCTCATTAGTACGTTCGTCTTCATTTTCATTTCCGCGGTCGTTTATGACATCATCGAGGGAGGAAACGATGACGTGGTAAGTTTTCTTTTTTCTGGCTTTTGGCAGATTTACGTGCACCCTTTATGAAATATTTTTTTAATTCAAAAAAACGGATAATTCTAAAAAAACAGTTTGTCACTTTTTTTGATAGCTTCTTTCAGTTTGATCTCAATAAATTAAAATTCAGCCGTTCCTCGAAGCAATTTTCTCCATATTTCTACAATTTTCTACAGTCGGAGAAGTTGATAACGAATTCCAGTGAGTTATATATTTCATTTCTTCCAATTTTCATTTTCAGCGGAATCGGCCCTTATATCATTTGTATTCTCGGCTTATCATTGATGAGCTCCGTTTTTGGATACATGCAGCAAAGGATCGAAAGATGGATACATCCTTTCGAATACGCCTTCAACAGGTATATATCCTCAATTTCCTGTTTCTGTAGTTTTTATAGCGAATGGAAAGCGAATGGATACGGAATTGGTTGGTTTAGTTGGAAAAGTATACTAAAGTAGTAGTCCTGCTAACAGTTTTTTGGCTTTTTTAACTTTTCATTTTTAATCAAAGTTTTGTTTGACATCATCGGTATGGTTGGAATAAACATGAGATTACCGTTTCCAGAAGCTGCGGGGGCATTGAAAGATGGCTGAGTGAGGAGAAACCACGAAATTCGTACGCTGATCGGATAGAAGAAGAAGACGAAAATGATTTGAGCGACTACGAATAATAGTTTTATTTGAAATTTTGACTTTTAAAAATGACTTTACCGTTTCTGATTTTGAATTCTGATAAAGCAAAAAAATCAAACACATAGTTGTGATGTAAAGTGTAGTGCGTAATCCCGGCTAGAATCCTTTTTTGAAATGAACTTTTTTTCTAGGATTTTGCGTTTTCTTTCATGAAAAATGACTTTCACTGCCTTTTTTTTTGTTATACTCGGACCTTTTTGTAACTGTTTTTCAACTAAATTTTTTTGTCATATTTCTATTTGCAATTTTTAATAAACTTGGATATTTAAATGCATTATGATTCTCTGTGAAAACAAGACTTTTTTTCCGGTAATTTTGTGCTTGTCGGAAATTTATATTTGCTGTTTCACACTGAAATCGAGAGTCAACAATTGATTTGTAGAGAATCAACCCGCTCTTTTGGCATCTGCACAAGTTTGCATAACCAGAAAAGCAAGCGCGCTCCATTGATACTTTTAACCTTCGCTCGTAAAAGTTCAGTTTGATTTCTTTCACAGTCCAAGAATGATCACGCCTTGAATCAAATCAAAATTTTTGCAGTCAGTATCTCTTCATTTTGGCGTTGCAACAGCCTTTTTTGCTTTTTTCTCATTTTTCTCCTGCCGTATTTTTGGTAAAACCTTTTTTATTCCTAACCATCTGTTTTTTTATTTTCTTCTGGCTGTTGAGTTGTTTCTGTTAGAGGTGCAAAAAAATGGGAATTTTTGAAGATTTCTTAACAAAAGGGCAAATGCAAAAATTATCAAAGGACCAAGAAGAGTCCCATGATTTATTCAACGATTTGCTTCGAATTTTCGCGAAATGATGATGATAATTTTGAGTTTCTTTTTACGGGTTTCTAGCAAAAAGGAAAGTAGTGATATTCAAGTTTGTTTCTTGAATTTTTTCGGACTCTAACTTGAAGGATTTGTCGTTATATTGTGAAAATTCAATATAACAGTAAGAAGGGTAAGAAGTTAATGTGAAAAAATCAATGTTGTGGTTAGGTTTTTCAATAAAATTTCTTCGAAATTTGTGAGTGGAAATAAATTTATAAATGAAGATATATTATATCGCGCGGCCGTTTTTTTCAAGTTTCGAAAAACAGCTTGAACATCCCTCCACCTTCTTGTGATAAAGGCTGATTCGTTTTTATCTATCATTGCTGAGGGTATCAAGTAGTTTGATTATTATTGTCTCAGAGTAATCTACACATATGTGGAATAATTTCCACAGTATGAAAATCTTCAAAAGAGACAATTAACGGATTTTTCTCATGATTCTCTTTCCTTCGGAGCTTCCACAGTTCCACCACAAGAAGAGAGATCTTCGGACGAACGCAGGTAACCACCGTAATCCCTCTGTTGACAGCCGTGCGCGGCGAGGGACGACTGCGGTTATGTCCTCCGACGGTCCGACCGACAACTTCGATATGGTGCGGAGGGAACTGGAATGCATTCGCGCAACCGACACTCAAACGCACATCAATCACCTCCTTTTCACCCTCCACTATTTTCTTCCGACTTCTGATTTTTCACCATTTATCCCTCCTCATCAACATCGTCTTCCTCCTTATCTGCCACGCCAAAAGCTGATATGGCCTCGAGGAGGTCGTGTACCTGACTTTTAGAGGCCTTGCGGAGGGAAATTCGCTCCGATGCGAATAGTTGGACAAGTAAGAAGCTGAAAAATGCTCGATTATAAAAAAACACAGGATCAAAAAACTTTTAGTAGAAATAAACCGAGGTCTAATGACTGTTTTCGTGAAGCTCAAAACCTAGATGATTCGAAAAAAAAGTTTTCAGTTCAGGAGACTTTCTAAAATCTTGAGGATTTTGGATCTGATGAAAATTTTTATTAAGCTATCTTGCTTCAGAAACTTGAATAAAAAACGATAAAACCAGCAGGAAAAATCTCGATGAAATCTGATCCTAAAAACTCTTAAATTTTTTTCTGAATTCTGCCCTTCTTCTGAAGAACCCTCCAGCCCTCGGTTCAGAACACTAATCAAAAATAAAAAGGCCAGCTAATGTGGTCAGCAACCGCGATTGTTTGGGCCGGAAAAAGACAAGACGAGGGGCGACAAATCTTCATGACGGTACGTGTGACCTCCGTTGCCTCACGCTCTCTCTTCGCCGCAATCAGCAATTACCGCCCGTATCATCATCACTCAACGTTGGTCCAATCATACTCTTTTTTTTTTCCTTCAGCGGTCCTCCGACGTCGGTGAACCTGTTTTCCTTTGCCTCAATACGGAGCGTAGAGGTACACGCCGTATCATTTGTCGCGAGCCGTCGACTGTCAACAATTTTGATTACAACCGGAGAGGAAGTTGTTGAAATTGAATTTTGTATGAAATAGCTGATCAGGGGCCGGTTCTCGGCCACTGTTGGTCTTGAAATTCCGATTTTCCTCAAGTTTGAAGGATGATATCAGACCAAGCGGTTTTTCGACAGCGGATAGTGGAACTTCTTGCATGGTACCATAGGAATCTATGCTCTGCGTTTTCAGAATCTATTCTAAAAAAACTTCTTTAACTTCATGTTGAGACAGTACCTCAAAAGTCCCACAATTTGAGACATTTAGATTATTTTTAAGTCATATTTCTTTAAATCTCCTAGAACAAATCGGAGGTGAACATGGTAGATAGTTAATGGACTTCCATTCAGAAAACATGAAAAAAACCGACAAAATTGCATAATCTTGTTTAAAAATTAGAAAAATCTCTAAAAGGCTCGAAAAAGTTTTCCTGATAGGAATAGGACCGCACTTGCGTCTTCAAAAATCCTCCGAAATTCGCCAAGGCTACGATATAGTTTTGCAGAAAGAAAAAATCAAAGACCACCATATTCTTCCAAGCTCCACCCAGTTTCTTCGAAAATCGAGAGAAGATGCAAAAAGAAATTATATCTCTGCAGAAGAGAAAGTTCAAAAATCATTGTTGCAGCGTGAGAAGGAAGATACGTTTCTTTATCAAATCAAAAATATGATTTTTTTTGAACCGTTCATTCCTTCGAAACCTTTTTTTCACCCTGTATTTTTTGTTCAAAACACTCTAGCCGAAAGTTGCAACAAACATTTTCATTTCGGTTTGTTTGTAGCTCACCTAATCAGTTAATAAACAAACTAATCAATCAATCGACCTTGTTTACTCCTTGTTCCGGGTTCGCTCCATTTTGCTAAGACAAAAAAGCCATGGATTTATTTATGATTTGGTATCAAATAAGCAGATGATCACATGATTTACACGGTAAAAATAGATAAATTCCGCAATTTGTACAGAAATGATAATTATCACAAAATCACCGAAAATCGGGACAAAGGGGAAAATATGTGTACTTTATTGGTAAAGCCTGTTCTGAGGAGTTTTTTGAGAGGATCGGGAAGTTCATGCTCTGACGAGATCCTTGACGTCTCTCTGCTGCTTGGTGGCTTCGAGAAGAGCCGAAAAAGCCTTAGGGTCGAGTAAGGCGGATCCGACGGTTCCTGACGCCATTTTGGAAGCAATCGACTTCTGAAAAAGAGTTTTTGGAATTATTCCCGCAATCCAATTGAAATTCAGGTTCCATTAAAATAATGGCTCAAAATATTGGTAATCTCAAAAATCAAATGAAAACTCAATTTTCCGCAATTTTGCAAGTTCAGGCTTTATTTAGGTAACTTTTTCGAATAAAACAGTTAATCATATCACTAGGATCACTATCCCGAGCACAAACATTTTTTCAGCCTTTTTTCAGGCAATTTTGAAGTCGGAAGTCGAAAAACTGAGCTTTCAAACGCACTGTAGCTCAATAATTTGTTTTTGCTTTCTTAAATCAATGCCTGAGAGCTGAAACATATCGCGACGCCCAACTCAGTTCGGGTCGGGTGCGCTCGAAAAACCACGACGTTTCTCTTGCGACTACGCATTTTTGATCCAAAGCGAATTGATATGATCTCACTTGAAGACTGTAGTGATTGAAGCTCTTGAGCGGATCCTGGAAGGGAAATTGGATCTGCGGGGCTATCGGAAACAAGCCGTTGATAGTTTCCGACAAAGTGTTTCGACGGATTTCTTCATTTATATTATGATGTGTGTGCGTTTTCTTGTGCCGCAGCAAGTTGTCCTTTCGATTGAACCTGAAAAATAGCTAGATGTTTTTTGTAAGGGCTTTCAAAAAATAATCTCAAGCCGGAAAAAAAAATTACATCTCATAATGAAATTTCGTTTCAAATTTCTTCCCTCAAAATTTTGAGACCGGTTAATTTCGACAAGTACGCGCTAATGTGATCTGATCGACTAAACGCGATTCAAACAAGGAAATTTTTCCCCAAATTTCCACTCTCTTCGCCGACGAGCTAATCGTCAATTGATGCTCACCATAAAACTGATCGAACTTCACAAAAAAACGTTCTTAAGGCCGTTAAAGATTTATGGCGCTATTGGGGGTTTTTTGCCTCGCCGACTGAAAAAAGCGTACGATTCGATTTCGAAGGTCAATGTTAATTTACGACTGGGGATAATGTTGCGAAATCACTTACTTTTTGTTACAATAGGGGCAGGTATGAGGTCTTAGACCGGTGTGGATGAATTGATGTTTTTTGAGGAGGAATTTGTTGGCGAATCGCTTGTTGCAGTTGTTGTGCTCGCAAGTGAAGGGCTTATCTGAAAAAAAAACTTTTCATGTGGAGGTATAGAAGGGAAAAGGTGGCTTATTTGCTTCGATTTTCATTTACAGCGTACACCAGGTCGTTTGTAGTATTTTTACAGTGGTCCCTAGGGGTTAGAGCGGAAAAAAACTCCTATAAGCCAAAAAAAGTGGTCCCTATAGGGGTTTAGGGTCTGACCCCTTAGCCCCTAAAGCTAAACTGGAATCTATAGGGGCATTTCATTTCATTCAAAAAACGCTTATTTGTTCGATTTTTCCCATGGAAATGCTTCTTTGCTCAGAGTTCGTAACAATTATCAATTAGTATGCCCCCTATAGAGGCCACTTTTACTTTTGGAAGCTTTTTTGGCCCATAGAGAGGGCTCTCCAAGCACCCCTTTAGGGACCACTCTGGAGTTCCTCAGTTGGTTCTGATTCTGTCAAGGTCATGCCAAAATTCGAAGCTGAGCATGTAAAAATTCGAATAATTTTATCCAAAAAAGTTGATTTTTTGCCATACTTCTACAAGTCGTTCTGCTCCGAATTCATTCCAAGACAAGCTGGATATCATAAAAACCATTGTGAGGTTTTTCAAAAAAAGAGTAAATGTGAAAATGGGAGAGACAGCTTTTTCCACAAATTTGGAGCGTAAATATTTTTTTCAAAAATTTTTCCAAATGAAATTTAACTCTAAAAAAACAGTTCGATTTCAACCATCAATCACCTAAACAGTTGACGAATTGAGAAGCGCGCAAGGCTGCGCGTCCCCCCTTGAAATTGATTGATCGTCTCTCGCATTATACTTCGAACTCGCGAAATTTTTGCCTTTGTCTTTTCCAAATCAACACTTTTGAAAAACAAATGTTCTCCCTCATCAGCGATCAAATCAAAGTTATCATAACAAGGGGAAGTGGTCATGAGATTTGCAAGTGATAAGGAGAGGCCGTTTGGGATGATCTCTAATGACCTTCGAAATCCGGATGAGTGGAGAGTTTTCCTGGTTTTTGACTATGAGACTAAATATGAGCGAGCTTAGAAAATTTTGAAAGTTTCCTAATTTTTTTTAGAGAGACTTATTGTTTTCCGTTTTTGTCAAAAATCGCTTAAAAATGCGGATCCAAAATAGCAAGGCCTTGGAAAATAAAAAAAGCTTTTTCGGAGCGTTGATAGCCAAGGCTCAATTTAATTTTGTACTTTTAATTGCGAATATTTTTTTTGGTGGTTCAAATCAAATAACCATTGTCGCATTTATAATGGCATGAAAAAAATCTTTTGAACTTCTGAGCTTTCCCGGACAATTTTTTTGACCATGAGTCTGACGCGACTTCATTCGTTGTTGATTTTTGATAGGAGCTTCTTATAGGAAATAGTTCTTTTGAGATCAAAAAAAAAATCACATAGAAGCTTTCAACTCACCAGCTTCACCATCTGCAGAACCGTCCTGATTCGAATTGCACTGGCCGCCGTCCGACAATTCGCCACTTCCATTATCGGAAGGCGAAGGAGAGCTGTTCATGTCGTCCAGCTCATTCATTCTCTCGTCCAGCTTCTCATCCATCTGATCCTGATCACCTCGGCTTGCAGATTCGGAAATTTCCTTCGTGCTGAAACTTGGAACCCTTGTTTCTGAGACTCTTTTCTTTGTTTTTTCATTGTTTCTCATCAGCTGTTTCGATGAGTAAAGTTTGGTTTGGGAATTGATGCGCCATATTAATTAATTGCTTCATTCATCATTTTGTGACGGATTGCGACGGCTAATTGGAAAAACAACAAGAGTGTGTTTTGTTTCTGAGAAAGAAAAATGCTTCTGTTTTGTTGAAGTTTATTGAGATTAATGGGATGACTGGATTTGTCATAAAATGACTGCTTTGTGAAACTTTTTGTATGGTTCAGACTAGAGTATCGTTTGGAAAGCTTCCAGTGATCAAAAGGGGTCCGAGAACAAGACATTATTTCTCGAAAAAGTAGCTTAAATCAAAAACCCTCGGTTAATCTTTTTTTTTGTTTTGAAAAAGGTAAGTTTTTTTGAAAAAAAGAAGAAGAAGAGTTGCAACTCGGTTTGGGTCGGCTGCAAATTTTTTTCCTGCGTAAATACTTGACTGAATTAACCCCTTAAGGCCTTGATCTTCTGAAGAAGAGCAATGAGGTTGAAAACTAGCAAAAAGAGGAAAATTGACAAAAAACGTCCAATTCTAAATTTGCGTTAGATGTTATTTTCTCTGTGTTTCACCATCAGAAAAAATGGGAAAGCTACTGCTATTTTTTCAGATAGCAAGCGCAAGCCGGTCGAGGTCGGTTGCAAAGTTACTAGATTTTTTTTCGCTTCTAAATGAACTTTTTGCTGCTCCAGCTTCTCAGATACATCAAGAACATTCGAGAAAGCACACCAAAAGCACAAGTCGGCCATAGTTGGTTGCAGATTTCTTTGTTGAAAATCTTCTCGTTCTTTATGTTACGGGAATATTCAAATCCTGTGACTTCTTGAAATAGGCAGAATTGGAGACAATTTTATCAGTTAAGGAGAAATCGTATGATGGGAAACGGCCGCGGAGCTGGTTTTGATACTCGATCCTCTGTGTATCCATCCCTTGTTGCCTCGGAAAACGAGGCCGGCCGCAATCATTTGCAGATCGTCCTCGGCCTACGAGACGCGCCTGAGGAGGTTCCAAATAGAGGCATCGCTTCGCTATCAATCAGGGACAAGGATACGCAAAACCCACAGTAACGCCGTCGGCCTCCTCATCGGAAACTAAACACTTGGCGCTCTGATTTCGGGGTCACTTCATTAACGAGACTCAGTACTCAACAAAAGTTTCAAAATGGGAATGGTGAGATTCTGAAAATTTCTTGGGAACTTCAGAAAACCACTATTTGAAGTCTCCAGAGTATTGATTATAGGAAAATAGAAGGATCTGAAAAAAATTTCAGCAAGGTGAAGATTATGATGGATTCAATAATGTTCCAAAAATTGCTAGTTTTTCCTGATTTTGATAGGTTTTCCCTTTTTTGTGAGCAGAATGATCTGGTTTCCTCAAAAAATGTTCGAAAAGAATTTCTTGAAAATCACAGAAAATTGTCTGAGTTTTGACTTTTCGAAGAAAATCAGCCCATTTATAGAATAGCTCATGATCAAGGGAAAACGAGCATTTCTTACTATTTTTTCGATTATGGAAAATTTACTACCTCCTAACGAAATAATTATTTATGGCCTAGTTTTTGATATAGCGAAAAGAGTAAAAGTTCAAATAGAAGATCGGATTTTTTTATGAAAATATCTTTTTCTCCACTTTTTCTCTTTCCGTCCCTTCATCGTCCTTCCCACAAGACCTACAGGAAACCGAACACTTCGTTTTTTCTCTCTCAAAATAGTGTTCGCCACTAATCCGTCAAGCAGCAGACAGCTTGATTGACATTCGATGAAGCGATCAATTTGCGATTGGAACTCTGTATACCGGGAGATTCTAATCGCGTCACTGAAATGAATTTGTCAAATCGTCCACACCTAATAGTTTGGAAAGTAAGAGAGACAGTGGAGGGCTCTCAAGGTGAATCGGACCCTCGATAAAAAGTGCATTTTTCACTCGGCGCCGGGGGCGACTGATGGATGACCACAGAGTGACCGAATTCCTCGCCGGTCGCCTCGATCGTCGCGCATTCATTACGGTTAATTGAGTTATCTTCCTTTTCTTGGTACAGTAAGTTGCTGTGGTTTTTTGGCGGAAGGAAAAGCGAGATTCGAAAAAGGATCAGATCTGAAGAAGAAAATGGGATGTATGCTATCAACCCATCAATAAATGTTCTTTGTGAAGTCTTCTGAGAAACTCGGGATTTTCAAAAGAGCAAAATTTTCAATCTCTTAATCACAATTCTTCAAAATAGCCATACTTTTTTTATAGTATAACAAATCGTTTTTTTAAGGTATGATAATTTTTGTGGTTTTTGCAGCAAAAAGAAAAGATCTTATCTTAAGAAGGTCAGAATTTAAAGCGAAAAATCTGTCAATTCAAATTTACTCAAGGACATCGGCGTTTTTCGATTATCAAAATCGATAAGCTCCAATTTAATCTCCCAAAAATGATGCGTCAATAAGATTCACCAGGGATATCATTTTTAGATGTTCCTGTCCTGAAAAAGATGTCAACTAAGATCTTGAATTTTCGGGAAGGTTTTTTTAAATAAGTTGCTTTTGAGGCCATTCTTGACAAAATTGACCTTTTTTTCTAAGTTCTGTCATTTCCAACAAAGTACCAGCTTTGCCAACGTCATTTTGGTTTGAGGCGTCGATGCGTGATAAATTGCGCAAAAGTGAGAAATACACTACGCTACTACACCCGCAAACAAAAACCGGAAAGATTCTTTTGTTTCGCCATCATAAAAAAGTTTACCTCAATTTTATGAAAAAAAGGTCGTTTGAATTAAGTGAGCTGATTGTGTTCAAAAAAAAAGAAATGAGTGGAGGAATGGGGAGAGATGGCTAACATTTCGGTCATCGGCAATCATTGAGGTTAATAATACTAGTTTGAATCCGAGAAGTTTTCTCGTAAAGATTTAATTTTTTATTGGTGTTTGAATTTATCTATCCAAGTTTGAGAATGGCCACGATTTGGTCCTTTTTTCAGCTCTGAAAAAATTCCTTGAGCCTTGTCTAGATGCACAAAATGACCTACAGAAAAAAAAGAGTATGAGCACGTTCTAAGTGGTCCGAATTCGATATGTTCTCATTTTATCTCAAGTTCTAACTGATTTTTCGAAAGTAATGTATGAATCGTTTTTTTCTGTAACTTCTTGATGCTCAGGCTCCTTTGCAGTCCCTCCAAACGAATATTCGAAGGAAAATCGAAAGTTTCCCTCCAAATTTTCCCATACTCTCGGCTATAACTTTGATAACTGCAGGACAGAATATTCGACACGCGATCGAGGTTGGCGGTAAACTCTGCGGTACGGCAATAAACACGGTGTTGTCCCTCCGCGCCGGCGCCTCGTTTCAGCGAGGGCTGGCAGCAGCGGGACATTCAGATCTCGAGACGCGATAACCGGCAAAAGGTCGGACGGTTTGGCCTTCCGGCCGCAACCACCTAATTGGCCGTTTCAACTTTGCCGCTTTTACAGCGTAATAGTTTGACATGTTCGTTTCTTATGAAAAATGACACATGGTTTAAGAGACCATCTTTCAACTTTGAGATGTAGAAACTTGGTTTTGCAAAATTGTGGGTGTCGATAAAAGAGATTTTTGGATAGGTATAAAACGGCGGTCAGAGAGAGAAACGATTGTTTATATTTTATTTTTTGGATCACATTTCATTACTTCATTTTAAATTTTCTCTATGATATTTCTCGTCGAATTTGGCTCTGATGGATTTTGAATATACTCGAGAATTGATATTACATCAGCATGTGATAATTTCCTGATAAAAAGCTCGAAGAACGGGTAAGGGACTTGGAATAGTGCAAAAAGTGGACATAGTGACCGATGGCAGGTTTTTCAATGTTGGAGCGAGTTTCCGGAACAGTAGACTGATTTCAGCTGCGTTCAAAAAAAGTAGTCGAAAAAACCGCATTTCAAAATTAAGTTATTGTAAAATTCCTGTCAAGTTTTAATGGAACAGTTCAAACTATAAGGCAACTCAAATGGCTCAAACAGATGGAAATCAAACCAGTAAAAAATAAAACCCTTGAACTGAGCTACAGTAGGTTTTTTGCCAAGTTTTTGGGGTGAAAGGCATGGGTTGCCGAACAATATGCCCCCAACAAAAGGCATGACTCAGGATACTCTTGGTTTGGGAGCCGCTATTAAAACGCAAAAAGCACGTACAATAGCAACAAGTTCGTCCAGACATTTAGATAAGTCCATGCGCTTTTTGGTTCGAATGTTGCTAAAACTTACAACTTGTCCATGAGCGACATGACGGGTTCTTTTGGAGGTTGCATCATTCGCAGCAGGTTGAAGTAGGCCGGATGTGACTCCAAGGGAATCGGAGCCATCGGAAGCATATGTGGCGGAATTTTCGGCATCGACGGCCCTTCCACGACTTGTTCCTTTGCTTTCCGCTTCTCAGTCAGCTTTTTCAGAGTCGCATCAAGACTTCGGAAACCACGCCGTCGGCTGATCTGCAATCAGAAATCAGTCAACTTTTGTTGACGTTCCGCAACTGTTTTGCGCCTTTTTGTAACGTTCAGAAATCGTGCAAAACATGCAACATTTTTGGATTCATATACAGTTCCTTGAAAGTAAAGTTCTTGACAAACCTTATCCAAAATCATTTCCTTGACGTCAGGAGAAGGAAGACTGGAAACCGGAGTAGTTTTCTCATTATTTGTGATTTCTGACGCCATTCCGTCGTCCTCGTTTGAAGAAGTGGTAGATATGCCAATTTCAGCAAAGGGTGGAGGTGATTTGGAATCTTTTGACTGAAACAGAAAAAAGTTGAGTTTTTTTTTTGCGATGAATGGGAAATGTGAACTGACCATGGGATAATCGATCGACGATGCTTTAGAGCCAGAAGGTGTGTCACAACTTCTAAAAATAAACGGTTGAAAACATATTACATCCCTGTTTCGAAATTTCCTCATAGAGGAGTTACTTTCATAAATTTTTGATAATTCGCTCACGTGTGGGTTTAATGTAAGATTTAAAATTAAATTTGAAAGAAAAAAAACAAATATTTCGTCTACAGCCCTTTAATAAGAGGAAAATAAGAAAATAGCCAATGAAAAACTTGAACAAAAGACGTCAAAAATTTTTGACCAATTTGATTTGTGAGAGTACTCAGCTTTGCTGTTTCAAATTTAAAAAGCGTCAAAATTGCTTCTCGATTCAAAACGGACCTGCTTTCAACCAGCATCATGGGCATATCGTTCAAATTTGTAGCAGCAAAAACGAAATTGCAGCCTTTTTTCATGACGGCCTCATAGCAGGAGACAATATCAGGCGAAGATAAAGGTTCGGCCATCACTCGGCTCGCCAAAATGTCCCGAGCCTCGGCGATTGCCTTTTCCGGAAACGTTTGGGCCACTAAATGCGAGAGCCTGGGACATTTGGCGTGGAAATTGTGCACGAAGCAGAGCAGGGAATTAACGATTATTGGCTGTTCCATCCTTCTTAGAAGTTTGCAAACATCAACAACCTCGGAATGAAATTCTGCAAAAAACAAGAATAGAATCAGTTGAGGTTCGAAAAAAAAGTAGTCGTAACGTCGGAATTTATTGACCTTTAAAGTTAAGCGGTGGTTAAGGTATCGCAACAATTGGAAAGGAGGAAGGTCGCGGAAAAGAATAGGAAATACTTTTCTCCAGAAAGAGGCGAATCGAGTGGAAATTCAGAACATCATTGATAAAGAATAACGAACAACAAGAAAAAATCAATTATCAATGATAAGAAAAAAACGAATCCAGAGTAGAATTAGAAAGGAATGAATGAATGACAATTAAAGATCAAAAAGTGGTGGTTAATTGGTATAATGATAAATAAAAAAGGAAGATCGGGTACAAAGAACGCCGTAAATAATATAGTGCATTCTTGAAAGTTGTAAACTGCGCTAAAATAGGCGGGGCTCAAAATAATGAAATTTTTTTGTACTTTCGCTAACTATTCTGATACCGATGTGGATGAAGTACAACCAAAGTGCAGAGCAATTTTTCCAATTTTTCATAGAGAAAGCTTGATGCCAAAGGATAAGATGAAGAAAAGTGAGTAAAAAAAATATTCAAGTTTTTGGCCAAGGATCTGTTCAGCTATATCAATTCATCAAAAACAAAAGATTGGTCGAAAAATGGTTTTTTTTGGTTCGCTCAGCTTTTCATAACCTCAATGGATAATATAAACAGAGAAATGAGGGAAAAGAGGCAGTTTCCAATTTTTCCTGAACTTTTTTTTCGTGCTGGCAATGGATAAAGCATGAGAGCCTAGCTAAAAACAAGACTAGGAGGTAGAAAATAAGAGATAAAGAAAAAAATAAAACACAGTTACTTTTCTATTAACCTTACGGTTAATGAACTTTGAGCGAAAAAGAGTAATTTCATATTTTTTTTTTCTGATTTTTCCTTTTTAAGTTGATCATAATTGAAGAATGAAACTTTGACTCTTAAAAAAAAGGAAAAATGAAAAAAAAGTTCCTCTAAAGTTCCATGAGAAGATAACACTGGATGAAAAATAATCCGAATACTTTTTTCCGAAGCGACCTTTGCTTAAAGCTCATCAGGAAAGTTGATTTTGAAGCTGATATTCCTTTGTGATACCAAAGCAGGGAGGATTGAACTATGAAACCTTAACTCAGAATGAGAAGTAAAAAAGCAAAAGGAGGTACAACGGAAGTTCCGTCAGGATGGTAATGGCGCCGAGGACAATACAATAGCCCAGGTAGGAGTGATCATATCATTTGTAGTGGAGGACATGAGATGGGTGGTAAGAACAATGAATGAGGTTGGAATGACAAGAAGAGTGTTAAGTGGAGGAGGAGGAGGCCGGACGTCGCCTCGCCTCGCCTCGCCCCACGAGGAGGCAACATCGAGGTGGTGATGGTATCAACGCAGACGAAGACATACATCGGCCCCTCCGAATTGAGAAAAGAACGGAGAAGAGCGTGATATGAGCGACATACACACACACAGCGAGGAGGTCTTTTTGGGAGGAGCCTTCGCCTCCTTGCCTCGAGGCCAGCCGGTGGTACGGTAGGTTCCTTCCCTTTGTGAACGGAGACTCGAGGCTTGAGGTTAAGGAAGTTCGGGTCATTTTTTGCCGTCCGACAGTATTGAGACAAGAAAAATGGAATAGGAACGAGATAAAGTCCATTCACTACTAGCTGAACTTAGAAATGCTGAAGGGATGTCTAATTATGGAAACCAAGGGTTTTCGGGATCATTTTTTTTTGTTCCACAGTATTAAAGACCTCAGAAATAAAATAAGATCAAGACAAAGTTCATTTGCTATTGCTTGAAAACATAAAAATGCTAAAGGGAGGTATAAATATGAGAGAAAAGAGTTCACAGAATTCAGAATAAATTGAATTTCTTTTTCCTGATTGCCAGTTTCATCCTTTCTACGATATTGAAAATTTTTGATCGGTCGATTTTTTTCAAACCAACGAATTCTATTCACTAATGGGTATGCAGAAAAGTGCCTCGGACCTAGTTAGAACAGTTCTTTCTGTGCAATTTTCTGACGGTCACTCAGAAGCTCCAACGGTTAACCAAACGAACAATTGTATTTTTTCGAATACTGATGTAATAAACTTTTTGACAAATAATTCAAAGTGAATGAACAGTTTTCTGATCAATATAAAGATGAATTTAAAGCTAGCTAACTGATTTCCTTCTTGTATCATCAAAATCTCTCTTCCTTTTCTAATACTTTAAAAAACCGCTCGGCCTGTACTATCACTTCCTTTTTCATATCATTCGGTAAAGTCCAACATCTACTCGAACTTAAAAATAATCAGTACTGAGCAACGAACCGAGCCTCATGGAAAGGACATTTTCGAAATCCAGCAATATTTCCATCTCAACTATTTTAATATCAAAACTGGAATCACAGATTAAGAGTCTGGTAGGATTCCAAGTTGCCTTCTAATGAAAATTCCAATACGAGGAAATACGCCCGCAAGAGCGCCGATGAACCGTTCAACCGAGCAAAAAAGTACGAATCCATCACATTTTTTTCTCATTTTTTCTGAATCCGAGCGTTAACAAGTTGGTGAAATGATTTCAAGAATATTGGTAGACTGAATTTTGATGCCAAAAAACTTCCTGTTTCATCTGCGGTATCAAAAGGGGCCGAAGGACATTTAACTACAAAAAATTTAGTCGCTTCTGTTCATTCAAAAAGCTAATTATCTTTCAATTTTATCCGCGAAAGCTGAGTTTCGGTCAAAAAGAGATCGAAAAAATAAGCTTCGAAAATCTGAAAATCATATTTTGAATGCCAAAAATATTCAAACCAGGGGAACGACTTACCTTAATTTTATTTTCAATCCAAATTTTTGGAATGCAGACTACCTTCTGATTGTGGAGATCCCAACAAGGTAGGAGGTTTTCAGGCCAATAAAACTTCAAAGTTGGGAAGTTTGTCCCAAAGAGCTCCATCAAACCGTTCAACCTGAAAAAATTTTTTATTGCCAGACTTTGTCGGAATTGTCCTCAAAGATTCCGATTTTTAACCAAGTTTTCCTCAAATGATTTGATTGTAATGTTGATGATTTGAAAAATTCCCACTAAGAATGCAAAAATTATTTTCAACCAGCTGTGTCTCAAAAAATTTAATTCAAAACTTCATTTTTGTTTTTCAGATCATCTGAGCAATTGTTTTCGACTGACTTCATAATTCGTATCAATTCCCAGAAAACTTGTCACTGCGTGTATAATACCAATCCTTTTGAGAATTGAACTTTCGCTTCCTCTTCCAATGCTCATTTTTTGCTTTTCATTGAAGAAAGCTCCTTAATTGGTGTAATTTGATAATGGCCAAAAAAGTGATTAGTCGTCTCATTTTTTGAGCCTTCTGAAAAAGTTTTTGACGTCAATTTTGAGTCATTCAGGTCGTTCACCGTAGTCAGTGAAGGTGGAGTAATCATCTCAGCTGACTTGGTTTAATTGACAGAAAGCTCTGAACTTATTCCAATTAAGCGTTTCCAGGGTCATTAGAACCTGAAAAACTCCATTGAGGGTGTTGGACACAGTAATCCAGACTTTTGGAAAAACCAGGAATTTGAAAGAAGCCGGAAAATTTCTCTCTTCTAGTCATCAGGAAGTGAGGAATAAAGTCTAATTGTTCGCAACTTCCTGCTCGCATTTGGAAAGGTTCAAGATGTTGTGCATCTGATCCAGTCAAAAGTAGCCTCCTATGAGATTTCACGTATCGAAAGGCGCAAGCCGTTTAGGGGTCGGTTGCAGTTATGAAAAGAATTGAGAAACCTTGACGGATAAAAACTGAACATTCATATTGAATGATAAATCTACGAGGCTCTTTGTTACAGGCTCTACCCAGGCTCCACCCATGCCTAATTCTGTTTCCTGTTGTCCCACAGAAAATGGTTCAAAGAAGCTCCCGACCTGAAACGACTTGTGAACGGAAGCATCGGGAACATCAGAACAAGAAATTCCAGCCAAAAACGGGTTGCACCACTTCCCTTCATTTTCTGTGCAACCAAAAAGTTCAACTTGAGTTTCTCAAAACTGAACTCAACACAAAAGCTCTCTAAAATATTTGAAAAAAGCCTTGAAATTCAACTTTATATCAACGTAATTAATATCAGAACTTCCTATTCTAGTTTCTTGATACTTCCGAGTTCATACTGATTTTACACTTCCGAGAACCAGGAACTTCTACGATAGGGTCGAGGGCTAAAGGAATACACCTGATGTGATTCAGCGCAATGCAAATAACTGTCGCGACATGATACGTGAGAATATGCCAGATTTGAAAATTAAGGGTTCTCTGGAAAATTTGCCCATGGGTAATCGCTCGCCGACATTACCCGTGGGACTGTTTGGTCAAGTTTCATTTTTCGTTTTCAAACGGCTGAGAAGTTTCTGGAACATTAAACAATTCTCACATAGGGGTTTTTGAGATTTCTGAAAGTTGTATTTTGATTTTAGCACTATGAAGTTTGCACAAAACTACTTTGACTTGATCCCAAATTAAGGTACCTGTAAAATTTTTTCCTTGAAACGTTGAACTCAACTTCAATGGAATTTTAGATTTTTTTGAAACTTTTAAAAGTACAGTTTTGATGAAACGCATGAGAATATTGAAAAGTACTGGGAAGTTGTAAATTCATCATAAATTATTGGAAATGGTCATCCAAACCTCATATAGAGCAATTTCTTAAAACTAACAAGATGATTTTCGTGCATTTTTAGAAAACTACTTCCTTCACAAGTATAATTTCGATAACTACCTTTCGGGATAGAAATTGAACATACGTGAAACCATTCCGATTAAATGAAAAAGGTCTCGAAATCTTCATGCAAGGCTTTATTTAATACTAAATGAGGGCTTATTTTATAACTCGGCGGCGCCTCAAACGGAAAGGTCCGCGAAAGTACGGATTGTGTGACCTGACGAGTGTTTGCCCTATGAGCTGGAGGTGAATCGCGCAAACGGCTGGTCGACGGCGCCAAGATGGCACGTCACGATAACGGCGATTGAGGTGGACCCCAGGCTGATTACCTGGCGAAAGTGATGGACGACCGCCATCTTTGGGCAACTTTTTGAGGTTTTTCGGGGGTCCGTTGCCTCGGCTTTCATATGCTAAATCTTTTGCATAAGTTTTGAGGTGTGAAAATAAACATGAGGCGGTCCTTTTTGAAGAAGTTTTGTTGGGGCGGGAGTTTTGAGGAAAATCAATCGGATTTTGCTTTTCGCATGTCGGGTTTCAGGCATCGAAAAATAAAATTTTCGAGAATGAGTCGAGGAAATTTCAGCTGTTTGCGATGGGAAAAAGAAGAGAATAGAAAAACCCAAATGAGCAAAAAACTTTGATTAAGACTAGCTATATTTATTCACCGGTAGTTTGAGACAAAAAAATGCAACAATCTACTTTCATTTTTCCCCATTAGAAACTTCAGCAACGTTTTCTGCATTTTCGAAAGATTCAACTTTTGATTGTTACAACTCAGCTCAATTTTCGAGAGAAAAAATGATATTTTTTTCGAGGAAATCAACGAAATTGAGCTCAAATCGACTTTCGAATCAAAAAAAACTTCTCAACAATTCTACTTTTCAATATTTCTCTGAATCTCCGAGGAACAAAAGCAAACCAAACTTGATACCCATTAAAAAGTTCTCGCGCCTACAGAAAAAAAGAAAATACAAAAAAGCACCGAAAACCTTTTTGCAACGGTAGGAATTCGGAAACTCAGATGATTCACGAGCCCTCAAAATCGTCTTTTGTTTCTCGTTTCGCCATGAGACAGGAGCTGTTCTTTTGAAAAAAAATTTAGCGGTCGGAGTCGGTTGCATTCCTTTTGCAGTGCACAACATCTGTATTGTGTTACTGCGGGTAACTGGTCTTCACAGGGGAGCGCCGATAACACTCGTTCTACATTTTTTTTCGAGCTGAGGGTTTTGTACTGTCGGATTGTCATTGGGAAGCAATTAAAGTTCGATTTGATAACTTAAGCTTGTAAAAATCAACGTTCGCACGGAGAAGCGGAACCAAATTAGAAGATTTCCAGCAAAACGGGAGAAGAAAAAATCACGTTGTTTCATCGAAAAAATACTATTTTTATGATAGTTTGAGAGTAGTTAATATAATTGATGAGTCATAACCATAGAACGGGTTTTGGCGGGCTATAACCGGGCTGAAAATAATTTTCGTGAAAAGTTGTAAAAACCGTTCAAATGGAAATTTGATTTCGCGTCGAATGGGGCCCATCTTAACCAAGTCGGGATATTTCATAAATTTATCATTTATTGTAAAATATGCTGTTGGCGACCGACAGTTGAATGTACCGTGATCAGAAAAAATTGGAAACCGTACACAGAAATGCGAAGGTTCTGAATATTGTTTCATTTCCAGCTCGTTGAAGTTGGCTGTCCTTCAGCTTCTGGTCCAGCCGATTCCTACAGGTACTGAGAAAAACTCGTCGTTGTTTTTTTGAAATCCTCAACTTTTCAAAATTAAAATATCCGGAAAAAAAGGAAAGTTCACTACTGAATTTTTGTTCTTCCTATTTTTTTAAAATAATGGGCCATCATTTTGAAAGTTCTTATTTCTTAAAAAAATAAAAAAATTGTTAAAGTGGATAAATTTTTTAAAAGAAATCAGGAAAAAGCGGCGAATTTATCCTAATAATATGTTTCTTCAAGTTTCTTTCCTTTTTCAAGCCTTCAATTCTTTTTCAAAATATTTATTTTTTTCCATTATTGATGCAAAAAAAGGCTTTTCAGCGCAATCAAAATCTTTTTCTTTGAAAATGGCACAATTTCTCGAACTGTTGGCCTCAATACGAACGATTGGTTTTTGAAAAAAAGTATTATCTAGTTCTTTTTCTGTTCCCACTGGGAAATTTCCGATATAAAACTATTATTGGGCAGCGTTGGTCAATCTCTGTTTGTTCAGCCCTTACTCTTCCAAAATAACACTTTTCCCAGCTGTAATCGTTCAGTAGCTTCCAGGCTTTCGGTCTCTTATAATCATATTCTTTTTTGAAACCTTTTAAAAATTTGCTTCTTCCAGATCTTACTATAATCAAATATCAAAAATTCGAGTTTCCCATCATTTTTCCCCGTTAAAAAGTTTCCCATCAAAAAGCACTGAACTGAAAGATAGACAGTGTGGGACACAGCATTTTTGTCAACGAGCAAGCAGGAAAAAAGTTAGAACAAATATTTGCAGTAACTTGACCGCTTCCGTAACAGACACTTTCTTCTCCGGCTTTTGCTTTTCGCCGCATTTTCTAACAACTTTCGAAAATTTTTCTGTGATTTCTGCTCCATCGAGGAACGCATTGATGTTGGGCTCAGAAAATTGTTAAAGGACCCCTCAGATTTTTCTGTAAAGAAATCAAATCACGGTTTCTTCTTTTTTTGAAAAAAAGATAAATTTAAAAAATCGCTCAATCAGTCAGCTAAAATCAACGATTTTCATTACAATCTTTTAGACTTTTTCTTTTTGTTCGTCATTTCGAAGAATGATATTTCAAGCTTATTCACCTGAATTTCTAAGGATCTGAATGAATAACTTTACGTTAAAGTCAGTTTTCGATACGGTAAAGTTGCGAAACACATCATTTTTTCGTCAAAATTTGACATTTCCTCTATCCTCAGTGTTCCGCCTGCGGTAAAAAGATTGACGACTTTGCAACGTTTTTCGGATTTTGATATTAGACTATGCCTTCCATTTTTCGAAATGAATCATCTCAGAAATTACTTTTTCTGGAACAAAATAACCTTTCCACTGCTCCTTGACTTCTGAAATTCTCAGCAAAAACTTTTTTTGATTTTTATTCATCCCAATAAATAATTCGAGAACCCTTCCATTCAGCAAAAACGTCACGAAGTCCATTTGAATCTTGACATTTGACAAATTGAGCCGAGTGGTTTCTCTTGACAACCTGAAAGCGGCTTCCCACTCATTTCCGAGTTTTGCCCCGTTCTCCATGTGTGTTTTTCCCAAATATTTTTTCGCTTTTAATAGAACCCATGCGTGTCAAAAGCAATTGTGCCGTGCCGTTTTTTGTGTGTTTGAGCCGAGCCATATACATTCTTTCGTCGGACTGATAACAAAAACGTTAGTCATTTCGCAATAGTTTTTCTTTCTTTTTTTTCTGCTTTGCATTTTTTTTCTCGCTTTTCTTCATTGAAATTGATGTCAAAAAGTGAATCGAATTGATTAATAGATTACTTCCATCTAATAAAATTCTGACGTCGTTTCTGTTTGCATTTACGCCTTCTTATTAGTTTTGCAAGCCTAATTGGCAATTAAAACGCTTTTTGTTGTTTTGTGATTTTTCATTCGCAATTCAATGAAGAAAAAAAGATTTTTGGTCTAGGAATTTGGCCCAAAAAAAGCTCACAATGTTCGAATCAACATTTTTCTAATTTCGAAAATCCATGCAAAAGAGCTTTCAAAAAAATTTTTCGAGAGCATCAAAAAAACCAAATTAAACTATTAGTATCAATTTTTCAAATAGCAACCTTTTTTTCAGAAATTGTTTTTTTAAGGTTTTTTTCGTAAAAAAATTTCTACGAAAAAAAGTCGAAAAAAATTGAACAAAAAAATTTTTTTGAACTTTTTTTAGAGCAAAAAAAGTTATGCAAGTTGAACTTTTTCGGATCATCGTTTGATCATTTTGAGAGCTGTCTGGCCAAATTACAGGAAGTTCCTGATTGCAAAGGGAGAAGACCTTCCTTGTGAGCACAGCTGTGATAACAGGCGGAAAACTTTGCAGAAAGAGAACCAAACAATAATTTTGATGTAGTTCGAACAAAAAACTCATTTTCCACAACTCGACCTCTTTTCTCAAGGAAAAAAGTTTTTCGATCTAACAAAGATTTGTCTGGCCAACCTCCAGGAGTTTTTTTAATTGCAAAGCGGAAAGGCTTGCTTTGTTAGCACAGCTGTGAATATAACAAAAATTTTTTAGAAAAAAGTTTCAATAAAAGACACATTTTCAACAATCCTACACTTTTCCGAATGAAAAATGCTGGAAGAAACGCTTTGGAAGCAATTTGATGGACGAAGCTGAAAAGGCGAAAGACGTGCAGCTGGGTCTCGGCGCGTTTTTGGAGGCCCTCGGTCGCACATCGATAGCCAAGAGCAGCCGAGCCGAGCGACGGCTACACACACGTCACTATTTCTCATTTATCTCCCACTCAACGACCCCTTCAACGTATTGCCATCGTTTTTTTTTCTTTTTTCTTCTTTCCGTTTTAAATTTGATCCGTCGCCGGCGGAAATTTACATTTTCTCCTTTTATCCGGCTTTTAAATTTGCCCCAATCTTTCCCAAAAGCTTCTTTTTTTTCTCAAAAAAAAAGTTGTGTGAAGAGTTTTGATGTACCCACTTCTGTTTTGAATTTTATGATTTAATTAGAATAAGGATTTTTGCATATTTTGTTCCAAAAGGTCAGCAAATTGAGTTTAATGTTTCCTTTGACATTCAATTTGATAGAAAAGAAGTTCAACCATTACAGAAATTGTTTTTTTCTTTCTTTTTTTAGGAAAAATTTTTTTCAGTAAATTGAGTTATGACCTTGCCTAAATTATTCACTGAATTTTTCTGCTTTTTTTATTTCTTGAAATCGCCGCTCAAAAATTGTTCCAAAACTTTTTTTGAAACACGATTTCTTAGGAAAAAAATGTTTTTCTTATTCAAAAAAATTAAAAAAAGTTTTGTTGTACTTGGTTTGCGTGTTTTTTTGTTTCGAGAACATTAATAAGACTGAAACCCTTAGCCATCAATTCGATTCTCTCCATTTCGAAAAATTTTTAAATTTTTCTCATCCATTTACGTTTCATTTAAGAAAGAATCATTATTTTCCGTCTCAAAATTTGATAAAGCTTTTTATATTCTATGTCCACTTTTTTTTAGATAGATCGGTTACTTTTATTGGGCTTTAAAAATGATGAACGAGGCGGCGGCCGGTGATCTCCTCGCGGAGCTTGGAGAATCCCTGAAATCGACCGCCTTGAAGGACCAAAATGACGGTTGGGATATATGTGCGTGGTTTCTTTTTGTTGTTTTTTGTGAAGCTTGAGGTTTTCATGCATGAAATGTGGTTTCGAATGTTGGATCTTTCTTAATATGAAGAATTAATCGAAGAAAACGAAATTATTCAGACGATACAATGTCAGAGACGGAATGGCGAAGTGCGAGGCTATCTTCGAGTCATAGCGATGATTTGGGGTTGGTTTTGAAGAATTATACTATAAATTGTATGAGTCATTTTTTTGAAAAAGTTCAAAAAGTTGCAACTTTGAGCGATCAACTTTATAAAAAAACTTCGATTAAAAAAACTCGAAAATCATAGAAATCGTTCCGTTGTTCCTTCTTCAGCAATTAGGTTTCAAAAAAATGTTGAGTTTTTTTCCTCAGTTCGAGAAACAAAATTGTTCTGCGATCATCAAAAAAGTTGACTTTCTCAGTCGAAACTTTTTTTCAGAAGCTTCAACGACGCCCTCAGAGTCCAACAACTCGAAGAGGAACAAGAACGGCTGAATAATTCGCTTTTCTCCCTCAGCTCTCATTTTGCCCAAGTGCAGTTTCGGCTCAAGCAGATTAACGAGGCAGAGCCGAAACATCGCGAGGTTTTTTTTTGTTGGATTTCTTGATTGTCTGAAACTTGGGCTTTTTCAGGACCTTCTGAAAGATTTACAATCTTTTGCGTTCAAAGGATGTGCGGATATGGACGAATTAAAAAGATTGAGGAGTGAAAGTGATAGCGGTGACGTGTTGGAAATTCAAAAAGAAAGGTATATTTTGACTCAGATTACTGTTTCAAGTTTTTATTCAGAGTTTTTCTCCTCTTTTCACGCATTTTGTTTCATTTTTCTTAAGCAATAGTTACAAAAAAATCATTTTTGGCAACCACTTTGAAGCACTTAATTTTTAGATAAAACAAAAAAATTTGCGCCGTTTTTTTCAATTTTCGTCAACTTGCAAAAAAATTTATGTAGGAAATGAAAAAAAGACAAACTTTCAGACAAAATGAGCTCCTCAAAAGGTTACGGGAACAAGTGGAAGATCTTGAAAAAATAGCCTACGAGAAAGGAGAAGGAGACGTTCCCAGCACTTTAATCCTCCAAAAACAGGTTTTTTTTCTCACCTCAGTTTCTGAATTTCATACTATCTACAGAAAGCAGTACTAGACAAACTGAACGAGAAAATAAATCTGAGCCTGGAACTGGAAAAGATGTCCCAGAGCGACATCCAGAAACATGTGGATGATGCCTTGAAGCAGGTATTATCTCTCTCATTTACACGATTGACCTTTATTCGAATCCAGCTTGTGAATCCCTTCAAAGAGCAAGAGCAGCTTGTCGAGCAGCTCCAGACGCAGATTATCGACCTGGAGCGTTTTGTTAGCTTTCTGCAGAAGGAGAACACGGACAGCTCCGGTTCGACTTCACCAGCCAAGGTTCTTTTTTGGTCATTCTCTTCAAGAATTCAACTTCCAGGCCATGGGTTCGACGAACATGACCTCTGGGAAACCGCGTGTAAAGTCGTTTTTTGGGCTCGTTGGATATTCAGCCAACCGGTTTCAGAAGAATCAGTTGAAGCAGACTTTGAAAGGAAATCATTATGGGTAAGTTTGAAATTTTGGAAAAATGGTTAAAATTCACAGTTTTTAAAGACAATTGTATATGTAAATAAAGGTGATTGTGCCAAAAAAGGTCCCAAAAAGAAAGGGTTAGGAAAAATAGTGATCCGCTGGCAGAAGTGAAGATTTGCAACAGGGATGTGCGAAAAATAATTTTTTCGAAGTACCACAAAAATTTTTTTGACATAACTATGAGAGGTCATAGAATTTGATGATTTGATGATTTTTCATGTTTTCTGCCTTTTTTTTGCCATTTTTAAAGTATACGAGGCATTTTCTCGGTGATTATAATATTATGTCATATCGTTCAAAGATATGTAGTCCGTTTGGAACCGAGAGAAGCTGCTCAATTTTCATTTGGTCTTCCTTTTTTCTCATTTTGATGAAAGCATTGCCGATTTTGCAGAGATGAGCGAGCGCATTTGCAATTAGCCGTGGACGCGACGCTGCAAGTCCTCGAGAAATACACGCTCCTCACTGTCGACCCGAATTTGCGGCAAGATGAGGAGGAGATCGACGTCCTCAATGATGTAGAGTAGCTGAGAAGCTTATGAATCATGAATTGAAGCCTTCAGGAAGTGTTCGACCGATCCGAAGAGGAAGTCGTCAGTGTGGTCCGGAAACAGCTATGTCCAGCTCTGAAAGCCCTTTTAGAGCATGGAATGCTGTCTGAAACTGTGGTCGCTAGGAATATACCGGGTTTCGGGTGTTTTGTGGCCAAAACTGAGAACGATTGTGAGTTTTCATCATTCAAAACGATGAATAAATGCTCTTAAAATCGATTTTTCCCCCGACCTTTGTGACTTTGGCTAGATCCAGAGAGGATAAAAAGAAGAGAGATTAGAGAATTAGAGACTTTAAATAGACCCAGAATTGTTCTCCCCATGTAAGGAGGTCTTGGAGATTTTTTTTTCCAGAAAATTAAAATTATCACTTTCATGATTTACAATGTTTCAAAGGACTAAGTGGGAGAGCTTCAAGAACTTTTCCTTCACAAATTTTCACGATATGTAGAATTTTCCTTTTTAATTCTGGAAAATCCGCTATTTTGCTCATTATTGCTCATGTTAGCGAGTTTCCGGTTTCGAGAAAAACCTATGAAAAAAATGAAAGTAAGCATTCAATAGATTCAAGTTTCATTCAAATTAAAAGTTTTTGACCTTTATAGTTTATTGATAAATGACCTGGATTCTCAGAAAAAGCATTTTTTGCACAGGAAGGATGAAGTTACATGTTAAAATTTCTATCAACAATTGCAAATCCAGGCATTTTCGCCCAAAGCTTATCTCGGATAAAATAATAATAAAAGCACTTTTCAGCCGCGACAAAGCCAACAAAATTGAATCATATCTGGGATGTAATCATGTTTTTCTACGAATCAAAAAGCGGCCGAGACGTCAGTGATGCTCCAGTGAGAAAACTAAGCCAATCATTCAAGTTAGAGAATGTTGGAGGGAAAAGTATCACTTCTAAACAGGTTTGAACTATTTTATCAAGACTCTTTTGAAATTTAATGGAATTCAGATTCTTCTGACGACGATTGATAACATTGTCTCAACACATGCGAGATTAAGAAGATCGAAAGATTCTCAATGGAAAGCTTTCATTTCTGCGGCGATGAATGAAAAAGAAACTTCCAGCTTGGCTGAGGTGCATTTTTTTCTATTTTTCTGGATTGTATTAATCAATTTTCATATTCCAGAATAATTTTCCGAACGAGACAAACTGTAGAAAAACTGCTACACCAGTTGGAGCTACGTTGCCAGAACCGGTAATTTTTGGAAAAATTGGTCTCTATTAAAAGCTATTCTATGAAAAAAATGACCTCATGAGAAATTATTTATTGTTTTTTTCGTTTATTTCTCAATCCGGCTTGAAAGTTCAGTTGGACTTAAAAAAAACACCTTTTTCGAATTAGTAATAAGATGCAAAAAAAGTTTTAAAAATTTTTCGCTTTTTTTCTTGAGGCATCTAGCTAGAAATTTTTCAACTAATTCTAAAAGTAGTTGAAAAAAATTTTCATCAAAAAAATTGAAAAATTTAATCATGAGAATGATTGAAAGAGAGTCACAGTTGGACATTCTATGTCTTAATTTATTCTTTTTCACAAATTTCTCAGCTAATCATGAGAAGTGCATAATTTAATATGCACAGAACATGAGAAAATCGGACAAAAGAGCTTTTTCCAGGCTGCGAGGAACTTTATTCCTTACTCGAAGGTCTCCACAAGTACAACGTCCAACTTCCAGTAGATTTAGCCCTTCGGCCATTCCAACAAATGAAAGAGGCGTTTTGAAAGAAATCGCAACACTTTATTAGGTGAAATTTTAGCAGAAATGGTTCAAATAGGGGTATTTTTCGTTGCATAATAGGTTCCAATTTCACAGAGATGTCCTCAAATGTTATATTCACTTTTCTCATATTCATACGATAGAAAACAACATACGTGTTTCCCATGTCTTGTACAATATTTCTCACACTCAGATTATTCAAATGTGCGCATTTTTTCCCCACGAGACGGCCAAATTGATTGCTTTTTTCGCATATCTTTCACAGGTTCCACCAGTTTTCTTTTCCTCTTTCGATGCCGGTTTTTTTAAATGTTGTATTTAGCTTTTTTATATTTTTTTGAGGGTATTGGGATGTACAAAAAATATATATTTAATAAACTGCATTTACAAACATTTTTTTCATTGTCCAATGCGAAAAAAACAATCAAAAAAACATATAATAGTCAAGATATATAAACGTCATAAATTTAAAAAAATTATTGAAAACTACGGTTTTTATTTTTAGTAGCGATACATCGAAAAAGTCGCATGTTCAAAATTTTGTTTGAATCAAAATAAAATCTTTGAAAACCGCGATTTTTTTCAAGAAACGTTTTTTTGGTTTAACATTTCATTCACCACGTCAGGTCCCAGAATCCCAAAAACCAATGAAATTAAGCAAATAAATAAAAAAACCCAAGGAAAAAAAGTTCCATTTGTCAAAGAAAAAAATCCAATTTTTCCCAGGCCTCTTATTTTTCTCACGTGCTCCGGGGTTACGGTATTTGGCTTTTGTGCAACCACGCAGAAGCATTTTTGCACTGTTTACAAGTGAGTTTTGACAGATTTTTCCATCAGAAATCCATTTTTCACAGTTTTTTTAACATTCGCTTTATCCCGACCGCTTACTTTTTCCACTTTTCAACATGTTTTGAGGCTTTATAACGCTGACCATTAATCGATATTTCTCAAGATTCGCGATTTTAGTTTTTTTTTTAATCGTTTTCTTTTGTATGTATATATTCCAGTAACAAGAAGTCGACGCCATGGCGTCCGATGAGGACGGCCAGTTTGACGTCGTCCTCATCAACGAACTTGGGCCCAAATTGGGACGCGGCGAGAAGGTATATTTTCCAAATTTTCCGTTCAATTTTCATAAAATTTGAATATTAACCACTTCGCCGTTTCAGCTCACCTCATTAACTGGCGGAACTGATGTTCTCTACGTCGGAACGTCTTCAGGGCGTATTATCGAGCTGAAATCGGTCAACGGTCAAGTGAAAGCAAGAGATTGGGTCAAGGTCAGTTTTTTCAGCACCTTTTCAGTTTTCTCCTAGTTCTTGAATCGATTGAGTTTTTGAAGGAATCTGGAGGGTTTATCAGCCAATTGGCATACGACAGCTCGATTCCATCTCTTCTCTGCGTTTTCGATGGCCATTTTCTTGAAGTTGACGTCTCCAGAGAACCTTTCCAAGTGGTAAAGTTATACTTTAATTGACATCTTTTTTTAAGTTTTTTTCTAAATATTTTTCTCAAGTCAGCTGTCAATTGTTTATAGAAGTTTATATCAACTTTTTTTATATATTCAGATCGATCCACCATTCAAACAACGAATCAGCAAATTTTCCATTGATTCCAACCCAAACACCCAACAGGATGGAATTCTGAAAATTGCATTCGTTTTGCAAAAAAGGATCCATCTTTACGCCAAAAAGAAGCGCGACTGGAAAAAAGTTCACGAAACTGCTGTCGAAGAGGAAATCAAGGATCTAGTCTTCTCCGGGTAATTTTCCATACATTTTCTTCCAAAATTTTGCTCGGTTCAGACAAAATCTATGTTTCTCAACGGCCAGCGAGTACTATGTGTACAACATCACCAAGAAGAACTTGATAATGGTTCTTCCGGCTGACTCCAACTCTCTTCTGATGAATATTTCTGCAATTGGAACGGTAATTTTGTCAAAATTTTGTGGAACTTTTTGTAAAAATTTGGGTTTTTCTCTCGAAGTTTCGCAAATGGCAATGATCATACTTAAGGCGCAAGATAATGTAAACAAATTTTTTGTACCCAAAATTTTTCCGTCTTTTCTTCCTGTCTTAATGAATGAATCCTGATTAAAAACCAATTCTTAGGTGCAATTGAACATACGAACCTTTTTTATTTTCCTTTTCCGCCTCATTGTGCGCCTTCAAATTTTCAACAACCCTGAAAAAAAATGAATTATTTTTTGAAAAAAAAGATTTTCAAAATTTAAAATACATTCCAGAACGAGTTCGCAATTGGAAGCGGTGACTTGGCAATATTCATAGATGGACAAGGAATGGCTACTAAACCGCCACTTTCTCTTTACCGTGGTCAACATACTGAGCGGGTTATGAGCGTTTTCAAATCTCCGCATGTTTTTTTCCTCGGCAAGGACTCTTTGGAAATCGCTGAGTAAGCCATTGTCCCTTTTATTCACTTGGTTCAAAATTTGATTTTCAGCGCAGACACCGGAAATCGTAATCAACTGGTTCTGAACTTGACCCAAAAGCTCCACAACATTGCTGAAATCGAAGGAGAAGTGTATGCCATCAACTCGGTCAATGTCTTTGGAGTCAGGACTTCCAATGAGATTCAGGCGGTGAGTATTTTCCTGGAACACTGTTTGGCCGTTTTATAAGTATACGCGCACAATTTCCAAATAAATCGAAATCTTCAGTTACCAAAATTTGAAATCCAGCCTTTAGTGTGCCACATATTCCTCAAGTTTGTAATATTATGTTTTTCTAGATTTGGAACAACATGAGCTCGACTGAGCTTGAAGCCGAGCTCAAAAACATGTCGGATCTCTACAAATCATCGCCGGATGAGAAGACAGTTTTCGTAAGTTTTCGAAATTTTCAAAACTCGAAAAAATAATGTTGTTTTAGCAAATGGCTTCCGTACATGGGATTCTTGGAATCCGAGCGATAAGCGAAGGTAAATGGGAAGACGCCTTCCGACACTTAGAAGCCAGTGACAAATCTGTCCAAGAGGTAAACCTTTTTTTAACGTGCTGATGATATTTGTAAGATCAGGTTCTTTCTCATTTCGACGTAGAAGACGTTGCGACTTCTAGCGGCTACAAGGAAAAGTTGTTCTTCCACGACTACTTGGGTCATGTCCTAAAGAACGAAGAAATTCCTGACGAGCTCAGAAAAGTAAGTTTTGAGATGTGCTCCTTAGGATCTCTGTAATGTATTTTATTTGGCTCATCAAGTAGATTTCTCGGATTTTTTAAAGAAAAATTCTCTGCACCCAAAACTTTAAAAACTGAATATCGAACTTTTTGCCAGTTTTGACGGTGGAATTGTATTCCTGAGTTTTTTTCAATTTCCAAGATTCCAATGAAATTGAGAGAGTAAGATGGGTCCTAACAAAAATAGAAAATGACTTAACTCAACGTTTCTTTTCAGTACCTCAAGGCCACCTACCTGAAAATGGTCTTCGACAACTCGCAATACTCAACTTGGAGCCCTGAGCAACACCTTAAAAGGGCCGAAATACTTGAAGAGAATGGAAACATCCACCTTGCGGCTCCTCATTTCCTATCAGGAGAGCCTGAAGATGCCCAGAAAGCCGCGGAAATTTGGCAAAGCCTTATTGAGAAAAAGTCCGAGGATGTTTCTGTAACTGTTAAAAATATCATCGAATGTTTGACCTGGTAAAAATGGCACTGTTGTCAGTAAAAACTTTAAATTTTCCAGGCCGAAGAATAAAAGCAACGTAAAGCCGGTCCTTAAAATGCTGGTGGCTAGCGATGGCGCTCAGGAGCTCCTTAAGGTATACAAAATCGATAATAAAAATTTAAGAAAGCAATTTCCAGCTCGTTAATTATTCATCCAAAGAATTCCGCCGTCAGAATGAGATAATGGGAATCGCCGTTGCTCTTGAATACCTGGACATGGATGCCTTGAAAGCCGCGGGATCTTTCACAAGTAAACTGCATCGGGTTATTCTCCAACTCATTGAAGAGATCATCCCAAATGGTAGGAGTAACCTGATTGGTACAGAAATAACCCGAGTTTTCAGATGATGAAGAAGGCAAAAATGAGGGAAAAATAGAGCTTCGGTCGGCCTTGCTTCAAGTCGTCTCAGAAAACTCCCCGGTTCTTGACGAAATCAAGAAGCAGCTCAGCAAAGAGAAATCTGAATTTGAGATTGAACTAAGCTTAATAAACTCCAAGGTTTGTAAAATTTTCTGCAACTTGAAGATCTTTGACACCGCAAAAATGGCTTCAAATGGGCTGTGAGGGCTTATTGAAATAATTTTCGGCCTCAACTCTTAGCGGTTTCCATGAAGTTACTATTCTATGCAATTTTTTGCTGTTAAGTGAAGAGTTTTGAAAAATTGGTAGTTCATATGTTTCACAGTTTCGAAAACTTATATATGAAGAACAAATTACAGATCAACCTGGATGATGCGAGAAAGCTAGTTCAAACTCTGATCAAGCTTGGAGACTTGAAAAATGCTGGAATGTACTGCGAACTGAATTTCGCCAACAAAAGTGAGCTGGTTGTTGAACTAGCCAAGGCATGTTCTGCCAATAAAATGTGAGCAATTTTATTACTCTTACCTCAAGAACTTTGAAGTCATATAAACTTTTTTGGCGGGGAAAATAAGATAAAATTCTCACATTCAGATCGCCTCCATTGATAGAGGAAACCTTGCAAACTGTCATGAACAACGTCGCTCCAAAAGACGCCAAAGATTCTCATCAGTGGCTTCATGTCTGGCAGCAACTTCCGCCTGGTCTCAAGCTCAAAGAAGTTTGAAAAAGTCTATTTTTTGTGACAACTCGGATAACTTCCAGGTCAGCAACAATTTGCTGCGATCGCTCGAACTTTCTCGGGACATGCTGAGTAGGGTAAAATTGGCGGACGCCGCTCAGAAAGCCAAAAAGGGGAATCCTAATGGAGACGAGAGCAAAGCGGCTTCGAAGATGAAACTTGTGAGTTCTCGAATAAAATTTCAAAGATTTGCTGAGATATTTCTATAAAACTTAATGCTCCTTGGACTTTGAGATGCCTTCTATATCGTATTTCTGAGCTTCCCAGTACCTGAAAAATCTTTTTTTCCAGGCGTGCCGTAGATCAAACTCCCTATAAAAAAATAAATTCTTTACAAAAATTAAAACGTCATGGTTTTACTGAAAGGCTGAAGATCTACAGATGGAAACTTGTAGCTTTTTTTTTGCTGATAACGTTTTTGTTTCAGCTTATAGATAAACAGTCAATTTTCAATTTGAAGGCTGAAAACGACAATTTTCAGATTCCCGAGTCAGCACACTGCTCCGAATGTGCTCGTCCTCTGGACTTTGACTGTGGCACCATCGCCATTCGTCCGAATGGAGACGTCTGTCATTTCGACTGCGTCCGTCGCCTTGGAATAGTCTAAATGACCTATTCCAAAATAATTATTGATTAAAGCAAAACTATCCCACCATCTTTTAGTTTTGTTCATTGCGCCAATAACTCAATGTGTGTGGATCGGCTGATTCCAGCAGTACGTCTTGTATTTCTTTCTTATCTGCCCACTTTATCACAGGTTCCAGATCCTTTAAGAATCGTGGCTTTTGAGATTTTCATGCGCCCACCAACTGCTCATATCAATCGATCGCATTTTTGCATCAGGGAACCAAAGAATTTTTTTTTGTTTATTCTGTGTTTATTTTAGTGATTTTTGTCCATTTGCAAGTAGCCTTTCAGTATATCATATCAAGTTGTATTCCTTTTCTGCATAATAGTCTGAATCATACGGTAGCTCTTGCAATCCCCTACTTGAAGCTTCTTTCCGTTCTTTCTTTTTCTTCTCGTTGACTTCCTCTTTCCGGTGGCAATATTGAACTGTTTCGGTGTTGATATACTTATAAATTCTGTTTCTTGCAAAAAAAGTTTATTGCTGTTCATTTTTAACACGTTAAAAAAAGACAATAAATTAAAAAAATGACCTCCAGAGTAAATTATGACAGTTTAGAATATAAAAGTACACGCGAATCACTGAGGACAACTCTCGTAAATGTTAAAATTCGGGAAGTTTCTGTTTATTTGGTTTTTTGAGTTCAGCACAGGTGGAATCTTTGAAATGTTGATTTCCGAAAAGGTTCCGTTACTTTTTTTTTGGGGCTTCTTGAAGCTTTCAAAACTTCTCAAGGCCGGTTTAGCTCAATATATTAATAAATATGGGATGTAAATGGCTTGGTTCAAAACCAGGCTTTTATTTCCAGAAGGCGAATCAGAAAGGATTTTTGAAAAATTATGGTGTATTATTCATGAGCACCAAATTGAACTAAAACAGTTATTGGAAACCTAGGCCTTTTACCATTGCTTTAAAGTTTTTGAATGCAGACAGCAAATGGAAATATTGAACAAGACAGAATCGACTATGACTGTGTATAACTAGAATGATAAGCTCGAACAACTGTAGAGGGGGTGGGATTCAAAAAGCGCGTTTTCTAGTGCTTCTGACATATATAAAAATCAATGAAAATTAAAAATCGAAACCCATTTTTCGACGAAATTTTTTTGTCTTTGAGACCATTTCAAGGCTCAGAATCAGCCGAAAAGGTCAGCCAGTACGTTCTGAATGTAGTTGATCGGCGTGGCGGGCCGACACTTTGACCAGTCGGCGTAGTGGATGTTCGAATTGCTGCAATCTCTTGTGATAAACGCCGGAAAAACCAGCTCCAAAGCGCGGATATTGCGTGATTCACGCGGGACGCTTTCGATTGCGTAAATGTGTTTCCTGTCGTCATTCAATACGTTGCAACATTCTCCAGGAAAAAAAGTGGATCTAGTGACAAATCACAGGCGAATCAACCAATAATCATTGGACACTAAACTCCATTCATTGCTGGTTTGGAACAGAAATCATAAGGAAAACTTTTGCAGAATTTTCCGCTATTCATTCCAAATCCTCAATAAATATTGACTCGAGCCGCCAAGAAGTTTTGAAAACCCGTTTTCTTTTGAGCTTAGTTTTAACTTTCAGTATTCGAAATCAAAAAAAGTTTTTCAAAAGCTGACCCGGTGATTTCATTGTTGAAGCCGTCCTTATCCAACTGATCTTCTAACTGATCCTTATACTTCGCATAGAAGGTCCGCAGATCTCGAACAAGGCCAATAATCGGGAACCTTGCCCAATTCGACAAGATCACATATTCATACTGATTCGTCTCATCGTTGATTGGACCAACCGTCACGATTTGATCTGAAAAGTTAGCATGAGGCAAGTTATTATAGTCTGTGTACCACGACTTGGAATTTCACCGAACGACATTCCGCTGTTCCGCTGCGTGCCTTTGCGCGCCTTTAATTTTTTCATTTCATTTAAGAACTCGACCAACTCGAGTTCCTGGTGGAACAGTCCATCTATCAGAAATTAGAACCAATTCAAAGCGAGACCGAGGCTCGTAAAGACGCTTCGCAACGCAGCGGAACAGCGGAATGTCGTTCCGTGAAATTTCAAATCGTGGCACACAGACTATAGAAAAAAAACCTACAAGGACATGGATCATCCTGCATGTAAACGTAGGTTCTTTCCTTGTGGATGATCCCGTAGCCAAAGGCGACCTGAAAAAACATCATTCAGACTTCGGAATACATTCAAAACCATGAAACAAAGAGATTGTACAAGAAATAGCTTATTTTTCAAACCATGTGTGAAGATAATTTTCCGAACCGATTAAAATTTTATCTTCCAATTTTGAATTACAGTTTTTCAGAGCTTCAATGTAATTAAACTCGGCGGATTGTGATATTTTTTAGTAAAGGTGCTCCAAAACAATATTGTCTCAGTCAACAAGCAATTTCGTATGCGACAAGGATTTAAAAAAAAATCACCTTTTCACCTCCCGATTCACTATTGGACCGGAACTTTTCCTGAATTGAGAAGGCAGATGAGTTTCCTGCTTCTGCTTGGGGTAGGACTAAAATTTTCAATTAGAATAATAGGTTTTTTTGAATCCTACATTCAGTCATAGAACAGAACCGATTATGTACAGATGGAGTGTCCAAAGCCTAAATCTCATTCGTTTTTTCGATTTTGAATAATTCACAGTACCCATTGGAATTTTCCATAAAGCGACTTCACATTGACTTTAGGTGACGGCAATAAACTAGCCAAGTAATCTTGAGCTCCTGGGATGTTTCTCAGAATGTTCTGGAAGAAACTTGGGGACCTGAAATAAAAGGACTTGATAGAGAAAAAAGAAGGGAAATTCACTTGTCTTTGACCAAGGGAGAACCTCGAGGAAGGCACGATCCAGCTCCTGGAAGACTTCCCACAACTCCTGGTAGTACTGGGAGTCCTTCGATGAAGTTGACTCTAGGGAGTCCACCCGTTCCTTCTTTCAGCCTGGTAATCAATTCTGAAGATCGGAAAAAAAGAGAAGAGAACAGAAATGGATTTATTTATCGAAGTCCGAAAAAAAGATTTTTTTGCCTTTATTTGAGTGAACTTAAAAAAATTTGTGATTTTTTTATGCTTTTTTTCTGAATTTTTCAGAGGTTTATTTTTTTCAGGACGCAGCAGAAAAACCAATGTGAGGGAAAAAAATAACCATTTTTTTCGTTTTTTTACTTTCACACATCCGAACCTTTTATTCAAGTCGTTGTTTGGGTTTTTCTGAATAGTTTGCAGATAATTGATCAAGCCGGCGGATTGGCTGCAAACGAGATCATCAGGTTAATCGGCGCGAAATTAGGACGAACGAGTGATAAGATGTACCTGGCGAGGTCGTGGAAAGGCTGTCGGTCGACAGTTCCAGCATCTCCGGTGGAAAGTCCGAAGATTTCGAGTAACTGGGAGTTGGTGCCGGTGAAGAGCCCTAGACAGAGGGCCAAGTAAAAAGATGGCATCCGCAAAGGCGCCGCCGCTGGGTCTGACGTCCGCCGCCGCACATCCGACCACCCACTCGCGGTGTCATCCAAGCCGGCTTTTTCATCCATCCAGACACCCAGCTGACTTCTCTTTTTCAGCCGCTTCCTATCAACGCGTTACATATGGGTGAAAAAGAAAACAATGATGTGACTAAATACCGAAAATAATTCTCACAATACGAAAAATGCTGATTTTCGATTAACCATTGCTTGATTTCATTCATCCAATGCCGAATTTGCCTTTGGATGAATGAAAAACCAAAAATGAAATTTTTCAAACATTGTACAGGGACATTACTATTCAATTTCATCACGTCGACTAGTCGGTCTCTCATGAAATAATATTCTGAAGCATGTCGGCCCTAGACTAGCTGGGCGCTGTACTGCTTCAACAGGGTGAAGCAGTTTATTCGCTGGTACTATAAACGAGCCCACGTTATTTCCCAACTGTCACGCCGGGACTTATTGGACAACGATTGTGGACCGTAACCCGCGCCGACGACTAACTCTTCGATTATACCATGATTCAGCAGAGATTTTCGACATCTTACTCTGAAGACTGAATAAATTGAATTGAATTGAATTGTACACGGACCCGGTCTTCCCAATAGTATATATTGTTTCCATGAATCTTCTCTTCAGATCAAGCAGAACGCAACCAAAGCGAAGCGCATCTCTCCCGAGCCTACTTGAATTCGGAAAACTACAAATCTCAGAAAAGGGAATAAAGTATTTTATGAAAGAAAAACTGAAAATGACGATAAATATTCACTTTTGAGTAGATTGAATTGCGCTTTAATAATCCATGAAATCCCTTTTTTGAAACGTGTCAGTTTTGTTTGCATTTAATTGAGAAAGATTCATTTTCTTTATGATACTGCAAACCGCCCGTATAGTCTGTGTGCCGACGAGGAAATTTCACCGAACGACATTCCGCTGTTCCGCTGCGTGCGTTCGCGAAGCGTCTTTCGAATCTAGGCCACGTTTTCAATTGATTTTTTTTTTGCTGTGGGAACCCATGAAAGTAGAGTACCTTAATAAAAGGAAAAAAATTAAAAGCGCGACCAAGGTTTGCAAAGGCGCGCAGCGACACAGCCAATTTGGTGAAATTCCAAGTCGTGGTACATAGGCTATAATATTGTCCGAAAAAATGTATATTTTCTAATGGATTCAAAACTAAATATCAAACCGGGACTCAGAAAACAGATGAATAAACCAAAATGTCAGCCCAGAAAAAAGTTGAGGTTAATGAAACTGTGAGCTTTTATTTTCCAACAGAAAGAAAGCTTGCTATTTTTTCATAATGTTATTTCTAACTCTAAGAGTCCGAGAAGGGCATTTCGAAAAGGGACTACATCGTTCATTTTCAGTTTTTTTCAACACTACCAACAACATGCCCAGTAAGGACATCTCCCGGATATTCAGTTTGTTTACAACAGTGTCCAGTGTTTTCCAACAGAAAAAATGTTAGTTTTTTTATAATCATTTTTATATAGGTCTGATCTCTAGGAGCCTAGAAAGAAGTTTGACTGAATCAATCGTTTCCAGCTTCTCAACTACATCGAAACGACCAAGAATACTAACAACAAGGGGAACAACAAAAAATCCACTGGATATTCAGCTTGTTTAAAACAGTCTCCAGTGTTTTCCAACAGAAAAAATGTTAGTTTTTTATGATGCTTTTTATATACAGTACTGGCCATAAAGATATTTCATAGTGGTTAATCGGCATAACTTCTCTGAAAGAGGCTCAAATGACTTGAAACTTCGCACACATTTCAAACAGTTATGATGAAACTTAATTCCAGAAATAAAATTGATTTGCTCGAGCCAGACTAGATTTGTGAGCAAAAAACCGAAAATCGTGAAAACAAACTTTTCTCTTGAGATTCGAAAAATCATACTTTCAAAGAAACGTTGATTTTCAATCAGAAAATTTTTTTTCTCCTGTAAAACAAACCTTCGGCCTTCCGAGTCTCGTCATTCAAATGGACTATACAAGGTCAATTTTGTTTGAGAACGCCCCGTTTCATATTGAACAACTTCAAAAAACCCTGAAGAGTAGTTTTACACTGTTTTCTTCAGGTTTCTCACTTTATCCGCTCTCTAGAACTCACTAACTTCACTAGGAAAACTCTGATTCGAACAGTTTTTCTGAATTTTTAGACATTCTAAACAATTTTTATTTGAACAATCGCTTTCCAATCGTGAAAAGGCCTGATCTCTAGGAGCCGAGAAAGAAGTATGACTGAGTCAATCGTTTCCAGCTCCTCAACTACATCAACACTACCAAGAACATTATCAACAAGGATACCAAAACGCGTTCGTTTAAGCTAAGCTCATTTCTCCTCATCAATGATTTTATAGGTTCGGTCAGTATTGGAAGAAATCAGAGATGACCTAGAAAAGGTCATGCACAGGGTAGCTGACAAGTGCCAGACTGGTAGTTTTTCGACAAAGCGCAGTTCACCAAAAAAAAGGGCAGCCCAAAAAAAGGCTCGAGCAGAATTGAGGTTCTTCGAAAGCACATAATATAATTTCTTCTGTTTGTCTAATTTACTATAACTTAAAAGGTAATATTTTCTTCTGAATGATTAAAAAAGGTTTTTGTTTTCAGAAATCCTTCTCGGGTCGTCACTCCCTATTTTAATTTTTAAACGGATTCAATACCGCCTTTGTGAAGCACAGTGGTCAGTTTCTCATATTTTAAAATTAATAAACATATTGAATTTTTCAGAACGTTCATCAGCGGTTTAAATGGACTCCTAATCATCCGATTCTGCTTGAGACGATGACGTTGACTGACAGGCGCCCGCATTTCAAAATGAAATTCAAAAATAAATATATCTATGTCATTTTTGAACGTTTTTTTTGTTTTTTGCTTTTGATTTGATAAAAGAATGAATAGTGAAAGTTTTTGTGGTTATGAGAAACGTCGAGTTAGTCTTCTGGTCCCTCCTCTTCTGGTCGTTCTTCTTGCTTCTAGTCAGCATCGCTACGGGAAGCTAAAAAAATGTCAAAGACAAGGAATAAATGTTCGGATTTCGTCCAAAAATGATAAAAAAAACTTTGGGATAAACAAATAATTATCATAGAAGAGAAAGCACACAGATATGCACCCGATAAAGAGAAAAAAATTCCACTACAAAGTCAAATTTTAAAAAAATAACAAATTTTTTTCCTATTAAAACAAATCGAAGCGTACGGAAGAATCGAAAAAAAAATTAAGCGTTTCAAAAACATTCTTGCTGACATATTTGAAATAACAATAAAATTTTATTGTTCAATATAATTTCAGCAATACTAAAATTAACTATTTTTTTATATTTTCGTTTTTTTAAAACATAATAGAAATTTTTTTCGAAAAAAATTATGAGGATTCAAAGTAGACCCACGAACAAAAAAATATTTTTTGACCTCCACAGTACTTACTGCGGCGGCGAAGAAATCAAAAGGCGCCCATTCTTGAGTCTCGGAAAACTAGGTCCTTCCTCACTACTTCCTCATCAATACTCTCGTTCATCGTTTGAATAGCGTCGTAAAGGTTTGTATAATTAATTTATATTTGTAAACATGTTGTCGTTAAGATGAGAGTCTTGAAAAACAAGCATTTGATCCACTTGTTAAACCATATTGAACAGCATCGTTGTCTTTGGTACAAAGAAGATCCCAACTACTACTGTCGACATTCTGAAGTCACAGCCTGGAGCTGCATCAAGAAAAACTTTACCACGGAGTTTCTTTGGCCTATAGGACGTATGTCTTCTTTTTTTAGAAAGTTAATTCGAATAGTTAACTTACCTTTTGTAATTTCTAACGTCCGTGATACATTTTTTTGGAGGGTTTTTTAAAGGTTGCCTATTTCACCGATTATGAATTCAGTTTTTTTGAGTTACAACTTCTCAAAAAAATGAAAAAAATGAAGTTCGGAATCTCGAAAAATTTTTCATTTGATCAATTAAATTTAAAAAAATCCGTTTTTGGATCTGATCGCGTTTTTTTACTCCTACCTGATCTTACGAACAAATTCAAAAACCTTTTCAAAGTTTTTGAGAAAAAAATTAATGGATCGGCGCTTTGAACTTTCCTATCAAGGTTGAAAAAAATCGATAAAATTTGACTGAGAGATGATCTCAAAAAGTACTGCGGCTTTTTGCGCACAATAACAGCTCTTCATATTTTTAAAAATCTACAATTGAATAAAACAAGAATTTGGCTTTTTTGAGACTTCTTTACTCCAATACCGTTTCCCTCTTCAAATGGTTCTTGTTACAGTGGTCGCGCTACAAGCTCTCTGGGCCCGCCTCCAGCTCGATTACGCTTTCTGGTCTAGTCATCCATCCGCCAAGTTTTTGTTTTCCCATCATTGCTCATTCCTCTCTCAGAACATAAAGTAATTGCGGTAACCCGTGTTTTAAAATAAGTTTTTTTTTTTAGGATTGTTGGTCATTCCGAGCTTGATGAAGTGACGCTTGCCGATATGAACAGTGGAGATCTGACGATCGCGGAGGAGGACAACAATGTCACAGGTGCGTTCAAAACCATTTTTCCCCTCAGTTTTATCAAGCTTACAGAAGAATATGTAAATGCTGCGCTCATAATGGCTTGTTCAAAATTGGAAGTCATGATACCGAGAATGGAGCTCCTCAGAGCAATCGAAAAATTCGACCGCGAATTTGGTTAGTTATGGACTTTTATCAGCTATTTTAGATTTTGATATAATCTGTGTGCCAAGACGTGGAATTTCGCCGAACGACATTCCGTTGTTCTGCTGCGTGTGTTCGCGAAGCGTCTTTATAATATGGGTCACGCTTTTAATTCATTTTTATTGCTGTGGGAGCAATTGAAAGTAGAGTACCTTAACAAAAAAAAATTAAAAGCGCGACCAAAGTTCGCGAAGGCGCGCAGCGGAATGTCGTTTGGTGAAATTTCAAGTCGTGTTACAGAGGCTATAGCCTGAGAAAAGGTGTTGCTCTTTTTCAAACGATTTTACAACAAAAAAAAATTTCACAAAGGTTTGTGGCTGAATATGGTTGAAATTTTGATGGAACTTCTTTGAATAGCACTTCAATGATTTCTGATTCCGAAACAGAACGAAAATTTGTTTTAGTAGATCTTCTCTTTCAGTTATGACAGTCAAAAGAAGCAAATTATGAATGTTTTCTAGAAAGTAATTTTCTCAATTTTTAATCTCTTCAGGCTTTTCCACCGGTCCGAAAGTCTTCAAAACAAGATCAATTTGAAACAACGACACGCTCGATTTCTCTTCTCGATACTTGTGCTGAAAGTACTTGTCCTAATCATGGCTTTTGAATACAGTAAATTTACGGATTGTACAGCTGAACAGTTCTATGGTGTCTCAAATTCTTCCCATTTCTCCTGATTATTTATTTGCATGTTCCCAGTAAATCTTAATAATTTTTTTTGTATTGAAAAAACAAAAAAAAACTGAAGAAAGACGTGGAAAGACACAAAAAAGCTTGACAATGCCAAAAAACGAATAAAGTAAGCGTGTTGAAAGGTTTCCAATGCATAATTTGACGTTTGCACAAACAGTTTAGCGTGTGAAAAGTGAGGATTGTTCTCAGGGAATATTGAGTTAAATCAACGTTTTTCCTTCGCGAATATTCGTCCAAGGCTCGATTTCATTAGTCAGCATTCGCCGCAACGCGGCGTCGCGACGCGGTGATCAGATTTTATCGTCTGTTTAGGAAACTTGATGAGAAACAAATAAAATTTTATTTTTTTCTCGTCAGCTCGTGATTTTTTTTGTACGTCTTGATTTTACCGCTTTAACAAACTTCTAGTGCGCTATCATTTTGTTACTTTGATCGTTTATTACAAAAAAATTGGTGAAAAAAATTCATTGAAGTCACGGAACACCCAGTATCAAAGAGTATAACGAAAGGTAAATTTTTTTTCGCTCTTGACGATTCAGTAACGCGAATTTTTCAATTGACAAAATTAACTTCAAAATTTTCCGCTTTTAGGAAAAAATTCAGAGAATTTATTTAAAAAATGGCAAAAAACTGCTCTATGGTTTCAATCGAACAAGAAAAATCGATAAAAACGAAATTCAAAGTCACTAGTGATCCTTTCTCATGAATAAAAACTAAATATGAATTGAAACTCATTAGGAAGGTTTCTAAAATGAGCGATCCTCCGTTTGAAATAATTTCAGCGCTAATATAAATCAATATAAGAAGGAATTTCAAAATTCAAGTGTGAGTTAGATTATCAACTTCCACAAAAAAACTAGAATTTCAAGAGTGAATAAATCATTTTCTTTGTCCAAAACTATCATAACGCTCATAGAAAACTCCGAAATGAAAGACACAAAAGTTTTACCCCGCGAAAAAAGCGCGAACGGCGACAGGACCTATGAGTCGAGGCCGATGACGTCTTTTTGTCATTTTTGAACGCTCACGTTATTGTCTCCTTTCTCGAGCATTAGATCCTTTCCGCTTCGTTTATTCTCTTCTATTTTAGGATGTACAATCTGAAACTCCTCGACATTAACCATCAACGGCATTTGATCCTTTTGGTCTCCCAATACACCATCCTTTGGGACAATAAAAATCCGGATTACGGGCGGCCGTTGGCAGAAAAAGCTTGGAAGCAAGTGAAGTTACAGTTCGAGAAGAAGTTTTTCTGCTCTGTCTGTGGTAAGTCCATTTATATATTGTTCAAATTTTTACTGAACCTCTTTTTTCAAATCATCCATTTTTCTCAATTGGTTTCTAGGAGGAATATTTTCATCCAAAATGCGTACCTTTTATAGCCCCTGATCAAGTTTTTGAGGAAACTTTTTTGAAATCGTGATTTCAGAACATGTTGAAAATATTACCGCAATAGATTCAACTTAAAGACCTTCAAAGTTCGTAAAATGCGCAAACTTTGACCAAAAAGTATTTCAAGCTTTTGAAGCGTCAGATCTATTGCGAAAACTTCATTACTTGTTGTGACATCAGAATTTATCGGAGTACTATTCTAAAAAGTATCATCAAAAATCCAACAGCGTGCGGAAAAATGTTCCCTAGTTTGAGGATTTTTTGAAAATTTCAATGTCACTTCTGAGAATCATTTTTGCATTTGCAGTCTATGAATTAAAACGGTGTTGGCGCGGTCTCTGTATGGAGTATCACTGGATTATGAAAAACCCTTGGAGAGACTTCATCTTCATAGAAGATATGGCCTTCCTCTCTTCGAACCCTAAGTTTTATTCTTCAGCTTTTTGTCAGCTGAACTATTTGTTTCAGATCGATCCCATTTTCCGATCTCAACGAAGAACTGCGCAAGACCATCTTAAGCGACGATATCTTTACTCCAGAGCCGGAAAACAACGTAGAGGGTTTTATAACAACTTTCTTCATTTTTACATCCTTTTTCACAGAAATCGAGACACTGGAAACCTTGTACAGAGCCTCGTTGAAACTGGAGAAGATTTTACCAAAATTGGGCGATATCAGAAATGACGACCTTCTAGATCGAACCCTTCTTGGTTTGCTTCATTTTTTCATTTTGAAAAAAAATTTTTTCAAAACTTCTAAATTTTTCGATCTACGGATTTTTCCTCCATAAAATAAATTTTTTTAGGTTTTTGGAGGAAAGAAGCTAAAGTCGCAGGAAGTCAGAGCGTCTAGGAGGTCCTGCTTTTACGCCGCTTTCACCTATAACCAATACTGCTCAGTTACTACTTTATTAATGATTATTAAATTGCTGGTTTACTATAATATTCCACACTTTCTTTATCTACGTGTGCCAACTTGATCTAATACTTCATCTAGTTCCTCAACAACTTTTTCCGTCTTTCACGTTTTTTAAGTGTAATTTTTTCCTTGTCACGCATTCTTTTGAATTTTTACTCATCCCACCGTAGTATAATTATTGTCAATCTTCTTCCGTTCACTTCAAATATTTACCCAGAATTGTATAAACTATCAAAAAAATAGATGGAATTTTTATCTTTTCATATCAACAACACAATCGATAGCCAACAATGCGCTTACCGGAAAAATTGTAAAAAGTTCTCACGAAACTTTGTCGTTTGAAACGGTATACTCAGCCAAACTTCTCTGAAAGCACTCAAAAAAGTTTTCTCGAATCTGGTTTTCACGTTTTCTCTGATATTCATATTGAAGATAATCCATAATTTTTGTGATCAAAATTTTTTTCTAAAAACGAAAAACCGGAAAGAGAAAACTGATTTTTCAAAAGCTTCCACGAAAAAAAAAAGAAAAGTACAGATCTTTATAATGGACTCAAAAGAAACAACACAATTTTTTTCCCCGCCAGGGCAAGAAGATCAAACGGCGCCAACTCGTGAGTCACGGCCAACGGGATATTTTTTTGCTGCCCTTTCAATACGCGTCCGTCATCTTCGACTCTTTTTCTTTGATTCAAAGGTTTTTTTGCTGCTTTTTTTGTTTTATTATTGTCAGAAAAAAATGAGCTCCTTGACCTATCTCAGCCCCGACCACGTCAAGTATATGATTTCGTTGGTCTCCCAGTTTCCATGTATCTGGAACAGCAACATCGCTGGAGACGGTCGTCCCGCGGTCGTTCGCGCTTGGAATAAAATCAAAAAGGACTTTGACACTCGGTTTCTCTGCACGGTTGATGGTATGTTGTTCTTTCAAACTGTCAATTTTGATCGTTTTTTGGTGTCGATCCTGGAAACTCGGTTTTCTAACAATGTGAACCATATACTTTGCGGTTTTGTTGGGTCTCGAAAAAAAATTGCCCAGAATCAGTGTAGAGACCATGTACATGAATCCTGAAAGTGTCACTCAAAAAAATCCGTAAGATGAAGACAAAAAGTTTTATAACTGTTAATTTCAACGTATTTTTGATCGTTTTTTTCTATCTTTGAGATTTTCTGTTTTTGAAAAAAAGTAGGTTTTTGTAGATTGAAGTTTTCAGTACGACAACAAACATTTCTTGGCCAATTTTTCAAAAGTTTCTCTGTCTTTTTGAGAGTTTAACACGCTGTCTCCGTTATTCTCAAAAAAATTTCTAAAAAGCAACGGGTACAATAAAAAATATTTTTTTGATTTCGACAAAAACTTCATCCAGTGTGATAACCCATCATCAGAAATGCGGACCCAACTTTTTTTGAGCCATTTCCTCTTACTGTAGCCGGGTTACGGTAGGCAGGTGGGCACCTGCGTATCTCAGTATTTATGAGTTTTTTTATTAGGCAAGTGATATATCAATCGATAGGTAATTCAATTTTAGGAACTTTTTACAGTACATACCATCATGGGTTACGGTGGGAAAAATTTTTGAGTTACGGTACTTTTTTTGTGTCTGCCGAGTCAGTTTTTTTCGACCACCATGAGCTTGAGCCAGGGAGATCCATTCTTCCTAACTTCTCAAAAGATACCTTACGAGAAGCTGTACAAGCTGTTACTAGTTTGAAAAAAATCCTAGGTGGACCATCATTTCGAAAAAAATCGCCCCGAAGGCGCGCAATCGTGGTCTTGCGGCGGCCAAGTGGGTGAAGTCCATGATGCCTGACGGCTCATTCTTCAGAGATCCATTCCAATCTTTGTTTCCATTTTACTAATAGACATCTATTATTGATTTTTTTATTTCAATTTGAGATGTTTTTCGGGTTGACCATCATCTCGAAACTTTCATTTTTGAACCCAAATTTGGCCTAAAATGGCCGACTCGGCCTTTTTCACGGGATCCCTGACCCCGTATGTGACCGTTCTCAACTTTTTTTCCTTTCTTAAACATGAACAAGAGTGTCTGAACAACAGTTTTATAACAATCGGAACCCCTTTTTGAGAGGACCATCATCTCGAAATTTCATTTTTGAACCCAAATTTGGCCTAAAATGGCCGACTCGGCCTTTTTCACGGGATCCCTGACCCCGTATGTGACCGTTCTCAACTTTTTCCTTTCTTAAACATGAACAAGAGTGTCTGAACAACAGTTTTATAACAATCGGAACCCCTTTTGAGAGGACCATCATCTCGAAATTTCATTTTGAACCCAAATTTGGCCTAAAATGGCCGACTCGGCCTTTTTCACGGGATCCCTGACCCCGTATGTGACCGTTCTCAACTTTTTCCTTTCTTAAACATGAACAAGAGTGTCTGAACAACAGTTTTATAACAATCGGAACCCCTTTTGAGAGGACCATCATCTCGAAATTTCATTTTGAACCCAAATTTGGCCTAAAATGGCCGACTCGGCCTTTTTCACGGGATCCCTGACCCCGTATGTGACCGTTCTCAACTTTTTCCTTTCTTAAACATGAACAAGAGTGTCTGAACAACAGTTTTATAACAATCGGAACCCCTTTTGAGAGGACCATCATCTCGAAATTTCATTTTTGAACCCAAATTTGGCCTAAAATGGCCGACTCGGCCTTTTTCACGGGATCCCTGACCCCGTATGTGACCGTTCTCAACTTTTTCCTTTCTTAAACATGAACAAGAGTGTCTGAACAACAGTTTTATAACAATCGGAACCCCTTTTGAGAGGACCATCATCTCGAAATTTCATTTTGAACCCAAATTTGGCCTAAAATGGCCGACTCGGCCTTTTTCACGGGATCCCTGACCCCGTATGTGACCGTTCTCAACTTTTTTTCCTTTCTTAAACATGAACAAGAGTGTCTGAACAACAGTTTTATAACAATCGGAACCCCTTTTTGAGAGGACCATCATCTCGAAATTTCATTTTTGAACCCAAATTTGGCCTAAAATGGCCGACTCGGCCTTTTTCACGGGATCCCTGACCCCGTATGTGACCGTTCTCAACTTTTTCCTTTCTTAAACATGAACAAGAGTGTCTGAACAACAGTTTTATAACAATCGGAACCCCTTTTGAGAGGACCATCATCTCGAAATTTCATTTTGAACCCAAATATCGGCTTAGTTTCCCCATTTGAAGTTTTTATCATTTACATCGAAATCTATTCTGCCAATTTATTTTTAAAACAGCTAATCAAAAATGAGATATGTGAAATACCAAGAAATTTTTTTCATAAAAGAGAAAACCCGACACTCTGACCACCGGTGAGGTTGAAACTTAACTTTCAAGGTGATTTTTTATAAATGTTTTCATTATAACCTAAATAGTGGTTCTAAATCTTCAAAAATTTTTTTCATACCTAAAAAAACAAGACATTCGTCTTGTGACTATTTTTTTGTGAAAAAAAGAACCAAAAAAATATTTCGATTTTTCAAGCAAAAATTTTTATTTAAAAAGTGGGTTTCCTAGGTAAACGGTCATTTTGGAATTGGTCCAAAATAAAATTTTATTTTTCAGTTCTCATCTTCATATTCTCATCAAAAAGTTAAAAGGGCCAAGATCTGTATTGAGGGAACCAATAATTTCATTGGAAGGGTAAACCAAAAGTTTTCAAGCCAAATTTGGGTTCAAAATGAAATTTCGAGATGATGGTCCTCTCAAAAGGGGTTCCGATTGTTATAAAACTGTTGTTCAGACACTCTTGTTCATGTTTAAGAAAGGAAAAAGTTGAGAACGGTCACATACGGGGTCAGGGATCCCGTGAAAAAGGCCGAGTCGGCCATTTTAGGCCAAATTTGGGTTCAAAATGAAATTTCGAGATGATGGTCCTCTCAAAAGAGGTTCCGATTGTTATAAAACTGTTGTTCAGACACTCTTGTTCATGTTTAAGAAAGGAAAAAGTTGAGAACGGTCACATACGGGGTCAGGGATCCCGTGAAAAAGGCCGAGTCGGCCATTTTAAGCCAAATTTGGGTTCAAAATGAAAGTTCCAGATGATGGTCCTCTCAAACGGGGTTCCGATTGTTATAAAACTGTTGTTCAGACACTTTTGTTCATGTTTAAGAAAGGAAAAAGTTGAGAACGGTCACATACGGGGTCAGGGATCCCGTGAAAAAGGCCGAGTCGGCCATTTTAGGCCAAATTTGGGTTCAAAATGAAAGTTCGAGATGATGGTCAACCCGAAAACATCTCAAATTGAAATAAAAATCAATAATAGATGTCTATTAGTAAAATGGAAACAAAGATTGGAATGGATCTCTGAAGAATGAGCCGTCAGGCATCATGGACTTCACCCACTTGGCCGCCGCAAGACCACGATTGCGCGCCTTCGGGGCGATTTTTCGAAATGATGGTCCACCTAGGATTTTTTCAAACTAGTAACAGCTTGTACAGCTTCTCGTAAGGTATCTTTTGAGAAGTTAGGAAGAATGGATCTCCCGGCTCAAGCTCATGGTGGTCGAAAAACTGACTCGGCAGACACAAAAAGTACCGTAACTCAAAATTTTCCCACCGTAACCCATGATGGTATGTACTGTAAAAGTTCCTAAAATTGAATTACCTATCGATTGATATATCACTTGCCTAATAAAAAAACTCATAAATACTGAGATACGCAGGTGCCCACCTGCCTACCGTAACCCGGCTACAGTAAGAGGAAATGGCTCAAAAAGTTGGGTCCGCATTTCTGATGATGGGTTATCACACTGGATGAAGTTTTGTCAAAATCAAAAAATATTTTTTTTTATTGTACCCGTTGTTTTTGAGAATAACGGAGACAGCGTGTTAAAAACTGAAAATAAATTCCTTCGTCGTCAAAAAAAAACCGATTTGCCTTTAACTTCGACGGTTTTCGGAAAAAAATTCCTGAGTTTTTACTCATCCAATTTAAAAGGACTTTTTGAGGCGTCTTTCCTCCTAAACCAGGAAGGCTAGGGTTTTCAAGACCGCTTTATTTGGCAGTTCAGACCATTGCCTGTATTTTGAGAAAAACCTCCTACCTGTTGGCTTGGAACACAATGTTTGCATTTACAGAAACAGGACTACAGAGCTGTTGGGAAACTCTTCAAACCAAGTACCGAAAATGGACGAGAAGCCCCCAAAAAATGTTCGGCTATTCGGAAGAGTTGTCCTTTTTGTCGTCGAATATAAAGTTTTTATTTATTTACATGGGTTATCTGATATCCTATTTGTAGAGCGATTCCCTTGTCAGATCTGAACGAAGAACTCCGTCACGACGTCTTGACTAGTAATATTGTTTCTTCCGAAGCGACCTGGATATGGCCAGGTTTTCGATTTTTTTTCGCGTTTTTTCAGTCAGTTTTGCAGAAAGTTATACGAAGGAAGTTCTGATGAGAGTCTCGCTCCGACTTAGACACATGCTCCACGACCTCGATGATATTAGAAATAAGGACGATTTCAACCGACGAATAGGTTCTTTTTATGAGAAACAGTCCAGCCAAAGTTAAAACTACGATAAAGAATTAGAATAAAACATTAGATGCTAAAATAGGTTTAAATCTGCCACACCGAAAAATTAATTGAAATTTTCTCCAGTTTTTGATGTATAAACATCTGATAAGCCTCATTTAGTACTTGGTGCATACATCGGTTGGATCCCACCCAGCCTTTTGCGCGCGCGATTTGAAAATGTACTGAAGTAGGCCGCCCTTTTTCGGGCGGTAGGCCGCAATTTTGGGGGTTAGCCCGCAGTTTGACGGGGGGCGGAAGGGGGTAGGCCGTACTCCGGGGTGGGATCTAGCCGACGTATGACCTGGAGCCCTCATTTGAACCATTATCTCTCGTTTGACACGGCGATTTTCTATACACAAATCGATTTTTGCTCCCTGGATCCTTATTTACCATTATACGGCTCGATTAACGCGATTAAATTATGATATAAGCAGTTTTTTTTATTCCGGTGTGCTCAAAAATTGTGGAGAATTTATATGAGTCTATTCAAAAGCGCTCAAAGTTGTAAAAAAAAAAAGGAACCCATTTCAGTGTCCCAGATTTTAACAGTTTGCTTATTAAAAGTCTTTTTTCTTGTTTTGGAAGAATTTTCAATTTTTTAACTGTCGTGATGATTCCACAAAAAGTTAAAAAGAAAAGATTTATGATACGATTATTTTTTTTTGGCTTGAAAGACGAGGGAGGCGGAGAACAAGGCGGGACGCGTAGCGTGCGCGTTTGCGCGTCTTGGCACGAGTTCCATTCAACCGTCAGCGACTATTTGGAAAGCCCCTTTTTCGCTTTTTTTTTATTACTTTTTTTAAAATTTTTTATTTATTTTTTTTCGGTTGTTGGACAAAAATATAGGAATGAATAGAAAAAAAGCGGTGAACGAGATTTTCAAGTACTCGGTGGCGTTTGGATTGAACTAGTGCCAAGAACCGCGGACGCGCACGCTACGCGTCTCACCTCCTCCTCGCGCCTCCTTTGCTTTTCAAGTCGAGATGGAATGACTATATTCCGTTAATATTCACTTTCAAAGACCCTGATCCTAACTCAGTTGAGAGTATCTTTTCAGGAATCACCCGATACACTTGCGCCGCGAAAAAAGCTCGCAGCGTCTCGATCTACGGCTGGAATTTATAATTAACGCTTTCTTCGACTTTTGATTCACGTCTCCTCTAATATTTCTTGACTGACTTCACTCACAGTTAGTTTTAATAATTTACTAGTTTTTCATAACCATAACCCAATTGTTTTGTGACCAACCTTCTAAAATTATTTCGCACCTTGTAATTGAACAACAATCCCATTTCTGTGTTTCATATGTCAGGGAGAATGAAAATTTCATCTCCAAGTTAATGTTCTCATTCGTGAAAAAGATACACGCTGAACAAAGCAATAAAAACAATAGTAAATGAAGTAAAGTTGGCCGAGTTACAATAATCGTTGAAACAAGTGCATCTCTGGATACGCGTCCTAAGAATCGAAGTCTGTTCACAAACATCGGCGCCTGAAAATCAGATTTTAATTATTGCAGTTTTTTTCTGACGAAGAGACTTCTGAAATATCGAAAAAAAGATAACAGAAACAAGGTCTTTTTGATCGTTGATTTCAAATTTTTCAAATTTTCATTCGAACAGTCATCTTGCCTCCAATAGCAAGCAAGCTTTGAGAATAAACTTAAATGAAAACCAACCTCCAAAGGGCAAAATTGCACAACCTCGGATCATGGAAATGATACTTCTCTCTTGATCGTAGAACATTCCCACTAAAGTTGCCCCTTGAGAAATGTCAAAGTTCAAGATAACCTACTTTTGTCAACACCGCCAGAGTAGGCGGCTATTTTCACACAACCAAAAAACCCATATTGACAAGAAGTGGCGGTATTTTTGCATTCGATTCCTTGAGATGACGTGCATTCGTAGCATTGAATTCCGTTCACAGGAAAAATTGCAAATAGTGAAAGGAGAGTGAAAATAAGGAAAACTCTAGGCGTCATACCAGCTATGACACTTACAGGAAACAGTGAAGAAGAGAAAGTGGGAAATATGAATAAAAAGGAAAAGCTGATGATAATATGAAGGAAATGAGTCGTGAAGCTTCTAGCTGGAAAGAACCGCCTTGGAAGAAATTACGTGTACTGTACAAACAGAAAAGGCGCAACCTTCTGCCTGGTCATCTCGGATTTTTGTACTCGTGTTTAGACAGCGTTGCCGCCTTGAGTCACAAAACATCCATTCAAACGAGAACTCATTCTATTTCCGAGACCTTACAAGCTTTCGCTGTTTTGGAACGTACGAAGGCTTTTGTTTGTAAATCGATATTGACGAGAATACATTAACAAAAAAATGCGGTTAGAAGTTTGATGAAGATACAAGGTACTTTAGGAAATTCTTATTCTGACGCAGAAAAACGTTATTTTTCTTCTCCTAAAAAGGTAATTTTTTTCGGTTTGGGATTTTTGAAAGTTGGCCAGGGCCCTCGTTGGTGATACAAGAAGATATTTCGAACGTCAACCTGCACAAAACTCTGGGTTTCGAGACTCAAAGTAGAGGGATTTTAAGCAGAGGGCTTTCAACACGTTTTGAGAGCTTTTTCGGGCATATAGGTGCCTTTTTTCCAAACCTAGAAAGCTGTTCAGAAATCCAGAAGCTGCATCTGGTACATCATGGAGTTTTCGGGCCAATTTTCAAAAAATCCCAAATCGCGAAGCAAAATGACCTTCCTTTTGAGTATAATTTTTACTTCTCAAAAATTCTTAGACCCTGTATTTCTTGTCTGCATCTCGTATTTTTTTCGAGAATGCGTATAAATAGACAAGATCTGCGATTAAATTCAGAAAATTCTGTTTTGCGAATCGATAGCGTCCGAGCGAGTGGAACTTTGCTCCAGATGTCTCGTACTCACTTAATTTCTCGAGCAATAAGGACGGTTTTCTTTTTGGTATGACAGCTCTTAAACATTAGCTTGTTTCTTATACTCATCCCTACCATCATCCTAAAAATTCCGAGTCAGGATGGCCTGGGAAAGATGTCCCAGCCCAATTTTTTAACTGTTTTCCTTATTGACCGTGTTCTCAAATGTGCATGGAACGAAATGAAGAAATTTTTGACTAGAGGATGGTCAGATACCCCAACAAGCTTCTGAAAAAGGAAAAGTTTCCTATTCAACATTTTTCGGCCAATGCGAAGATTCGCGACGCTGCATAGCGATAATCAGAGTAGGGTGGGATTTATCGGCCATCATTTTGCCAAAACTGAATATTAGGAAGTCATCTTTGGAACATTGTTAAAAGACACCCTCGTAGATGAAAGTAAGTGAAGATTTCATAATTAAACAACCAAATAAAAATGTTACAGCATTTGGATATTTAGTACACCCCTGTAGTTTGATCCAGACGATCAGAAATGAAACAAATTAGGATTCTTGAAAAATTTTTGAATGTCTTTGAAATATTGTAGAACCAACTTATGTTTGTGAGCTGGCTTCTGAAGCAAAAAGCACGTTTCATTGTTATTTTTTTAATATAGTTTTTTTCATCGGGAGAGGTTCACACTTCTTCCATTTTTTTGATTTCTTATGTGCAGTCTCAAACAGATTTTTTTAATCGATAACACATTTAATGAATTACAAAAGTATAACGAAGAGGACCTTTTTTATAAAACACAATCGGACCTACCAATAATTCCACACAAATTCTCGCGATGGGAATGTCCTAGATCAAAAATACGTAGAAAAAAAACAGATTGAGATGAAATTTAAAGCAAGACACGATGGCGAAGGGAAAACCTGTGGGAGAGTTAAACAAGTGAAAAAGAAATGATTAGAGTTATGACGTGTTAAAAAAATTTAAATAAAAAAACAGTCGGCTCACAACATTATTTTTTTCTGTAGAACATTGAGCCGGGCGGAAGTTGGTTGCTCTTGAGATTTTCTGGCTGAAAAAAATGAAAAAAATAGCCCTACTTTTCTTTAAAAACTCACAAGTTAACGGCGATTTGGGTTGTAGTATTGAGTGTTGTTGTTCGGATCGATATCGGACGCACCTGAAATTCTGTGTAACTCAAAATGAAAAGGAGTTTGTTTATCAGGTGCTGATTCTTGTCTTTCTTGATAAGAAAATTATTTATTGAGTTTTATTAACAATCTAAAAAGGAAGGTCTTTTAGCCCCCCGGTTGAACTTTTAATAAAACTCGGCTAGAAAGTTCTTCAAGACCTTTTAATTCTATGACAAGAGAAAGCAAGAAAACGTCATTTGAAGGTTTTGAAGCTTCAGAAGTCGGGAAAAAGCGAGAAGGTAGGTCTTATCAAATACGACAACCATGTTTCACCGGAAACTGCGGCTGGAATATAGCCCTTGTTAGATAATTGTTCTTTTTTGATGAATTTCGGAGAATTCAACTAAAAAGTTACAAAACAACCAACTCATTCGAGGAGGAGTGGTGTAGTTGAGAAACGATGGCGGCGGTTCTCTGGTGCTCGTTCGCAGATATTCCTCATAGTTGGGACAGGCAGCCCTCCAAGCGACAGTGTATTCTTCGACTGCAAATATAGTTGTTCTTTTCTATTCACTAAGGATATTTTCGAGTACAAATTTTGCTTAAATTTGTGTCCAATCGAAAAACTAGTCAATTTTTGGTTTTTTTCATAGATCTCCCTGAATATTTGATGGACCAAACGAACTTTGGTAGGATTCCCGGAATTTCTCGTTGCATATTTTAGCGATCTCTTTCCACCAAATGAACTCGGACATTCCGTAAACCCTGCCGTCCCAAGAGGGCAAGTTTCTCCTGACCGCCCAGAGAAGATAGCGTTTCTGGTTCTCAGTAAGCGTAATCATCCTGTAAATATATATTCTTATTGAAAACTAAGATTAAAAAAATGAGAAAAAAAGACAGCGAAAATTTGTAATAGCAAGACAGACGATGGGCCGTTTTAATAAAGAAATAAAATAGTCAAAGTTTTGAAAAATTAGTTAAAAGCATTTTAAGGAGGATTTTGTTCACATACAGATTCAAAATATAAAATAACTGAACTTAAAAAAAGTACCTTTAGAAAAATACGAAAAAACGAGGCTTCGGTCACAATTTTTTTTTGTAAGCTTTCTGAACCTTTCTGGAAGAGTGATGACTGTTTTTTTTATCGCTCTGATAAATTTCCAGCTTACAGAAAAATTCATAATCAGAATCTATCAGAAAGATTGTATTCTTACAAGAAATTGTATGACCAAAGTCGCGTTTTTTCGTATCTTTTCTGACGGTACTGCAAAGTGAAACAGAAAGTCAAAAATATAATTTATAGGAGTATCAAAACAAAAGGAAGTTTGAAGAAACTAAAAGAAAGGGAAAGGAGAGGAAGAATGGAAGTTTAGGGCAAATTAGACCGGCGAGGGCAGCAGTGTACGCAGACACTAGCGTCCGGCGCAAAAAAGACGCCGTACGAAGCACTACATCATCGCGAGCTTTTTTTTGAGGTCGAAAACTCGATAGTTTTTTGGCGAAAACCAGTTCTTCGTTCCCTTGTTGGATTGTGAAGAATCCTTTTGTTTATTAACCCTTTCGATGAAGTTTCTCTTCATTTTGTACTAACTTCAAAAAAAAGAAGATAAAGTGGTTTATGCAAAAAAAAAATGCCTATGTATTTCTAATCAAACTGAGCATTTGAACTGGGAAAATCTCGCTTGTAGTTTGAGGCTTCTTAAAATTCTTCTCGTCTAGTCGTGTCCTTCGGCAAAACCAGGAAAAAAAAAGTCCAACGAAAGCGTCTCCATGGAGCAACTTTAACCAGAAGGGCACCAAACCTTCGCGTCTTTTTTTCTCCAATCGATAGTCTTCTGACCCTTTTCAGAAATTCTTCTCGCGTCATTTTTACTAACAAAACTTATACAACTTGAATTTTGCAATATTCTTTTTCAGAACGTTTTGGATTTTTTTTAAAAGTTTTACTTGATTTCTGAGGATTTTATCAGGCACGTTTCGCAAGTGAAAAATATAATTTCTGCTTTTTTATGACTCTAACAACCACAATGAAACGTCGTAATGTGTTTTTTAAATTTCTCCTCCTCTTTTATCAGAATAGTGGGTGAACAAAAAAATAAGCAATTGTGCAACGAAAAAAACCTCCAAATATTCTTTAAAAAAATTTTGAAAAAGATTCCAAACCGCAATGTGAAATAACTTCCCCTGTGGGATTTTTAAAACCGCAATGTTTTTTTACAAAAGAAAAATATGCATCTGAAAACTAGAAACCCAATTTTTTTGGTTATTTGCGTGTAGTTTGTTCTTACTAAACATTAGATGCTCTTTTGGACTTCTATGCACAACAAATTGTACGAAATTTTTACCGACAGGGGAAATAAAACAATTTGGGGTCAGCATCTAGGACAAATATAGTTGATAAGTACATGTGGATGGATAAGGCATAGTAGTGAAATAACTAAGAAATTGAAGAAGATTCGAAGATTGCAGCAAAAGGAAGAAAGGTGGTGGTTGTTAGCAACAGATCCCTGGAAAAAAAGAACAGAATTTCAATACTCTTTCTGATTTTCGTTATGTGGTGCTTATTAGCTTGTTAATACTTACCAACGGCTGTACAGACGTTTTAGTCCACAGGATCAGAGTTGGAGAGGCAAACAGAGGTCATGTCATCGGCTGAAGAAAATAATCATTGATAGAAAAAAGTGTAAATTCATATGATTTTGCCAAACTCTGACCCATGCTTCAGAAATTTTCATTTTCTCATTGTAAATCGCTAACAAACTTCAAAAAGTAATGTTCGAGAGTAAAGTTGAAGTTTACAAAATTTTACGTAGTTGAACATTAAAGGAGAAAAAAATAAAGAATTTCTGGCAACAGAACAGCGAAAAAAATGATGCGTTGAATAAAGTGACATTACGCTGTTATAAAAGCACTGTAATAGGGCTTTTCTGATATTAAATATTTCTATTGATTAAAGCGCTTAATTAAATCGCAACCCACCTAAATCGTCCATGTCAAAATCAGTTGAAATCTTTTCGGCTTTTCTGAAATGAAAGAGTAACCTATTTATTTCTTTGATCAACTCACTGCCTCTTGTCCAGAAACTGGAGCTCGCGATAAAACCTAGGGCGGGGATAGGTATAGGACTTTGACAACCAACTCAAGAACTTCTTCTTCAATCTTCCCCACTCGTCTTGTAGATCATCGCCTAAAGAAAAATATAGATCATTTTTGTTGACTTTCTTTGTACAAGATTGGATAAATGATATGATTTCAATTTGAAAAATATCTACAGAACCACAATTAGTATCTGAATGATTTCAATTCTTCCAAAAAAATATTTGCAACTTTGGTTTAGAGATTGACTTCGTTAGTTCCAATAATCTTTGACGCTTTCTAGACATTCGTTTCTGATTTCTACATCAATCGAACATAAATTGTATTCTTGATTCTTATCTTTAGAATTTGTGATCGAACAATTTGCAAAATGAATGGAGAAGTAATTGAACCTAGTTTAGTGGTCTTAAATTTTTTATTGAAATGACGGCTGACGAGCGTCCAGACGATCTCAGTGTCTCCACGTTCGCCCTGGTTCCATAAACATTTGTTCTCTTTGACAAGAAAGATCAAATACCGCTGTTGAGAAAAGTTGAGCATTTCTGGAAAAAGACGATAATTACAAAAAAAATTGAAAAATTAGAAAAAGAACAAAAAAAGGTATATAAAAAGGTGGCCGGCTCAGGAGGGCGAGTATATCGCTTAATATGTGTCTATTTTCGATAGAGCGACTTTTGTCAAGCGGTATTTGATCTCGAGGTCTTCGCGCTTTTTTTGCTTGGATAGATTGTATTCTGAAAAAAAATTATCTTTCTAAATTTTTTATTCCATTTCTTGAGCTGAAACTTCATTATTATTTTTTATCAAACTTCTCAGAAAATTTTAATCATCTTTTCCTTTTTGCTGTAAAAAAAATTGCATTGCGTAAAAAAAAAAATAGTGATTAATATTTTAATCTTTTCTGTACTCCAAGAGTCTCATTTTATTGATTTTTTTATTATAGGTAGGTTGCTAAACTGGGCCTTTATTAAACAAATCTGCAGAGCCTACCGTAATTATTCCGATTGCTCATTTGCGACTTTTGCATCTTGAAAAAAATGTCAATATTGAAGCTGGATGCAATGGGGAATCTCCTGCATCCATAATTTATCAATGATCAAAAAAATTATAAGAATTTTATTTATTTTTTTGTTATTTTTTTCGGTTTAATAAAGGAAATTTAGCTGTGAGCAAAGTTTTTTTGATAAATAACTTTTTAAAAAATTGAAGCTCAATCAATTTTCGCTAATCGCCCATTTTGTTTGAAAAGCTCATCACTTTGAATTCTTCGGTTCGATAAAGGAAAGAAAAAAAAATTTAGCTCTGAACGAATCTTTTCTTAATCGCCTAATCAGAAAGTTCATTTCAAGAAATTCTCCAGATGCGGTTTATAAATAAGTTCTCAAATTTTTTTGAGTTTCTACATTTTTTCTTTTTTTTTCAGATAATTTCAGTTCACGAAGAAATCCTTCTCCAAAAGAAATCCTCCTCGACGATCTTTGTAGAAAAAAGTTCAAGAAGGTCCCTGAAAACATTCCAGAATTTTTACTCTTTTTTTCCCTGGCAAAAGGTGGATGGAAAAGTTCCGTTGGCAATAATTCGGTTCATTATGAGGGGAAAACTATCGTATTGTCAGCTTTCAGATTCTTCAAATTTTATCCAGTTCGTAAACGCGAAGAAATAATGTTATTTTCTTTCATACAAGTGACATAAAAACTTTGCAAAACCCCCGTAAAATTTTGAATGGATGAAGTTTTTTCATGGAGCAGTAGCTGATCGTCGGAACACTCAAAACACGTATACTATTATCAAAAAAAGGACGTGATCAGTTTTTTTGAGTAGACTTTTTTTCTTGTTTATTTGTGTGTCATTGTTTTTTTACTAATCGTCATATAATTACTTTTTACTTGACCTCGCCTTATGTGTAACAAGAAAGACCGATTTTAGTGAAAAAATCCATTTTATAAGAATCTCTGAAAAACATTCCTTATATCATTATTTGTCACCATTTGAATAACGCTTGTTGATTAAAAAACAAAAAAAGAGAGATAAAAAACTTTGATTTAATTTTCGCCAGAGCAACTGTATAAGAAAGACTTTTTATCCACAACAAATTATCAAAAAAATATTTTATTTATAAATAAACTGAAAGAAGATAATTAAATCGGAGCAAAAAGCAGACGGAAGTGGTGAGCGTCCGCAAGAAAGACCTGAAAAAAACAGAATTTTTAATTATGCGAAGTTTTGTGAATTTTATTAAAAAGATGCTTTTTGGTTTTTATAATACTTACCGAATTTTGAAGAATATGGGTCGTGCTTAGTTTTTCCAGGTGAGCATCAGTAGGGACGATCCCAAAGTGGCTCATCTCCATTTCTGAAAGCAGTTGTTTCTGATACAATCATAATAAAAAAAATTGGATGAAACTTCATTCAAATTTTAATCCATGCTTCCTCAACAATGTTTTAATAATTAATAGAGTTGAAAAAATTATTTCTGAGCGAAAAGTTAAAGATTTTTATAATTCAATTATAAAGAGAGAAAAGAAGCTTTTGATGACGGGACACCGGAAAATGATGCGATGGATATTTGAAGTAACAGTAAATTATTATAAATTAAAGGAAATGATTTTTTTGCATCGAACCTAATCTCAAACTGATTTTTTTCATAATTTTTTTACATTGCTTGCATAAAAATTTCAAAAAAAGATGGATATTGTAAAGAAATTTCCTGATCTAAAAAGTTTTTCCTTGATTAAAACGTTTGATTGAATCAAAACCTACCTAAATCATCCATTTCTTCGACAGGGGACGCATCTCTCTTTTCTATTGTTCTGAAATTAAAAAAACTAATTTATTTCCTCCAATGATCAACTCACGACGTCTTGTCAAGAAACTTTAGTTCCCGCCAGAACCGAGGACGGGGATGGGTTTCTGGGAACATCTTCCACTTTAAAAATTTCTTCTTTATGGCAGTCCATTCGTCAGCAAGGTCATCGCCTGAGAAAAATATGTTGAGTATTTTCATTGACTATCTTCGTACGAGGTCATATATATAATAATATGACTTCATTATGAACACATCTCGAAATCAAAGTTAAAATCAAAATGCTCTCAATTTCTTCCGAAAGACAATATGCAAGTTTGAGCTAGACATCGATTTCCCCAGTTCTAATGATCTTCAAAGTTTTTTGTGCATTCTTATTGGATTATTAAATCAACTGAAAGTTCAATTAAATAAAAATCGTTAGCTGAAAGGAACTTTATGAAATATTTCATCAGAAGATCTGCAAAATCAATAAAGAAATGATCGAACCTAATTTCCTGGTCCTATATTTTTTGTTGAATTGGCGACTAACGGCCGTCCAAGCGAAGTCAACATCGCCATCGTCTGTGGAATCCCACAGGCATCGCTGCTTCTTGATAAGTTCAATCAAGTGCTCCTGCTGGACAAACGTGAGCATCTTCTAAAAAAAAAGTTAATAGACAACAGGGAGTGAAAAATGAAAACAAAACAACAAAAAACACGGAAAATAAGGAGGGACGGACTCAGGGGGCAAGAAGGACGCGCACAATGATCTTAGGGACGCCAAGTTGGTTCCTATAGGCGTTAAGGGAAAAGAACCGCCTCTATAGGGCTCAAAAAAAAACTGATTTGAAGGAAAATTCAGGTAGTCCCTATATGGATTGTTTCTTGTTTACGAACAGTATCAATTATATGAAGTATAATTTTTTTCATTTGATTCAGTTTATTTTTGAGAAATTTTTTTTAGAAAATCAAGAATACAATTTTCTATTATATTCCTTTTCAGAAACGCTGTGAAACGGATTTAGATGAAAAACAGTATTTTATGTACGCTACTGGCCATAACGGTATTTCAAAATGGTTTTTCGAGCACAACTTATCTGGAAGTGGTCCGAATGTCTCGGAACTTTGCACAGATTTCAAATAGTTATGCAGTAACTCATTTTCAAAAGCAGAACACATTTGATTGAGACGGAGTAGATTTCTGAGCAAAAAACCAAAAATCGTGAAAATTGAAGTTTTTCTGTTCAGATTTGAAAAATCGTTTATTTCGAGAAACTTAGAACTACAAACTGGCACTTTTTTCCCATGTGAAACTTTTTGGTTTTCCAAATAACTTAATCAACCCTCTACTAACCCGATATAGAGCGCAGTAACTTTTTCTTCGGAAGGCCCTTGCGTTTTGAGGCCTCATCATTCAAATGGACTATATGTACATGGTCGGTTTTGTTATTGATACTTTTCCGTAAAGAAGAAAAAATCTCTATAGGGACTACCTAAATTTCTTTTAAATGAGCCCTAAAGAGGCGGTTCTATTTCTTGAACGCCTATAGGAACCAAACTGGCGTCCCTGAAAGGCCTATAGGAACCAACCTGGCGTCCCTAAGATCATTGCGCAGGTCCTTCTCGCCCCCAAGTTCGTCGCTTTTCATTTTCCGTTTCTTTCGATGTTTTGTATTTTTCACTGTTTGTTGTCTATTAACTGTCTTTTTTTTTTGAAGATGCTCACGTTCGTTCAACAAGAACACTTGATTGAACTTATCAAGAAACAGAGGTGTTTGTGGGATTCCTCAGACGATGGCGACGTTGACTTCGCCTGGACGGCCATCAGTCGTCAATTTAACAAAAAGTATAGGACCAGGAAATTAGGTTCGATAATTTCTCTATTGATTTTGCAGATTTTCTGATGGAATAATTCATAAATTTCACTTCAGCTTACGATTTTCATTCACTTGAACTCGATTTAATAATCCAATAAGAATGCACAAAAAACTTTGAAGATCATTAGAACTGGCGAAATCGATGTCTAGCTCAAACTTGCAGATTGTCTTTCGGAAGAAATTGAGAAAATTTTGATTTTAACTTTGATTTCTAGATGTGTTCATAATGAAGTCATATTATTATATATATATGACTTCGTACGAAGATAGTCAATGAATATACTCAACATTTCTTTTCAGGCGATGACCTTGCTGATGAATGGGCCGCCATAAAAAGGAAATTTTTGAAGTGGAAAAAAAACCCTGAAACCCATCCCCGTCCTCGGTTCTGGCGGGAACTAAAGTTTCTTGACAAGACTCCGTGAGTTGATCTTTGAAAGAAATGAGTAACTTCTTTATTTCAGAACGATGCAAGTAAGAGACCCGTCTCCTGTCGAAGAAATGGACGACTTAGGTGGGTTTTTATTCAATCAATGAAAACTTTGTAGATCTGGAAATTTCTTTCACAATATTTCTCTACCTTATTCAATTTATAAAAACTTACTGTCACTTCAAATATCCATCGCATCTTTTTTTCGTTGTTCCGCCGCGAGAAATTCCTTTTCGTTTTTTTATTCAAAGTCCAAATACGTAACATCTTGTAAACATAAACTTTCCGCTAAAAAAAATTATATATAAAGTCTATTAGTTATTAAGGATCTGTAAATGAGAATTTCTGAAGCATGGGTATATATTTGGAAGTTTCATCGAAAATTCAATTTCATTATGGTTCTATCTGAACTTACTGCTTTCAGAAATGGAGATGAGCCATTTTGGGATCGTCCCTACTGATGCTCACCTGGAAAAACTGAGCCTGACTCATAATTCATAATGAAATTCAAAAAAACTTTTTCATTATTGAAACCCTGTTTTTTTCCAGTCTATTTTGCCAACGTCCGCTACTTCTGTCTGCTTTTTCTTCGATTTGATTATTTTCTTACTTTTACCCACCTATCCACATTTATTTACAATCATATTTTTCCATCGTGCTGATTCTAGAATTTTTTATTTTATTCTTGAATAAAATAATTTTTGTATCATTTGTTTCGCACAGAAGTTCGTTTTGTGAATGAATTCCGAACTTTGTTGTTCAAAAATGCAAAATAAAAATTTGTTCGATTTGCCTTGAAATGTGAACACGGCTCACACACGTGCTTCTGATTTTTTAGCCCCAGGTTCCAGGTGGCTCCGCCCCTATTCAGGGTAACTGTAGACAGTAAGCTGAAAAAATTGAATATTTTTCCTGTTGAGATCTTCCACTCAAAAATGGAAATGTGAGAAAACACTATTTTAAGACCATCGTCGATTTTCTATTATTTCCGTTTTTAGGTAGTTTTGTTATGAAGAAGTCCCCATGTGGCCTTTTATTTTTTTGGTAAATGGAAGAGTAGGTTTTCCTGAATAAGGAAAAATTAGTCCGGTAAAAGTCTTTGGGGTGCTCCAGTTGACCTGAAAAAATTTTCAGAAAAGTGTTTTTTTTGTATTTTTAAGCGTTTTCGAATAAAAATTTTCAACAGGAAAAAATTTAATAATTTTCAGTTTACTGTCTACAATTACCCTAAAAAGGGGCGGATTCATCTGGAAACTAGTGCTAAATAATCAGAAGCACGTGTGTGAACTGTGATCACATTTCGAGGCAAACCGAAAAAAAAATTGTTTTTAATTTTGCTTTAAATTTATCGACTTTCTCAGAGAACGTGTGATAAAAGGGCGACGATGGCCGCGCACATCCTCGTCTCCTCCAATACTTTACCCCTTTGTACCCTGTTTTGTTGCGCTCGTGTTATAAACATATATTCAACCATCCTTCTTACTTTTAGCATCGAAAGCGAAAGCTAGCAGAAGCGCCCAATAAATCCACTGGGCCAATAAAACCTCAAGAGTCTGTCGGACGCCACACCGTATGTGGCTATTTCCCAAAGAAAACGGTTCCGCAAGAGAAAACAGATTTTTTCCAGATACTCGAGAAGTATTTTTAAAAAAATTTATAATCCTTTTCTGAATACTGTTGCTGACTAGAACCTCATGTAAAAAAATGTTTATTTACGGAAGAGGTCGGTTCAACAAACTCCTGGTTTCCTATGAAAAGTGATCCACCCGATTCAAATATATATTTCGTAACGCAGAAGCATTTTTTTCCCTTTTGAGCTTTTAATTTTTATTGTTGAAAACAACGTCATTTGAAAGTTTCATGCGCAAACTCCATATAAATTCTCTCATATTTCCAGAAGAGACCATGTTTTCTGAAAATTTCGATTTTTTTTCGCTTTTCGCATGGTTTGAAAATAAAATTGCTTGATTCAAAATTACTTGAAATGCTGTGGCCTCCTACTAACTTTGGTGTTTATTTAAAATTTAAAAAAATGGCGAATGTTCCAACAAAAGTAAAAAAAAATGAGCCCTGAACCACGGTGCGTCCATAATTATGAAAAAAAGACAAAAAGTAGTGGTAGTGAGCCTGAAAATTAAGTTTTTACTCGAAAAATAAAAAGGAATGTAAACATGAAATGAATATAATGAAGCCTATATTTTTCGAAATGGTGACTGTCGGCCGGAGAATCACGATTCTTGAGCTTGGCGCCTTCTTCAAATACTGGTCGAGGAAATTTTCTTTTGATTATCTCAAGATTACGAAAAAAAAAGTCAATTCAAAGTTTGAGCGAAAAAAACCAAAAAACAGGATTTCGCAGCAACGTAGCTGCTGGACTAAACAGTATAAACGATCTCCTCTAATATTTCACAACTTGATTTTTTCGCCTTTCTTATAAATGTTTCCCGAAATTCTCACGATCAGTCAAAAAAGTTGATTACGAAAAAAAAAATTCGATTGAGCCGATCCTACGCTTTGAGAAGTGATTTTGCTCAAAACATACAGATTTTCGGGCAGTTTCGTCCGAATTTTTGTCGATCGGCGCAATCGAATTTGTTTCTTGTAATGGGAAAGTCTGAATGAAGAACATGAAAAGTGGATCATGGATGAAGAACCGGCAGGACAACTACCATCATACGACATTCATCTCCAATTCCTGCAAGAGAATTGGAATGGGTATGTTGAAATCATTTATTTGATTCTTTTAGTATGTGTGTAAAGATTTGGAATTTCACCGAACGACATTCCGCTGTTCCGCTGCGTCGCGAAGCGTCTTTGCGAACTTCGGTCTCGCTTTAAATTGGTTCTCATTTCTGATAGATGAACTCTTCCTCTACGAACACGTGTTGGTCGAGTTCTTAAAGAAAATGAAAGATTAAAGGCGCGCAAAGGCAAGCAGCGGAACAGCGGAATGTCGTTCGGTGAAATTTCAAATCGTGGTACACAGACTATATCTTATCGATCTTTTCCAGCCTCGTACCTCGGAACCCCGCCAACTCTAACTTTCTTGAACTTTTTGTGAGCCTCGTCGGAAACATAAAAACTCTTTTTTTACTTTTTTTTTAAATAAATCTCATATCTTGAAGTGGCTGTCCTCACAGAGAAATCGAAAAAAATAATTCTTTTTTTACAAAAAATTTCAGGTCCTAACTTTTGCGGTCTCTCAAGAATGAAATCCTCGTTTTAGAGCCTCATGTTTTTTTCATGACTTTTTTTGAATATAAACTTTGATTGTCACATTAGAATGGTTTCTTGGTACAGTTCGTTGTATTTCAACTCAATGCGGTCACTGAAGAAAGAAAAGGTAGATTTACGGTTATTTTAAATTTTCTGAGAAATTCATTTAGTTTTGCAGCTTGTTGAAAGTGTCCAGAACACCGTTCGATGAGCCAGATGAAATAAAAACTCCCTTTTTTTGAGGAAATGAGGCCCCAACCCTCAAAAACAGCCTATTCAGCGTATTTTTCAAAAGATTACTTTAGCTTTCAAAAAAATTTTTTTCCAGAGACGAAAAAAAGTCATCTAGCTTAAATATTACGAATATTCATCTGGTACATAAAAAAATATACTGACTAATTTTTCAATCTAGAAAAAAACGTTAAACTACCTTACTTTCGAGAAAAGAAGTAATTTGAGAACTTCTTATAATCGGTCGTTTTTTTCACACGAATCCCGCAGTCCCCTTGCTAAATAGGTGTTGATCCAACTCATTCCGGTCAGTAAAGCGAGAATAGGTAAACTTGGACGCGGCGTTCCCTTCGCTTAAGGTGTTCCCCAACCATTAATTTGCAGTTGCCGCGTTTGGAAACTGTGCGCCGAGGCCTTCGATGCCTTCTACTTTACGGTCGTATTAGACGTTTTGACCCCCCGCTAGTTGGCATTGTACTTCTTGGCCACTTTATCTCATCTCTTCTGCCTGCCTGCCTCGACTAGTCGTCCGATTTCTTGACCTCGAAATGTTTCAAGTGGCTCCAGCGTTGGAAAAAAGAGCAGCATGAAACAGTTGGAAAAAAATATCTTTGAATTTGAAGAGCTATGGGATGTTGAAAATTTCAGGATATGGCTTTGGGAAAATTTCAAACTAAGCAAGAAAAATTTATGACAAAATACCGTTAAGCTTACTTTACTAATGTTATTTTCCAGAGCTGAAGCATTTTGGTATTTTCCTTCGAGGTATATCATCCAATCTCAGACCGTTTTTCAGATAAAGTCGAATTAATAATATAAGATTTTCCGTGTTGCTTTGGTAAAATCATCACATATAATTTTTGGATGGAAGGGGGGTTTCGAGATACTTTTCAGGTGTCGCGGGGCTTTGATGGTTCCAATAATCAGAGTCTTTGCATTCTAATAAGTTTTGTCGAAATTTTATTTTTTGAACAATTTTGTAATTGTAGGAGCACTTCTTCTGTATAAATCGGTAACTGTTTTTTTGAATTCAGGCTCATTTTCTTCAAAAAGGCACTTCTCTCCAGATAAACTCCAAAGGCTAAAAACCGATATTTCTGATGGTTTTACTAAAAACAAACGTTTGTCATATTTTTTGAGCTTGTTCACCCATTTTATGCCCTCTTGGAGCACATCGTCCTTCTTGGTCAGAAGAATCAAGAAAAAACGGAATGGAGGTGAACAATAGCCAGGAAACGACGCCGACGGGGTCATGGAGTGGCACGGTGGCCGGAAGTGGCTCCTAGACACTGGTAGGCATTCTTTTATGTCAACATCGAGGTACTCGTGGTAATAAAGGCAAGAGGGTGAGAGGTCTACTCAAAACTCGAAGCTCTCTCCTTGTCGGCCACCTTTTTTGGCTGACCGGAGTGGTAAAATACTCCTGAATAGTGGTGCATTTTGCCATTGGCTGAGGAAAATCAGATTTTTTTCCTGGAACGTGATCGAAATGAAAAAAAAAATCATTCCGAATGATGGTCCATTTACCGCTGATCCAAGGAACGTTCTAATAAAAACAAATTTTAAGTTTTTCGAGTACACAGGACTTCGCATCTGAAAGGTATTTTATAGTCGATGTGCTACAACTTGAATTTTCATGGAACGACACTCCGCTGTTCTTGTGGTTCTTGCGCGCGCTGTCGCGAAGCATCTCGCCTTTGCGAAATTCGGTCGCTTTTTCATTTTTTCTTTAATTCTAGATTTTCATCCTAATAATTATGTTTTCATTATTATTTTTTGTTTGGCACGAAAAAAACAAACTAAAATATAATTAAAATAGTGAAAATGGGCAATTAAAAAAAATTTGAAAGCGCGACCGAGATTCGCAAAGGCGAAGACGCTTTCACGGCCACAAGGCCACGCAGCGGAGGGTCGTTCCATGAAATTTCAAGTCGTGGCACACAGACTATATAAAACTATCAGTAAACTCAGAGAATTTCCCCTAAAATTTTATCGAGTTACATCTTCCTTAGATCCTGTCAATGTCCTAACTCATTTCCTGATTTTTTTTTATCAAGGAGTACTTAATCGAACTTTTTGAAAATAATGATTTTGATTCATATTACATGAATTTTTCTTCTTCTTCGATTTTTGCTGAACAGAAGAGTCATCGAATTTATAAATTTTTTTGAGGAGGCAGTATTACTTAAACGTTTACGAGAGATCTTCTGCATGAAATATGCATTTTCCAACTTTTTTTACCTGCAATAAATTACAAAAATTAAGAGAAAACGTTTTTAAACTTGAAACCTTTCCCCATGAAACAGAAAATGATTTTTTCTTACAATGACCATTCAAAGTCGGTTGCCAAATCCACATTGTGCCATCAAACCTATATTTTTTTCCCTTCTTCACAAATTCGGTGGCATTGACACAAGAGCATGAAAAGCAACACACGCGGCTTATGCTCCCTAATACGGCCAAAAAGGAATTCCGGTTTTTTTGGCGGTAAGAAGTTGAGAGGTCGCGACCCCCAGTCCTTTTCTGTTTGGCAGTCGGCCTTTTTTTGCCAAATTTTCAACTCCTGTAAAGTTTTTCCCATTTTTTTGTAATATTTATCCGTTTTGGTAGAAAAAAATATTTCATCCCTGTTTCAGGACCGTTTTGAATAAAGATTTTTTTATAAAATAAATATATTTTTCATGAATAAATAATTCTTTTCTAAATATAATCTTCATCAGTTTTTTTCTTTTCTTCATTTTATTTCAGGCCCTCATTCAGACTTGAGCCTTTCCTTCCCAACTTTCGATTAACTGGAATTTTTGATTTCGCAAGAAGAACAAAATATTTTTTTCATCCTGCGGACCTCGATTTACAGACAAATTGGCGTGAGCGTACGCTTGTTTTCAAAAAATAGAAAATATTCTCACCTCAATTACCTTTTTTTCTCAAGCCAAAAATCCAATTTTATTTCAAAATAACATTTTTTTAGAGATCTCATGAAGAATCCATAGCAAATTGTCGATATTTTTTTGTGCGAAGAAGAATTTTTCAACGCTCAACGTGAAAAAAATATGGGTTGAAGGCTCTTGCTCATTAGAAAATCAAAGATCGCTTTAATGGTTTCTAATATGGATGAATGCCAAAAAGGAGAAAAAGTACAATGATCAGATACTTTTGAACTTTTTTCTGGACCTTTATTGTTTTAAATCGATCCAGAAAGTATTGTAAATCTAACCGAGTAAGCTTCCGCCTCTGAAAGAATGAATTTCTGAGCTCAAAAATCACATTTTAGTTAACTTTTTGAAACAAAAAGGATTTAAAAAGGCATACATTTTAAAGAACTGATTCTTTGCGGCCGATTGGCCACGCAATTTCGTCCCCCAAACTTGTCCGTCCACCTGAAATAGGAAATAGGACAAGCACATGACAGTGTGGAGGCCTAAAAAACATGCCAAAATACTCAAGGGTCAATCAATCTTTGGTTAATGATGCCGCGCACCCCCTTGCTTACCGTACTTTCTCCGCGGCAGCTTGGCCACAAAACCACCTGACTGTTTCCTTAGAGAGAGTTTCTGGATTGTTTAGCAACAATGGGAGAACATCGAAAAGATTCAAATTTTCTTCTGAAAACAAAACGAAAAAATTAACGTTCATCCTTCAGTTTTTATACGGAATAAACTGAAAAGATGATTCACGTCATTTTTTTCACTTCTTTGGGATTGACCTGCTTGACGACATGTTGTTATTATTCGATTTTGTGCGAGTGTTTTTTCATCCAAACAAGGTCAAGCTAAGCTGGATCCATTCTCCTGCTATGAAACTTTTTCGGAGCCTTTCGGAGATTTTTTTGGTTTCCAAACTTGTTCAGAGTTTTTTTGATACTTCGCTTTCAGCTCTTCTTTTTGTTATAAAGAGTTTTTTCATCTTCTTTTCATTCAATTTTTTTTATCTCAGGCTTCGAGCAAATTTTATAAAATTTTCAGAAAATAATGATATTTTCAACTTATCAGAAAGCCAATTTCTGAGCTCCCACCAATTTTTTCATTCCTTTTCTATAGTTCAGGTAGTATTATTTTTCATCTTTGATTCTGATTTCCTAATATTTTTGCCTTCAAGTACCCCAGAAATGATTTTCGAACAGACTATACCAATTTCCTTGCAACTGTCTAACGCCAAGGCATTGATGACAGCTGATGAGGCGGATGGAAAAACGAAGCCGAAAAAAAGAAATGAGAGAAGAAACAGAGATGTGGCGCAACTTGGAAGGGCGCCGAACGCGCCGCCAGGTAAAAGCGTGTGATGCAACGTCACCTGTAGGGGTCATCGCTTGTCAAGAAGCCGACGCGCGATTCATCGCCGTTGCGTCAACGACTTTTTCCCCCCGGAATGGATGGCTCCCCTTGCGCAACCGGCTGCCATTTCCAGAAGTTTGTCACGTCGGCACGGATTTTTGAAAAAAAGCAACAGTCAAAACTTGGAAAAAATAGTTTTTTTCAACTACCTCTCAATATTCACAGTTTTTTAAATAGTTTAACAAAAAATTCTCAACTTTTTGGAACTTGAGAAAAAGTTTTTCATCAAAATTTTGAAGGAACTGAATTTGATCTCAATTAGGCCCAAAACCTTACATGACCAAACATTCACAACCAAGGAACTTTTTACAACTTCATCTCCGTTGCAAAGATGCGTTTTCACATGGATAGCCTTTTTGGATGGTTCTCAGCACTTTTTTCGCGCAAGCGGCTGCCATCACCAAAAGTTTTTCACGTCGGCGAAGGTTTTACAACTTTTTAGAACTTGGGAAAGGAAAAAAAAGTAAGTAGCATCATCTTTCAGGCCATCGAGTTAAAATCATTGAAGGCTTTACTAGCTCAAAAAAAATTTATAAAAGTTTGAGATCAAAACTCTATCTCGAGATAAAAATTTTCGAAATCGAACAGAAGCCTTTGGAAAACTCTCCCAAAGCCATATCGATCTCTATGCCGCTTCAGGGGTCTCTAGAAGTTTGCAAAGAACACCGAACCGTCTTAGGCCTGAAAACGACCGTTGGTCGCAACTTGGAAGAACTTCTCTCGCTTACTTGTTTAGATGGCCTCAACCGGTTTCCTAGAGAAAAAAAAACTTCTTCCTTCTGAGTCACAGAACATTTGAATTTTTTTCAGCTTTTATGAGGCGGGATGGGCGTTTAGTGGAGAATTAGCAACCCTAACTGGGTTTTCGGTCAAATTAGGGAAAAACAGAAGAACATTGAAAAAAGTTTTTTGATCATTATCTGGTGATTTTTCGATTATTTTGTAATTTTCAGAGAAATCTTCGAAAAGGTTCGAATGTGTGACAACTGGAACAAAAAAGGGGGAAGAGACTCCATGAAAAAAGACGAAAATTTAATTTTTGAGAGCCAAAAAGGTAAATAAGAAAGTAACTCCTCATTTGAGACAAACGAAAACAATCAAAAGTCGCGATAAACCTCGTCAACTTGACCTTTCCCCGCTGAATCTGCCGCAAAACCTTGTCGGAGTCAAGTTCTTAGACGGGAAAATCATGAAAACTCTCATTTCTTTCATGGAGAGCTTCCGTTTGAAAATCTGTCAGCATTGTAATCTTATCTTTATCATACATTTTTTCATTTTTTTTTGTCAGAATACTGTTTTGTCCAACTACTCGGACCTTGATAACGCGAGCGGGACGCCAATCGGACGTGTCGGGGCACTTCTAGTGACCACTTTAGTAGCCTCAGCACTCTTAAGTGATACTTAGAATCGTCCGGAGCACGTCCGTTTCGCGTTACCAATGTCGGAGTAGGGAGGGGTCCGAATCAACTTTGAAAGAAAAATTTTGTTTCAGAGCGCTATTGCCTTTTCGGCTTCTTCGAGTTGAATTTTCAGTCAAGAGACTTTGAGAGCTCTAAGAAAATTCTAAAAAGAATTATTTAGCGTAAATCACGCCAAGCCTCTTCAGCGTGACCTCAAGTCCTTGAATCGTAGACTTTTTTTTTCAAAAAAAGATTCCATATCCAACTCGGGTCATATGGTATCGCTGTCAACACGAGCTCGTAAGCGATTTGGCCCTGAAATGTCGACAAAATCCTTGTGGCGCGCCACCCAGGACGATTAGCTTGCCGTTTGACCCAGAAAAGCATTGCATGACGCAGGGTTTTGCCGCTTTTCGGCCCTTTAATAGCATTTTGTTCCATCCAGCGTTGCGCAACTTTGTTTTGATATCATTCCTATTCTGAATAATTGTTGTTTATTGCATCTTCAATGTAAGAATACATGTGCAATCGACTTTCATTGAGTTAACTGTGTGTGAACGGCGGTAGGAACTGTGGCTTAAGCAGAGAAGTTGTGAATGTCGCTCGTAGAACATCAGGTACAAGAGAGGTCGTAGGAAGAAGTACGGTGCCGGCTTTCCGAAGGCCCATGGCAGAAATTGAGCCTTTTCGCTGCATGCAGCTCCCAATTTTATCTACCCCGGAGGGATGAAAAGCTTGGTCGACCTCGGGGGGACTCGAACCTACGACCTTGCGGACGTTAGAAATGGGTTATGCCAGCTGAGCTATGCCGCCCCATTCTGAATAATCTTTCAAACTTATTTTGGTTGATCGAATATCTCAGATTTTTTCAATTTGCTCATCATTTTACCTCTTCTTTCCCCTATGGAAGCCTTCTTTCCTGTTTCACTTTTGTCATAATAGTTTTTTTTGTATTTTTGATGTTGTGGTTTATCCCATTTCTTGTCACTATAAAAACTTTTATATATTTGTTTACAAATGATTATCGAAACTCTTATTTGCAACCACAAGCAAGCTCTTTTTTGGAACGAACTATTTCCGAAATTGTCCCAGCACTCCATTTTTTCACGAATCTTCTGGTCCTCCTTTTCCAAGAAAAAAAACCACCGTTTTTGCATAGCCAGGTGGCGCTAGCAAAATTTTTTGGTTTACATTCCCGAAGTAGATTTTGCAACACTTAAAAAAAAGTTTTTTTCCGTGAAAGAACTTGGCCCAGGTGCCACTAAAGAAATATTTTTCAAAAAAGAAAAATTTCGAAATTGAGCTGAGATTTTGTAAATGATGAAACAGTAAAGTAACACACTAAAAAAATTTTTTTATACTTTTCATACTACATTACCAAAGTTTATTTGAACACGCTGTTGGCTCTTATTTCTTCAGATTGGTATATAGCTTCTTATTTTTGGTTCTTTTTTCTTTGAACGCCTTCAAACTTTTCTTTTTACAAGAATACTGAAATAGCAGTCCGCAAACTCCGTTGAAAAGCTGATGATTTGAATTTAGGAAGGCTCGACGTTCAAGTTTGGCAAAATTATTCAAAGAATCAGCCTCAAGAATCCTGAAAAACAATAGCCATATTTCTCCGTCCCTTATTCCAAAACCTCTTCCAACCATCCCAGACGTTTCTGACCGCACTATACAGTCGACGGCTGGCAAGCCGATGACCTACCTAACCTGACGTGACAGATGCCAGGTTATCAGTGCGATCTGGCTGGATAGGCGCGGCTAGGAAACGAAGGTTAGAGCGGCAACAGTGGATCTGTGATAGCTGATGGCCGTTCCGACCGAAGGCTGGCCCGTTATTATGCGCGACCGCGGCCAAGGCCGTTCGGGACCACTCTCGCTTGCCCACATTTGCATTCCGTATAACCCTGGGATAGCTGCCCGACCAAGTGCGGCTTATTGTAAAGATTCGAGGTGAATGGAACCGTGAGGATTGGTGTGAAAGTGTTTCTTTTTTACCATGTAACTATTCTAGACCTTTACTTTTTTTTTTGTGAGCACAGAGCCGTTGATTCAGACCGAAAAATATTGGAAAGAAAGGAAAAATGATTTTTTCTGAATTTTTCAAGGATTTTTGCAGTCACATTTGATTATCGGATCTTCAAAATGAATTAACCAGCTACTGTGAATGATTTATGCGTTTTTTCCGAAGGCGCGATGTTTTTCGAATAATTTTTTCCATCGTTTAAAGAGGCGAACAAGAGTCAAAACTTCAAAAAAGTCGAAAAAATTGCTTTATTTCAATTTTCGTCCATTTTTGGGCCTTCAAAAGGATTTTCGACATTTTCTGGAAGTTTAAAAAAGTGAAATTTTATTGTTTTGTTGTGAAAGTTTCCTACCACATTCAGTCATTATCGGATCCCCAAAGCTTAGAAACTCATGCTCCAAATCTTATGCCACTAGACTGAACCATCTTCCATCTGCAACCACAAATCCAGAGCCGATCCAACCGGGTGGGCGCGAAAATCGTGCCGACGAAAATAATTAAATCGTTTAGCGAGCCGAAGAGCTGCACGTTGGCAAGAAAGAAAAAAAAAAACATAAATTTGAAACAAGGGTAGAGGCCGCCAAAAAATTTCACGCAACGTTGGGACCCATCCTCTTTGTCCGGTAATAAATGTTTGGTATCATATTGCGCGCCCCGTCGCACCACAGCTTTGCTTCACTTTTTTCTGGTTCCGCTGAGACTTTGCTTTTCTACAGGAAAATAAGTTTTTGTATCGTACTGAAGCTTTTCTTCAATATTGAAAGGCTTTTTTGCAAAACCAAATCATTTTCCAGCTTCTCACAAGATTCTTTTAAACTTGAAACCCCGAAAAAAACATTTTTCGACGTTGAACGCTCTTTTCAATCCAAGCTTTTCCTCAATCTATCTTCAAAGTTTGTTTTTATAGGTTTTTTTTGCTCGAAAGATACGTTATCAAGCTCTTTCAGCTTTCTCTTTGAAAGCTTTCCCTCCTACGCGCAGTTTCTTCTTCTGATACCTGACCTTGTTGTTTTCTTCCTTCAGCTTCTCAGAAATTTTTATTTCTATATATTTCGAAGGAAATTCGAATAAGCTGAAATTTTGAAAAACAGTTCATTTTTCCCTAGATTTAAATTTTTTTCTAATCTCATTGAGTCCAAGTTTTTTTCTTCCAATTGTTTTCAATACTTTTTCTCGAAAAATGTTAGGAAGATTTTTTTATTTTTATTTTTAAGCCAAACTTTCTTATTCTGACCTTTTCCGAATTTTTTTCAAACCAAAAAAATTAACTCAAGTTATCCCCCAAAAAGACTGAAAAATAACATCTGTTGTGTTGGAAAATTTTCAAATTCCATTAAAAAAAAGGTAAAAAGCGATAGTTTTGCGCGTGACGGAATTGCGCAACTGCTAACCCATCCGCCTCTTTTCTATGCCCAATCTGACTTAGCGGACGCTCTCGGCCAATTTTACAAAACCAGTTCTGCGACCCCGAGGACAGCTGGCTGTCGAAAAATTTTTGGCTGCCTCCTGCGTGACGCTGCAATTCTTTTTCGGCTTACCTTTTTTACCGTTCCGTGTTTTCCCGAATTCTCAGAAAAAAGTTAAGCGATTCCCAAAAAAGAACGTCTGACCTTGATTAGCTCCATATCAATTTCTTCTTGTTTTTTTTTTATTTTCCGGGCAATTTTATATCGCAACATTTGCCCTTGCCCTCTTCTTGATTGGCTTATTATCTGTAGCATTTTCGGCTTTTTATGCAGCCATAGTGCATTTGATCCGCCATCGCATTTTCACCAGAATCGGAGGCAATTTTCGAATTTTTCCATGGATAATCTTGCGATTCGAGCATTTTACTCTTCAGTGAGCGAATCGTGAGAACTCACAGGCAAAGGAAAAATTTTGGCAAGCTTCTCTTGCACTAAACAAGTCGTGAGAACAAATCGCAAGGCGAAAAAGTCGATACGACGGCCGAGAATTGAAATAATTCTGTTTATTTGCCGATGTTCCTCAAATTTTTTTGTTGAAAAACATGATCAACTACGAAAAAGAACGGAAATCTATCAAATTCAGCTCAAATCTCCATAATTCGGACTATTTTTCAGGTATTGATTTTTCAGGAAACGATCATATCTCACTTTAATATTTGGAATCTAGGAGCACCGACTGATAATCCGATTTTTTTTCTCCATAATTTTTTTACATTTCATTTTTTTAATCTCAGCTTCGCAAATTGAAAAAAATAGAACAGGCCTTCCGAGAAGTAAATTTTTTTATTTTTTTCATAAGTTAAGTAATCGCTGCTTTTAGTGAAAAAAATTCGCTTTTTTTCGTTGGGAACGTTATTCAAAAGCTTGAAAAGAAGTATATTTCATAAGTAATCGGCTCAAACTTCGAGAAAATCTTGTCTCTAGCTTCCTGATGCGGTTTTTTTATCGTTATCAAAAAAATTTTCATTTTTTTAAAATGCCAAATTCAATTGAGCTGGTAGGAAATATCCAACCGGTTGATCCATATAATTAGGTGCTGAGCTTTTTCAAAGCCTTTTTTTAAAAAGACTTTTTTTAGAATGAAACAATGTTTATCGAACCTACAACGCTTTTGTTTATCATCTGACCTTCTTCAGGCCTTTCACGGCTATGAAAACACTGTCTTGTTTTTTTGCTTGTAAACTTCCTGTTCCTGTTTTCTAAAAAAAAATTTTTTCTGATTTTTTTTGCAACTAGTAAGCGTTTTTGATGCTTTATTCGTTATTGGGCTCTTTATCGAGCCCATTTGGCTTTACAAAATCAAGAAGATAGTAGCCGAAAAGATCATATTTTGAAGTTTTCATCATGATCCCAGTACTGATCTAGAGATGGAACTTTAGTTGACTAGAAAAAGTTTCGTTATCTTCAGTTTCTAAAGTTTCAAACGCTTTCAAAGACGTCCCAGAGAGCTAAAGACGGTAGATGGTCATCTGAACTTTCTCTGTTCACCTCGGATGACCGAAGGTTTGACCTCCAACGGACCTTATACGGCTTCAGAGAGACGGTCATATCTCCAAGAGCACGCAGCAGTCGTGCCTAGCTCCGCCCACTTTGCTTAGGCGTGGTAGAGGAGTTGCGGCTAGGCAGTTGCATATTTGGCTGGTGCTCGTCGGCTGGCAGCCCCGTCCTGGAATTGTTCCTCCCTATCTTCTCTTCGTCTTCACTGTCGTCTTTTTCTTTGGTGAGGTTATCGTTATCAGTTGTTCGTCAGCTGTGTTACAACAACTCCTTCTGTGGTCGCTTTTTGATACTTGAGGCCTTCCGATTTCTTCCTTGTGTGGTTTCTGATTGATTAGGGTTTTTTTTTAAATGTTTAGTAGTTTTAGTTCAAAAATCATGTTTGAAAGCACAAGATCAAGCTGAAGCTTTCAATTTCCATTTTTTCAAGGTGCAAAAAGCAAAAGCGGTTGGGCCAAAAATGTTTTTAACCCCCTGATCAGTCATACTGAAAAAAAAGCTCAGAAGATCAAATCTCTGATGACTGGATAAGCAGAAACTGAGTTCAAAAACTTCATTTGATCTTGTTGATCAAGGATATTTCTCCAGCACATAGAAATGAGAAGGAAATAACCCAATATTGAGCTTGAAGTCCAAGTCTTGAATAGCTTCCAAAATCTGAACTTTCGAAAATACCTTCTCAAGCTCCATGTAGGAAAATCTCAATTTCTACTTTTTAGATCTATAGGCTAGCTTTATCCAATCACAACGCGAAAGGCGCAAAGCCAACACCATTTTTCGAGCTTTTTTTCCGAGCAGCTTCTTTTAAGATCAAAAAGTCCAAGAGCAACGTGTGGCGCACACGCACTTAAGCTACCGTATCCGTTCTCCTCCGCTGCTCACTCAAGCTTATTGACAGTAGTATTTTATTTGGCTAGCGGAGGGTCGCTAGTGAGTGAGACGCACACTTTTCGCGCCCTCATTGGCTATTATGCGGCTGCGGGCTCGACGGCTGTTTTACATTATTGTTATATATCGAATCGACACACGTTTGCAAGCAAATAGACTGTGTCCAAAGAGGGCGAGACAGTGTCAAAACGCACACTTCGGCCCGGGGGGGACCTAGGTAGCTCGGCTCTTGAATGCGTACTTCTGCGCCGCCGCCGCCGCCGCACCTTCTTCTTCTTCTAACTCATAACAACCGACAAACGCTCACTCACTCATTTTTCAATTGCTTCCTTGTTCGTCCCGCCTCTCAGCACCGTTCTTATCCGTTCAAAAATCTGCTCTTTTCATTTTTGAAAGCCTTTTTTTTCAATCATTTTTATGCTCTTTAAAAAAAAGCATGAAACTTTCTATGAAAACCTTCATCAAAAAAAATCAGTAAAGTTCTTTTAAAAATCAGCTGTTTTTCCTTTTCAAAGTTGCGATCTTGTTCTAACTGCTTCTTTCACTATTGTAAGTCATGCCAAGAACTCTCATCTCTACTGTTCGTTCTATTCGTCAAACTCGCCATTTTCCCATTTTCAAAGAAATTTACGATCTAGCTGTTTTTCTTGATATTTTTTTTCTCTTTTTAAAACGTTTATTTAAGCTTTGAACTTTTTCTATCACAAATGAAGCAATTCAAAGAATCCATTAAATTTTTTTCGTCTTTTTGAAGGAAGCAGAAGACGATAATCTTCTAGAATAACTTCAAAAACGATATCTCAAAAAAATGTCTTTTTTTGCAATTCAAAAACTTCATTAAGTTGCTTTTTATTCAAATCAATCCTGACCGTTTTTGATTAACAGTCCTCCTCATCATTTTAAAAAAAATCGAATTCTCAACTTCTCACTTCCCTTTTTTCTGAATATTTTTTTTCATTTTTCGCGATTTTTTCAATTTTTTTCCCGCTTCTTGCTTGAATGAGCTCAAAAGGATACTCAATGGAAAATTTTACAGATGCCCTACCGCGCAGAGCTCAAAAGGCCTGATCTCAAAGGTTAGTTAGATCTCCGGAACTTTTTTCTCGCTTGATTGAATTAAAACTGATCCGGCTAAAAAAATTATTTTCTCAAGTTCGATTATGAGGAAACTACAAAAAATGAAAAAAATTCGGAAAAACTTCCTACGAGCCATTTTCTAATTTAAATGTCGGCAAAAGTCGGTGAATCGAACTACTAGCTAAGCCAAAAAAGTTTTGCTTTCAACCGAAAATTTCGAGAGCGAGGCCACAGCTTTGCTTTGTATGGCGTTTCAAGGGCCTTCTTCTTTGATGAGGGTCCGCCGAAAGCGGCTGACCCCAATCCTCGTCGCAATAACACTTGCGCAATTCCTTCTTCAACAGTTTCCAACTCGCCAAAAATTTCTTTGATTAAAGCCTTGACTGCGGCGCACGTGTTGATTGCGCAAGCCGGTGTCGTTAGTCGAAAAGTCAGCCGCTTTGGATTTCCGCTGCTTTTCTTGGGAAGAAAGGCACAGCTGGGAAGCCGGCGCACGTGCATGAAAACTGTGGATTTTCAGCTAACAAGGAAAAAATCAAAAAGGGGAATTGGATGGGCTTGAAGGTTGAAGATTGATTTTTGAAATCACAGATAGGATTCGATTTTTCAAGATTTTTATTCATAAGTAGAAATCATTGATCTAAATGTTTGATGATAGATTATCGTGTTTTTTTAATTTCTGTGGGAGAAAAAGCCTTCCAGCACAAACTCATTTACGTTTTCCCATTGATCTAAGAACCGAATTTTGGATTTCTGAGGTTCTGAAATCATTTTTGAGAAGACTTTAACCAGCTAATCACATTCTCAGAAAGAATGATAAAAGATTCCGAAAAGGCTCAGATAGGAGTTTATTAGCTTTCCGGCCACTTAAGAATATATCAAAAAAACTGCTTTTCAATTATAAGAAGACAATCAGTTTCTCAAGCTTATAGATTTTCCAGGTACATTGCTAGCCTCAACCTACTGTTTTCCAGGATCTTTCCCCTGCTCGGTATGCGGTAAAATCTTCTGCCACTCGTCTTCTCTCAGCCGCCACCGTATGCAGGCCCACTTCAAAAGCTACACCTGTACGCAGTGCAGCCAGGAGATTTCCAGTCAGTTTCTCCTCGCATTCTTCTTCCCTTTGTGCCTTGTCAGGACTGTACCTGACGGTTGCCCGGAAAAATCCTTTGTCACAACGAGAAAAACCCTCCGTTCGCATATTGAAGGCAACAGTGTCGAGCATTCCCTTTTTTGTTATGCTGGAAACGAACAAATGCGCGCCTGACTTTTTACGAAGTTTTTTCTTTCTCTTTTGTGTTCTGCTAAATATTAAGGGTTACGGTGGAATGAGGGAGCTCTAGAGTTTGAAAAAAATTCGTCCTTCCGACTTCTGAGAAGACTAAGAGGGAAAAAAAGCTTCTGAATTTGAAAATCGTCTTTTTTGGATTTTGTTTTTGATTAACTTCGGAATTGATTTAAAATATTTGAAAAAAAAATGTGCAGAACTTTTTCCAAAAAAAAGCAGACAAAAGTTGGATCCTGATCGAGTTCAAGGTTTACATGTTAATCAATAAGTGAAATTTACGAGCTGAAGCTTGAAAACCTTATTTTAGGATTTTCATTGAGCTGATTTTTAGAGTTCGAAGACAGTTCCTTTAAAGATAGTGTTCCAAAAAGGTCGCAAATTCAGGGTTTCTAGCGACTTCCCAGCTATTTTCATGAATTATCGGCGCCAACCGCCTACGATCCGAACCAAAATACACTTCCGGAAGGCAAAAAACTGCACTCCCCCAACCTCGCTTATGACCTCTCTGTATAGACCTCGCTATTTCGTTTCCTTTTTTTTGAAGCGAGAGTTTTATTTGGGCACCAACTCTCGAGGCTTACCGCAGTGCCGTGGAAACCAGTTGGCCGCCCCGGTGATTATAGTCGACATTGTTGATACTTTTTGCCAAACGACCGTGTGAGTAACCTTGCGAATATCCACCGATAGTGCTTCGGGGCTTAGTTTAGAAAAAAGCTTCTGAAAAAAATCTGTAGATTCCGGAAATTTTCTCACTTTGCAGTTTCAAGTTGGAATCGCTCAAAATCATCAAAACTCACTATGAGAAAATTTAGGAAACCAGACCATTATAGAGTAAGAAAAGCTCAAGTTCAGCTTTTATAGAGTAAATTAACTAAGCTTGAACTGTAATTTGAAACAGAGGTTTCGAGATTTTTTCCCAATACTTCTAAGCTCCCAGTTCAACCTTTATTCTTTTCTAGAAGTTTGAAGCTAAATTTTTTAAGCGTTTTTAAAGAAATTTCAAACTCTGAAGGCGGCAGTTTTTTTTTCGAATTGGCAATTCGTGGCTTCCCAGTGACTACACCATCTCTGAACTTTAGAAAGTTCATCCAAAAACGAAAGTGTTAGGAGAGATTTACGAGAACCAGCAAGTCGTTCATCCAATTTTTGGCTGTGAATGGCCTTGGCCGCAGATATCTGATGAGCTCCGTCGGCGCAACATGTCGTTGCAGCCGTTCGCCTCCGTATCGTAGCCACTTATCTGTTTCGGCGTTACTGTTCGGCATGGCTAGGGAAATGCAAAAGAAATCCCAGAGAAAGTGTTGCTAAGATAGATAATGATTTTCGATCCGGGGAAGGTGACAATTTTCTTGAAAATTCAAAACTTAGAGGCCTCTCGATCATTAGAAAGCTTTATGAATCATAAAAAATATTTTCACTAGGGAACGTTTTTCATCCCCCGGTTCAACTTTTGCTGAAACTTTGCTGGAGTGTGTTTTAGGGCCCTCTGATTTCAGAACAGAAAGAAATTTTTTTGCAACAGATCTCGTTTTCGAGTTAGGACACTTCAAAAGCTTCAAATAGCACTTTTTTGGACTAATTTGCGTATTTTGCCCACTTTGAATCTCCATAACTCGGAAACAAGATCTATTGCGAGAAATTTTTTTTGAGCTGCAATCAGGGGGTCCTGAAGTACACTTCAGCTAAGTTTCAGCAAAAGTTCAACCGGGAGGTTAAAACGTTCCATGGTCAGCGAAACTTTCTCATACACTCTCAATAGCTATAAAAACCTTGAAATTTAGTTCCTTTTTCGAAAAAAAAGCTTAATATTTTTTCCAGCAATGAGTGATCAAAACTGATCAGGCGAAAATTACCCCAAACTTTCAGAAATCTCCCCGAAGACTTGTTAACCAAAATGCCTTTTCCAGCCATTTTTCGGCTTCCCATCATCAAGTCACTTTACCAACAAGCTGTCGCGAGCTACAGTAATCAAATCGAGCAAATATTTGAAAGAAAGCTGTCGCACACGGTAGTGCTAATCGGCTTCGCAACACGTGCTTGCCCTCACCTTTTAGCACAAATTTACCACACGACACCTTTGACGGCTCAGCTCTTGAGCATATATTTGCTCGAAATATTTCGGTTTGGTTAATTAACGGTGTTCCTTCACCTTGTTTCCGGCACCTTGTTGACTAATGATACTCTCAAGGTGACTGACCCCGGCGCTTTTCAACGCGTTGCGCCACTTGTCCGCCCCGTGTTTGTACGATCTAATTGGGGCGGCTTCCTGTGTTGTTTTTCTTCGAGACTCCGAGACCTTTTATGGCATCAATGGGTATCCGACCGAATCTACGAGATAATGGGTCACAATGGTTTTTTTTGGGGCTGACGAAAATCAGATTCGAAGAAAAGCACTGTCTAAATCGACAGTTTATTCGTTGCACGCTTGAAATATTATTTTCTGATTTTTCTAGAAATTACCACCAAAGTCTTGAGCTTTCAGAAGAACAAAGACGTCTACACGTGCTCAAAAGAGCTCAGTCGTTTTTTCTCCAACTTTTACAACTAGAAACTTCTATTTTGGAGCTTTTTGTTAGTTAAAGTTACTCAAGAGTTTCTGGCCTAATCGAAAAAACCAAAAATTTTCCGTTGATAAACAAAAATGAGACTTTCATGCCATTTTTCCCGAGTTCCTCAAGATTCGCCAATTAGCCTCCATTTTCTCTTCCCTAATCCCAAGGACGTTTTATGATACCTCATTACTAAGCACCTTGGCTCAAAGATTTTCCATGAATACTCTCAAGTCTCCGAGACGTACTGTATTGTTAGGCAGTTAGACACGCTTCAACGAATCCTAGGTCATTGGCGAAAGTTTAAGGAGAGTGGGCGCGGGCCACAAATTACGGCTAAGAGCATTTGTTGTTGGTTACATGAAAGAACCTAATTAGTGGAGAATCAAGATTGCCTTTTATTTCTTTGTGAAAAACTATAGATAATGAGATAAGAATAGAAGGAATTGTTCACCTCAGAAGTTTTCGATAAAAAATTGGAAATTTTAAGCTTCTGAAAAAGGGGGCTTTCTAAAGGGGTTCTAATCACTTCATTCTGATTTTTTATCTGATACGCAGGTCAAGGCCCTCTTACCTGGTAAATCAGAAAGTTTTTCTGAAAATCTAAGGTGCCAAATGAAATGAAATTCCTCCAAAGAAAATTATCGAAAGAAGGACTTTATATTCCTTTTTTATTGTATTTCTTCTCATTTCGTACTCTCGACCGCCACAAAATCACAACCAAACAAAGCCGGTCGTCGTCGGGCAGTGACGAGATTTAGTTGGAGATTTAGCGCGCTTGCGCAACGTATCTCGCAACAAAACAGCCGTATAAGCGGATACCTTTTCCAAAACAGAAAGTACCTATTAGCGGCTGTTTTGGTGGAAGAGAAAGGGATATTTGGAACAATGCGCAGAGGTTGCATGAGTCAGAGGGGAGCAGTCATACTGGAACCGGTGTGAGAAGGAAAAAAGTTGACTTATGCATATACTCATGGGAGAGGGTTTGAAAGTTTTTGTTCGCAAGGGAGTTTCTTGGATTTTTGCGTAATTGATCCAGCAACTCTGTTTTTCAACTTCAATTTTTAAAGAAAAGAAGTGAAATTTGTATACAGAGCGGTCAAGAATGTATTGTGTGGCAAAAATTAGCGGCTGAAACTTTTTTAAGTTTTTTTACAGAAAAAGTTATAAATTTTTGCCATTTAAAAATTTCAGAATTATCTTTGAATCATTTTGTTCAAAAAAAAATTATTTGTGGAATCACTTGAGAAAGAAATTTATTGATCATAATCGAAACTTCATTGAATTTATTCAAACACATTCTTTCAAAAATTCAGAAAAAAATGACAAAAATACTAATAACATGTCAAAACTATTTCGAGCCTCTAATAAATATCAAAATAATCATGTATTTTTTTCCGACAATTTCCTTCATGTTTTTTTTTCAAAACAACACTTCTGCGCTCCAACGAAATCCATTGGAAATTTCGCCAGCACTGTTGCTTGTCGGTATTTGTTGTGCGACGCCATCGCGAACGTGCTAATTGCCATGCGAATCGAGCAGCCCGCCAACACAAAAGAAAGGGGAAGACAGCTCTATCGGCGTCTGCATATCAAATTTCCCAATTGCATGTACGGTAGAGCCAATTGGCTGCTCTCCCAATTATTTATGCGCAAAACCGGCGTGTTTCCACTGCCGAAGCTGTCTTTGTTTCAAAAATGGATAAAGGGGGAACCATTTCCTTGGAGAGAACATTTTCAACCATTTCGGTTCATCCGTAACAGGCTGACCGTTATAAAACCACAAACGGCGTAAAAAAGAAATAAATACAATATATTCTAGAAAAACCGTTTTAAACAAGATTTTATCTGATTTTTTTGGTTTCAAGCATGAAAAATTTAATTCACTGGATCTCATTTTTCCAAGTTTTGAATTTTATAACTTCACCATTTTGGCCTCAAATTTTCATTTTTTTTTTCCTTTCAAACAAGGTTTTTCTTTATTATGAGTCTCATATTTGTTTTTTAGAACGCTCTCTTGGAGTTCAAATCAAATCTTTATTTCTTTTGGTTCACTTTTAGATGGAGTTTTCAAGAATTTTAGGTCTTTACTCAAATTGCAGACCTTTATTTGTTTGCTAAAACTGTCTAGTAGCGAAAAAAATCCTTGAAAAAAAGTTAAAGTTAAATTTTTTCAGGCAATGAAACGCTCCGATCCCACATGTTCCGGATGCACAGCATTTCGAGAATGTTCATGTGCCGATGCTGCAATTGGGCCTTCCCCGACAAGACCAGCCTTCATATTCATATGCAGAGCATGCTCAGGACTGGAACTCCTGGCGACGTCGCAGTTCTTGCCAGAAGCTCGACTGAAGGTATCGTAGATAAAAATTAAGATTTAAACTTTTCACAAAAACTTAAGAAAATAATATTTAAAGTTGGTATGAACCTTATTCCTTAAGACTCAATTTTTTCAGACGGTCCGTGCGAGGACCATTCTCCACGCGGCTCACCATCCTTCTCAGCTGAATCTCTCCTGAAGCAGCAGATCATGAACGCCGCCAACAACAACACGGCCCTTTCCAATAACAATTCGATGAGCTCCATCTTCCCGAACCTTCTGAAGGCGGCTGAATCCGTCCCCAAGCCTGTCTTGCCCATGGATCTGTCGTCTTTGGCTCCGAATCAGTGGCTGAGCGCCTGGCTTGCAAATAACCCTCTGAACGGCAATCTCGGTCTCAATAATCCTGCCAGATCGAATGATGAACCGTTGAACCTCAGTAATGTGAGTCTACACTTTCAAACAGGGACTTTTTTTGATTTTTACTTCATAAAACGTCATAGAAAAAGCATGAGCTGCTTGGATTTTATATGAATTTTTTTTTAATTTTTCAATTTACTAAACTCAGAACCAAGACGCCTTAAACTCCTTGCTCAGGGAAGCTTTGGCTTCTGTTGTTAGCTTGATGTCGCAAATCTTTTTTTTTTTGGTAGTTTTAGAGCCTTGAACTGAACTATTACGAACCAAAAAATCAACACGATCTCCGAATCTGATCTACTTGGTCTCCTGATACGACCAACATCAATTTATCGTTTTCTTCTTTAGGATGACGTCAAAATCGAAAGCGAGGACGACTACGATGAGCTGGAAGTTCATACAACCGAAGAAGACATCAAGGACGAGGTGGGCTATAAATTATATCAAGCATCTTTGAACTTCAGTAAAAGTAAACCAATGTAGCCTTGACTATTGATTTTGCAGGACGGCGGCACGAGTGAAGTCAGTCCGACATCAGTGATCGTCAAGTTGGAATCGAAGAAACCGGTGCAGAAGAGAAAAATGACCGCCGATGACTTGGACGACATCGACGTCGAGGGCGATGACGTAAGCAACTTTTACCACTTCAGATGTTTGGCGGGGGTCAATGGGGAGTTGAAGGAAAATATTTGCTTCAGAGAAAAAATATTCTGAGTAAATTCATTTTTCTTGGTGGATATGTGCTTAAAAGATTCTAAAATACCTTTTTTCTCAAAGTTAATTTTCAAGTCGAATCTGAGAACCCTTTCAAAAACTAGAGAACTAATAAACAGGAAAAGTGCGTTTGAATTTCAACCCCCATTTTTCGTGGAAAAAATCCCATCAAATCGTAATCCGTTAATTTTACCCATATTCGGTAGTATTGAGGCTCAAGTTCTCAGAAGAAAAATCGATTTTTTTTTTCAACCACACATCATTTTCAGGCTCAACCGCCGCTGAAGATGATGATCGAAGAAAAAGAAGTTCAGCTTTTGCTGGAACAGCCATCGCCGACAGTTTCCGACACCCACACTAGCGGATCTTCTAGCCATCAAGGCGATGTCTCTCCGAAATGCTTCGATTGCCAGGTTCCCTAAATAATTGATGTTTTATTTTTCAAAATATATTTCCAGGTGGCAAAAGGCAAGCTGTCGGCATCGGAGATGAAGCTTCGAGAATATGAGAAGAAGATCCGAGTGCTCGAGGGCAAAATCGAAGACTTCAAGAAACTGAACCCTGAACCTCTTCCGACGCCGTCTCTTCCGGCTTTCGGACCAGCTTTGATGCAGAATCCGGCCGTTTCCCTGTCATTGCTCCAGAACCCGGCGATGAAGATGATCTTGCAGAATTTCATGCAGGCTCAAATGAATCGGTGCTGAACTTCATGTTGTCATTTTTCTTTCAGTTTTTATCACATTTGTCAGAAGCCTTGTGCCTGAGATCGTACGGTCTGTGAATGCGAAAGTGGAAATTTCTCTGAAAATTAACCCTTCGGATTCGCCCTAGCGCGAAAGTCGTTTTGAGTCTGCTGCAAGTGAAAGTATGCATCAGAATCCATTCTTTCTGACTTCGTTAACAAATTTCAAACAAGTTTTCGAGCAGGAATCTTGCAAATTTCCATTTTGATGAGCACACCAGTTAAAATAAGAAGTTTCAACTTTTTCACCGTATAGCCGTCCACAGACCGTAAATCCTCATAAAATTGTATTTTTTGTTGTTTTCTGTCATTCGACCGTTGTTAACCCTGTAAATACAATAATTGACTAGATTAATAAAAAAAGCCAAAAAAACTGTTTCTTAGAGAAACTTTGCTGCTGTTAATTATTTACCTACTAACATTTTCATTTTATCCGTCAAACATACCGCAATACTAGAGACTGGTGATCAAAGTTCCTAGCAATTTCAACGTGCTCTTAAATCCCCCACCAATTGCAATAGGTTTGTAGCCCTTCTCCACACCGAATCCAGGCCTTTACACGGCTTTAAATCCGTTACTGGGTCTTTTTCTTCTGAATATGTACGTTTTTAGTTGCTTCCTTCGCTTGTACCAGTTTGTTTAGTTTTAGCAAGCCGATTGATTTCGAAATGATTCAGGCATGATTTCCCCACATTGCTTTTAATTTTTTTTTTCTTGCATTCCGTTTCGCATTGTGTTTTCGTCTTCTAATCCATTACAACAAGTGCTATTACTATAATATTCTCGCATTTAATTGATGATAAATTTTTCAAGTGATTGCATATTTATTGGAAATTAGGCAGCGAAAGATATAAAGATTGGAAAAGAGGGGGAAAATACTTTTGAACATCCTTATCTTTTTTTAAAGGCATAGGGACAACAGAAAAAATTGAAATTTGAAAGAAACGAAAAGAAAAGCGAAAATCCGAAAAATGGCGAAGCCTGTTGTCCATAGAGCAACTTTACTCCAAAGCGCCCTTTTTGCGGGAACTCAAGGTTTCCTCTCTCTGTTTTAACTGTTTAACTGTTTATTGCATCTTCAATGTAAGAATACATGTGCAATCGACTTTCATTGAGTTAACTGTGTTTAAACGGCGGCAGGAGCTGTGGCTTAGGCAGAGAAGTTGTGAATTTCGCTCGTAGAACATCAGGTACAAGAGAGGTCGTAGGAAGAAGTACGGTGCCGGCTTTCCAAAGGCCGAGGGCAGAGGTTGAGCCTTTTCGCTGCATGCAGCTCCCAATTTTATCTACCCCGGAGGGATGAAAGGCTTGGTCGACCTGGGGGGGACTCGAACCTACGACCTTGCGGACGTTAGAAAATGAGTTATTCCAGCTGAGCTATGCCGCCATTCCAGCTGAGCTATGCCGCCGTTCCTCTCTCTGACTTTAAATAATTTTTTCTTCAAAACTAGGAAGTTTGGTACGTTTCCAAGTTCACCGTCCGATTCGCAATGAAAAGCTCTAAAAAGTACTGCTTTGAACTGAAACACCGTTTTTTACTGCCCCTATGCCTTTAATAAGTGGAAGAGAGGAATTCTTACATAAATGTACTGTTTCAAATTTTCTTCATCTCTTTTTTCCAGTTATAAGGTTTCCTTTGTTCTTTCAAAACAACCAGATCAGAAATTCGATAATTTGTAATTAACACCCTGGAAAAAACTTGAAACAATGTGACATCGGAAGAAAGCGTGTGCTGTTTGAACTAGAAGTTGAAAACCGGTTTACCTTCCCTATCTGAATTCCCGAACTCCTTCGTCATCAGTATTTTTTTTTGGTGTCTGACAGCGACGACGTAGTTCTGATTAAAAACCAACTTCGCCGTTTCAACCAACAACAACAATGCCGTTCAACAGGGTCGTTCGGCTAAATGGTCACTTTTCAGTTGGAGAGGAAATTTTCAAATATGGGAGGGAGAAGATTTTTAGAGAGGGTGGAATCAGAATCCTTGCAAGTATATTTCATCATTTTGTAAGCCTCGGAAAAATCGGAATACTAAAAACATCAAACGACAGGCTCAAAAAGGCCGCAGAAAGGCAGGAAAAAGACAGCAAAAGGAGTCCCTTTTTCGAGTCTTCCATTTTTTCTGTGTTTTTAAAGATTTAAGAAATTGTGGGAAAGGGGAGAGGTCGCAAAAATGGAGTATGAAAGCCGATGAAATGGGACAAAAAGGCGGCAAAAATGAAGTCTTTGTCACCCTTAAAGATAAATTTCTGGGTAGCCTTTTTCCACCCTTTCCGAGCACAGATTTCAAATAGATACGCAGTGACTCTTTCCCAAGAGAAAAACTTATTTGCTCGAGTCAGACCAGTTTTGAGAACGAAAAACGAAAAATCGTGAAAATGAATATTCGAAAAATCATATCTTTGAAGAAACTTTGATTTTGAATTTGAAACTTTTTCCCGGTAAAACAAGTCTTCGGCTTTCTAAAAAACCTAATCAGCCCCCTACCAACCCGATAGTAAGCGTAGTGACTTTTTCTTTGGAAGGCTTTTGGGTTTTGACGCCTCGTCATTCAAATGGACTATACGAGGTCATTTTTGTGTGAGAACACCCTGTATCATGTTGAAAAACTTTGAAACACCCTCAAGAGTGGTTTTACACTGCTTTTTTCAGCTTTCTCATTTTATCCTCTCATTTGACGAGTAAATCGACGGAAGATATTTTCAAGACCTTGAGATTGTTCTGAAGTAAGGGAGGTCTAAAAACTAAGGTAGAACTGAAAGATGAAAGGGGAGGGGGAGACTAAAGAGGGCCTAAACCAGTATTACAAAAATCCCATAACTTCCCGAAACACGGAAAAAAAGGAAGACGGAAGGAATTACTGTTTTTGAATTTCTCCGTATTAACTTCTAAAAAAATGAAAAAAATGATACGAATAGAATGTTTATTGGCTTGAGCTACAAACAGAAAACATTTTTGAGCTCATCGGATTATTTATTCGTAAAAAAACTTGGTGAGTATTTTGCAAAAAAACCGTTTTTCCTTAAAAATTCGTCCATTTATCGATCTTTGAAAAAGTCTTCCAAAGTGAAATAAAAAAATCTGATTCTTATTACGAAAAACTTCAAAAATACATTTTTTTCGAAATAGAAAAAAATTCGAAAGAAAATATCTCATTTGAAAAAAACCAGAAAACAGTGAATCTATCCTAATGAGCGGTTCGTAGAATTTTATACAAAACACGAAGAGCCAACATGCCTGGAACAGTCGTTGGAAGGCTCGAAAGGGCGACGGTTTTATGGAAAAACGCCAATTTGAAAAAGAACTACAGTTATCCAACTTTTTTTCAACTTAAAATAAATTGAAAGACAAAAAAACTTTGAGAATCAAAAGATCTCTTTTCGTGTTTACTTAATACTCCTTCGGCTCACAATGATCACGGCATTTGGCTCTGAAATCCCTTTAGTTGCTTTTTCTGGGCATTGAACGAAATTTTGACGCTATAAATGTACTTTTGCAAAGAAAAAACTTGCTATTCGCCGACAATTTCTAAATTGATTCAGATTACAGATAATTTGCTTGTGATAATCGATTTCTGTCTGAGAAATAGTATCTGTGTTCAATGTAAATAAAAAGTGACTTTGGAAAGCTTCCAGCAATCACTTCTTGCGCAGAGTTTTCATTCTACCTTTCTGTTCTATCTCATAGTTCATGGGAAAAATCGACGAATTAGAAGGTGTTCAGAAGGTTCAGGCAGAGTTCAGAAGCGAACTCAGAGGACCACAACATCGAGAAGAGTGACGAAAATTCGACGCTTTTACACGCTCATATTCCACTAGCTCTGAAAAGAATATTCGAATTGGGCCCTAGAAAAACTGATTTTTTCTGCACACGTCGTCAAAATGTGCTCCCGTTACGTTCATATCAAAACTTTCACGCTTTTAATGTAATTTCGCAAATTTTTCTCAATAAAGATCTACGTTTTACTATAGACATTCACGAATTAATCAATCGAATTTGCAAAGGATTTTCTCGGGACTTCGGTATCATGTTACTAAGGACCCCAAAAAAATGTTGCCTTATTGTTTAAAAAATTGTTTCATGACACGCAGAAATAATGGAATTCAGTGTAAAAAACTGTATATGAGTTCGACTTGATTTAGAAGTTTCATTGTGAGTTTGAAAGGTTTCCAGTAATCATTGCTTGTGCAGAGTTTTTTCTTGCGCTTTCTGTCTGATCTCGGTGAGAATCTCGTGGTTCATAGGAGACATCGCCGAAGTAGAAGGTGTTCAGAAGGTTCAGGCAGAGTTCAAAGGCGAATTCAGAGGACCAGAAGATCGAGAAAAGTGCGCCGAGAGAACTTTTTTAACGATTGCTTTTGGAAATTCATTTCTGTTGCTTCCGTTGAACTATTTCATTTTGATTGCAGTAAATCAATAAAATTTTAGTGGATATTTATTGACCAACCATGGCAAAAAACAATTTTTAAGGGAAATACACAAAAAGAGCAAGGAAAAAAATAGAGCCGCTTCGATTATGTTGGTGCTGGAAAAAAATTTGAGGATTTGTATTATATCTTTCAATGAAAAAAATTGAATTCGAATTCGATTACGTGATGAAATTTTACGAAATTTCAAGCTTTTCAAACAGAAAAAAATCCCATAAAAATTTTTTTATACTACTAGGGCCGTAAGTAGACAATTTTTAGGAAACTTGACGGAAAAAAAGCTGGTAAAAGTTGGAAAAAGTTTGCGAATTGGATAAACGTATCAAAAGAAGTGCGAAATGATAAACAAAGAAGAAGGAACAACGATGAAAAAGCGAGTATATATTAAAAAAATAGAGCAAAAATAAAAAGAGTTTCGAAAAACCTTGTCCGCGAAAAAAATCATAAAATTTTTTTACTGGTGCCGCTTTTTGACACTATTAAAGGCGCATACAGTACGCCTTTTCTTTTAAATTTGGAATTTAAAGGTCGGAAA